AAAAACATGGTGCCGTATATATACAAATATATAAAAATCACATCTTTCTTCCAGATATGTTTTGTCTTTCTTTTCCCCTCTTTTCCTTCCTTTTGGACGCATGTTAGCGATGACGACTTTCTCCCAACTAGAGCGTAATTTTTTTGGTGGTGAGTTTGTAAAAAGCCAGACCCTTTCTCCATCCCAGTCCGTTCCTTATCCCAACTTTCTATGTGTGTGGTTTTGTTTCGGCGAAGAGGAGAGAGAGTGTATGAGAGTATGAGAGTATGAAAGTGAGTGAGAGTGAGAGATGAAAGAAGGGAATAGTAGGACATAAAAGGAAAGGTTAGTTCTAAGTGCATGAGACGATAATCCAACATCGTGCAGACATGGAGAGCATGATGAGTCCCTTTTGGAAGGGGGTAGAGGAACAAGGGGGGCATACATATACGCTGTATATGCTGCCTTCTATAAGCCTTTTTCTTTTTTTCTTTTGGTTCAGCATGGGATGTGAGTGCCACATATACAAATGTGCTCTCACTCCCTGTTAGTTGAAAGTCGACGCTTCACGCAAAAAAACTCATCGGCTATGATTAGCATGAGCAGCTTGCAAAACTATCCATCAAAAATCAGTCAGCCATGCACACTTCCATACCATGACAGGAGCTAAGTCAAATCATACCATGCAGCACATTCATCTGTCCGGTCCTATCCTCGCACGCCAGTTGGATGGCCGTGCCCTCGACAAAGTCCAAGACTACGCTGTTTGGCAACTCCTGCGCATCCACTTCCGGCACATTGGGCTGTCGAAACTCGCTCATGTGATACTTTTTCGTCCCCACCGCTGTTCGGCTGCTCTGCGCCGGCAGGGCACTGAGGATGATGTTACCCGCCGAGTCGAGGACGAGGTTGCGTCGCTTCCACAGCAGGCTGTCGGGGAACTGGACGTTGACGTCTCCCAAATCCGACACGATGGATGCCTCGCCAGAGTTGGTGGCGGCGGCGGGAGGAGCCGCTGAGGGCTGTTGTTGTTGTTGTTGACGGTTCACGCTGGCATTATTCCTGCTTTCGTCTGCTGAGGGGGCTTTATTCGTTTTGCTGCTCTTGATCCCACTGGAGAAACTGGAAAGCTTACGCATAAACCGCCCGGCGCGCGAAGTCTTCTTCTCAGAGGACTTGTCGTCGCCGGAGAATGAATCTTCAGTCACGCTGGAAATGTCGCGGTCAAAGGTGATGGAGCGGCGACTGCTCATGGACAGGCGGTGGCTGGCAGTACTAGGCGACTGGGTTGTTGTCCTAGAAACTATGGCATGGCGCATGTTAGTCGAGACAGTGACAGTCTTTCGCGGGTCCTTGAAGAACCCCTTTACCGCATTTAGCGAGGATCGCCTACCCATGTCGTCCTCGCCGCCGCGTTCGAGAGATCTGGACCGTCGTTCTGATGAGCCGTCGTCGTTGCCTCGATGGTGGTGGTCTGTCGGCGACTGATAGCCGTAATCAGAAGCGTCCTTGGGCAGCTCGTACCCAGACAGCGACTGCTGCAGGCTCGGGTCGCGAATGATCTTGGTGGTGATGGCGACGGACTCGGGCCGGCCTCGCGACTGGGTGCCGGGCGCCAGGCCCGACGGCGGACTCGAGGCAGAGGCCAGCGGCTCAAACATGGACACCCGACTGACGACGGATCCCGATCTCTGCAGCCGCACTCTGCCCTCGAACAGCGCATCGTCCTGGTGCGACGGCGTCGGCGAGGCGGCCCGTCCCTTGAGGGATTTCGTCCTGTCCACGACCGACGGCGGCCTGGACGTGTCCCGCTTCTGCACCGCGAAAAAGGTCGACGACGGCCGCTCTCGACTGACGGGCCGCGACTGATCACCTGATGTGGCCGACAGCTTCTCGAGCGCCTTGATGCGCTGCGAGATGCTGGAGCCGACGTTGGGCTTCATGGTGGCGAGGCTGGCCGACTGCTGCTGCGTGACCTTGTGTAAGAAAGCTGCGCCCGAACTCAGAGAACGCGCCGTGGACTGAGTTACATCTGTCGGAGCGATGAAGTTGCCACGGACAGGATTAGAGACTGTTCGAACGGTGTGCGCCTGTGTCTGTGGAGCTCTGGCGCCTAGCGGCCCATTCGCAATGGGAGCGCTGGGGAAGACAGGGGTGAGCGGAGATTTGGTGGCCACCATTGGCTTATTGTCAGTGTCCTTCAGCGCGTCGTCTTCGTCGGTCGCCTGGGTCTCGGTCTCCTGGACGAGGAGGGCAGCATCATCGTCATTAGCATCGTCGTTATCGCCAAGATCGGTGCGGATCGGTGCCAGGCCAGGCGCGCGTTTGGAGCGTGACTGTGGCTCTGGCTCGTCGGGAGCAGCCGTCGTGTTGTCGCTAGCCGTCGTCGCTGCAGCTGCAGGAGATGGAGTTGGAATTGCCTCATCAGACGGGTTAGTCTGCTGCATGAGATGGAGATCCGCCTCCTCCTCCATGGCGGCGGTTGTTTGTGTCGAGAGGATGGGTAGTATGGAGGATGGTGGAGAAGCTACTTCTGCCTCTAATTCCCCTTTGTCCTCCGTCTCCGTTGCCTGCGCAACATCGCCGGGGGTCGCACCAGGTGCTGCAGGTGCATGTACAGGCGGAATCTCGCCTGCGCCAGATCCCATGCCACTTAATGAGGCGGCCGGTGGGGCCCTTGACGTCGGAATATTCGCCGAGAACTTTGAAATTGGCACTGCAATCCCTTTTTTCTCCTTTTCAGTCTCGGCCTTGGCCGATCCCTTATTAGCAGCCCCGGCAGCAATCTCCTCATTGGACCCCATTGCCGCAGAGCTGCCAGTCTCAGTCTCAGTCTCTCTGGTTTGAATTGTCGCAGTCGACTCATCTTCTTTCAACGATGATGATGCATCGGCAGCAGATGAAGAAGAATCAGCAGCAGCAGTGATGACTGCTGCAGGCAACAGCGATCCCGATGCATCAACCTCTGCGACTCGGCCCTCATCCTCCGATGCACTGGGAGCGGCTGGCTTTTGAGCCTCTTCATCTCCCGAGGTGACAGCATCTACTTCATCTGGATTCTTCGCAGCATGAACCGTCTCGTCGGTAGAATCCGAAAGTGAAGATGCGGCCGTCTCCTCATCGCGCTCCGAAGAGGTAACTGCCGGCGACTCTGACCGAGTTCCCTCGGACACTTGATCAATTTGCACAGACGAAGTCAGAGTTCCCTCCGACGCTTCATCTATTTGCACAGACGACGCGAGACTATCCAAAACCACGCCCGAATCCGCTTGGCTGATGGAGGCTGTTGTTCCATCTTCAGCTTCTTGCTTCTGTTCATCTTCTCGCATGTTTGGCTTCTCCTCATCTTCTCGCGCGTTTGCTTCTTCACCGTCCGGTCCATCATCATCATCATTATCATGGCTTTCAATAGCGGCATCCACAGCGTACTCCAAATCCGTGATTGTATTCTTATCTTCGGGTCCTGGTATATCCACTGCAGATTCGGTTCCTGCCGTGATTGTATCTTTATCTTCGGGGCCTGGTGCGTCCACTCCAGATTGCTTCTGCTTCTGCTTCTGCTGTTCCTGCTGCTTCTTCTTCTTCTCCCTAAGCTTCATGGCCTTCATCAGCCTAGCCTTCTCGGGCGTAATGGTAGGTTTAGTCGGCGCCGCGGGCACAGACAATGTATGCACAGACAATGTATCAGCCGCTGGCCCCGTGCTCGTAGTCGGTCGTGAGGCATCGCCAGTGATTCCTAATGAGTCCTCTGGTGCCGCCGCCGGGGTAGTAGTAGTAGTATCAGCAGGTGGCTCCATCTCTGGGATTTCTTCATGGATCAAGGACGCGGAATCTCCGTCCTTGCCTTTCCCCTTCTTCTGGCCCTTTCCAAACCTGTACCCCGCCGGCAGAGATGAAACGGGTCTAAAGTTTCCAGACGCCTGCGGCCTTATCGCACCGTCGGCCGCAGGTCGGGCAGCGAGCTTCACCTTTGGCTTGCTCGTGAGGTAGTAGTTGTAACTGTCGGTGGTATCAACCGATCTCGTAGGCGAGGGTGGTGCGTCGGGAATGCCCAGAAACTTGGGGACCTCAGAGGTAGTGGAACCTGCAAACTTGCTGTGCTCAGGCGAAGATGCCAGCTCAGAGTTTAGCTTGACCTCATCCCCAGCTGTAGATTGGCCGCCAGGTGTTCGCGGCCGGCCATCGTCGGATTCCAGCACTGACTGCCGCTTTGAAGATCGTTGATCCTCTTCCTCCTCCTCGGCAATTTCCACCAAGCGTCGTCTTCGCGAGCTGGTGGATGATGCCGTAGACCCAGATGCCGCATGCAAGGAGCATGCTGCAGATAGCTTCGTATCTCTCAGTTCAGCGGCCGTCGAGATTTCGAATATCGTATCGTACGGAGAAAATCGTTCGCAGACGGCGTTGAAGTGCACGGCAACTCGAGCTAGTTGGGCCACAAGTTAGCATCCTATGATGATTTGCGACGCAGATCACCGCTGATCCAAAGATGGGAACAAAGGGCATGAGAACAAAGAAAACTAACCTTGTATAAGCCGAGAGCAGTCTTCGGGTAGGTATTTGACAATGACATTCCTCCTCCGGTACCGCAGAAAGCCATACAACGGGCTTTCTTCCTCAAAGCCGGCAATGGCATTTCGAATCTCGACGATGCCCCCATTTCCCTTCTCCAGCAGTTCGACTTCGTCGCGACTCGAATACTTGAGCAGGAACCTATCGATAACACAAAGCAAAAGGCCGGGTCTCAGCAAATGGAAATCTTATACAGCACTGCACTTAGATTGGGGGAGTGGACTATGCATACCATCCTCCAGGCTCAGCAACGCCAGCCTCATGCGCCTCTACAATCTTGGGGTCGTCTAAGCCGTTTAGCGACATGTTTGCTCGGATGTGGCTCCAATATCTATGGTTCGATCGCTTCCGCCAACCAGCTCGGCCAAGTCCAGCTCAACCCAGAGGGAATCCCAAAGAAAGCCGGATGGGGAAAGGCGATGAATAAAGAGCGACAAGAAAAAGTCCTTTCTCTTAAAAATGAAGCGAAAAAAAAGAATATCAACAGTAACGAAGGACTGAGAATGAAAGACTGTGCGCCCGAGGGCAAACAAGACACAATCGGTGCGCGCTGCGTCGGCTTTGCAAGCGTGCCACCACCAATACTCAGGGGCAGGATGCGACAGCGATGCGCATGGAGAGGAACAAATCGCGACGTGGGGGAAGCGTATCGTATCGTATGCAATGCAATGCAACAACCTTGAGCTTGAGTGCTTTGGATAGCTGTCCTGTCCTGGTAGGGCAAATCGAGGCCTGTCTGTTCAGGATGGGGGAAGATGCAAGGAATGGTGGCCGGAACGGAATTACATCGAGCTTTTCGCGGAACTCCAAACTCTGGCACAACCGCAACGCTGTCACTCTTTTGCTTGGCTTGCGCAAAACAGAGAAAAAAAAAACGAGGCCGCGCTGCTGCAGGTCGCGAGATCGAATGTGCCTGTGCTTGTGCCTGTGCCTGAGAGTCCACTTGTTGCTAAGCGCCGCGCCGCAGATACATGGAGTGCAAGGGGGGTCTAGACAAGGCAATGCAAACTTGGTGCCACCCACACGAAGCACAGACAGAACAGCATCAAAAGACAAGACAAGACAGACAAGTAAAGAGATTGTCAGTGGTACCGCGCCATTGGATTGGATGGGCAGTCGAATGATAGCAGGCAAACGCGTTCCAGCCTGCCAGACGCGGGGCCCACGACAAGAGCAGCGCATCTCAACAGCCGGCCTGGCATTCCTCTTCCCTGCCCATTAGCAATCCCGTCCACGATGCTACGAGGTCTTTCGAGTCCCAGTTGGCTTAAGGGGGTTTAGCTAGGCCATTAACGAACCCCTGCAAGCTCCCCATCCCGGAACCAGGGGTCTCTCGACAGGCCAACGGCAGAGAGAGGGCTCCGTATTGGACTCTGTTCTTCATCAACCGCGAACCGGGGGATCCCCATTTCGTTAATTTTTGAAATGAGCTCGGGCCCCCCCTTAGCACCAAAGCCGTCCAATAGTTGCGCAGTAGTGGCACGGCGTCTCTTGTCTTTGGTTGATGGCGATAAGCTGCCTGTTCGTTCGTTGGCTTGCGGCTGTTTTTGTTTGTTTGCTACTGTTATGCCTGTACGAACGGTGAGAGTGCTGATCATCTTGTTGTTGTTGTTACTGCAGCCAAAATTGATCGCATCGTTCGTCCAACAGACAAGCATAAAATCAGCTTTCCGATCCCGCGTAAGTGCCGTGGCTTGTGGCTGGGCTCTGAAACGCACGTCGTGCAGCTGCTGTCTGCACTTGCACCTGCACCAAAGCCCCATCGTTACCCATACTGGCAGTAGCATCATTAGTGGAGGCCGGCCGCGTCTCCGGATAGCTGGTGCAGCTGTGCTGTGGCTGTTTATTGGTTCGTCTCAGCTACCATAATTTGCGACATGCGGACCAGTACGAGTACAGTGAGAAGAAGCAATTCGTCAATGGATGGGCTGTGTTGGTGCTTTGTGTGCAATCATTGGTAAGGTAGGAGATCGCTGTCATTTCCTGTGCTTTACCAGTGTTCTATTTCTTAGTCATCTTGGCCGGATCCTGCGGAAGGGACAATGTCTAGCAGCCTGTCTTATATCCTGCTGCCCTCTGCTCCACCATTATAAGCAAGGAGGACGAGTACAGTAGTATTTTACCGTTGTAATTTGGTATCAAGTGACACGCTCCGTATGTCGTCCATCCTCTTAATACCCCGACTCTATAGACATGCTCCATTGTATCTTGCCCTTGAATGATAACTCTGTTTTTAAGCATCTACACGGCAAAGAGAAGCTTACATATCAACACGAGGCAAAGACGGAGGCGAACATCACCAGCAACAAACAGCCAAAACCAATATAGTAGTATACTCGATATCAATAGTCTTGCATTCCGCAAAAAACAATCCAAACAACATCCGCAATCTCTTACATACAGATACAGGTAGCGTACAACACCTGGCCTGGCCGTCTTAGTCTTTGTCCAACCGTATGCCCAGCCCCATGAGACCTCAGCCTCGTCACCGTCTCGTCTTGTCTCGTCTTTCTCTTTCGTAGTATATGAATGCTTGAACCAATACAGATCTCCATAATCTGTCACTCCGCCGTTCCGTCGACTGGACTCCTCCACCACCTGCATCCCCGCGTGTACTCTGTAGATCTGGGCCGTATTGCTACCACTACTTCCACCCCTGCTTGATTCAGTTGGAGGCTCGCCCGAGAGGCTCAATCGGGACTGCTAGACGGCCATGGCTGGACAGCAGGGGCGTGTGAATCCTAGGCGTCTGCAGGCTCCTTTGATTCGGGTTTTGATTCTTGCGCAGCAGAAGTAGACTCTTGTGCAGCAGAAGTAGCAGCAGCAGCGGCCTCGGCAGGGTTTTCGGTCGCAGCCAACTCGGGGCTATCATCCTCTTCAATAGCAATAGGCTCTTCGACTAATGCGTCACTCAAGCTAGTGGGAACGAATCCCTCCTCTTGCGCGGGAACAGCGTCATATCCACGTCCGCTATTGCTAGCCGATACGCCCACGGCCGGGGTTTTGCCCTCGGCAATCTTCTGCTTGGTGTCCGAGATAATCTTGTCCACCTCGCTGACCTTTGCCGCGGTTCCGTTGTTCGATTCGGCTTCGGTATCAGAGCGAGTTGGGGTGGCTTGACTCTGTGCAAGAGCCTCCTTGTCGAATCGCACAATCATACACGACAGGTTGTCCGTGCTAAATCGGTTGAGAGCGTGGTCGACGAGTAGTTTTGAGCCCTCATTCGGATCGTGAACTTCTCGGACGAGGTCAACAGCCTCTTGATCACTACAGACATCCCAAAGCTATTCACACTAGGTCAGCGCATCTTTCAAGACAATAATCCCTGTCAGCGGATACTCACCCCATCACAAGCAATAATGATAAACTCGTCGAGGTCATGTTGTATGACCGTTTCCGTGGTGTATGGGTGGCCAGTCACGAGATCCTTCATATAGGTATCTCCAAGCGCTCTGGTGACAGCCAAGACTCCGTTGACGCGGTTGTTGAGGATGAGACCACCGGCATTAGCAATTCGCTTTCCTTCGTTTTCGTCACTACCCTTGTGATCGTAGGATAAACGCAGGGCCTTGCCGTTTCGACACAGGATGATGCGTGCATCTCCCACGTTGGCCGTGTACAAGACACGCTGGCGACTGGCCATTCCCCTGAGCTTGGCGGTTATAGACTCGCTGGGAACGGCCTGCGACGGTTCTGACGGGCCATCCTTTTCCTTTTCTGATTCTTGCGATTTGGCCAATACCTTGCCGGCAGCAACATTTGCGGCAGCTGGGGCAATGGCCAGAGAGCCGGTGACGGATCGATCACTGGGCACGCGGTCCTCCCAGCGAAGAACCGCAATAGCAGCTGTGCAGCCGCTGTTCTTGAGCGGGAGCTTCTCGAGTTGGGCGTCGACGGATGTAAATGTCATGTCCAGGAGCTCGGGAATCGGCATGTTGGGGTGTTTTCGTATCATGTCTTCTAGAATAATGTGAAGCTTCTTGCCGCACCAGTCCGCAGCGAATGTGCCGGCATGGCCGTCAAAGATGGCAAAGTAGCCGTTGTCCGACTCGGAGACCTCTTTCTGAATAGCCTCTTTGTCGTCCTTACTTGACTTGTCCTTTCCGGCAGATGCGTCAACCGCAGGAGCCGGTGTATCCAAGAAGTTGTACAAAAAGGCATGCGTGTCCTCCATCGTCCGGCGGCATTTCTTGTTCCTATCTTCCCAAACGCCGACACGGAAGGTGGACTTTGGTCCGGGGACCGAGTCTCCGGCCGAGTTGTTGTGCTGGCCCTGGGGCACGGCGAGAGCTGGGTCCTGCTTCCCGAGCTTCTGGAGCGGCGTCTGAGCGCCTGCGTCGGATCCCGAGCGGCCAACCTGGGAGAAGTTGAGCGAGTTCCTGGCCGAAGCTAGCAGGCTGCTGGCCTTGCTGCTGACGCCACTACTCCTGCGCTTCTTCTCGCCGGTATCCTGTCGAGTTGGGGGGCTGCCATTGCCGCTGCGCTTCTCGCCGCTGGCCGCCTGGTCTGCGTTCTTGATGGGAACCGCAGACGCCGCGGTCGGGCTGGCCTCGGGAGAAGGCGACTTGCCGTCGCTCTTGGAATCGCTTTCAGACTTGGCCCCCGACGAGTTGTTGGAGGCTCCGCCAAACATTCTATTTAGCAGACTTCCTCCGTGAGAGGAGAGACTGCGACGCTTGTTACCGGCCAGTTTGTGGAGGAGGAAGAGACTTCCGGAGCCGGAGAGGGAGAGGGATGTTGGAAGTTGGTTGATGGGAAACGGGTTCCTGTATAGAACAGATCGGTGTCGCAGAGAAGCGAAAGGGTGTTGGGGCTATTCGAAAGCGTCGTCGCGGGGCTGCGGATGGATGGCTATGGATCGCACTCGTGGGGGAACGAAGACGAAGGGGATGGAGCGTGATTGGATGGCCCAGGCGCCTAGTGCAGCCGTGATTCGATGCGAATTCCAGGGATGTCTAAGGGGCGTCGCAAGAGTCGAGAGACTGTGCCAGTGAGCTTGCAGGACAGGACTTGAGATGGATCAAAGATCAGAGCGTTAGGTTGCTATTTTAGAGTTGGGGCATTAGGAGGGGGGCATGGAAATGGATGACATGGGCGGGGACAGCGGGGAGCATTTACGACAAGAATCCAGCTGATGCTTAGTGCTGTGGTTTGCGGTGACAAGGGCCCTGTAGAGCCGTGCAAGCGCTAACGTCTGCGTTGCGCAACAGCCGGTGCAGCGATGAGTTGATTTGAGAGGACACAGTGAATCACATCACGGGCTTTGTCTATGTGTGGCAACTCGGACTTTGTGCTCCAAGGCAAACATTTGACGGTAGACAGGCAGCTTTGCCTCTGATGACGATGACGATGGGATGAGGGAGCGGCGGCATGGCATGTTCATGTTCATGTTCGGGCCAGGGTGCGGATGGTTCGAGGCAAACAGGATTCAGATTCAGCAGAGCGCCAATGCAGTACATACCAGACACACGTTATGTTCCGTTCTATTTTTATCGAGTAATCAAATGGCGGCTCGGATAGAATTGTCCTCCCGGAAGTAAAAACAAAGAAAAGAGTTTCAATCTTCTCCGGTCATATCAAAGTAAGAACATGAAAGGAAAAAGCAAAAGGCTGATCTGGGGGGCTGCGCAATGCTGCATTTTGAGCAATGGGATTCTTTGTTGGCGTCTCCAGGCCGTCCATTAGCGCCTCCGGGGATAATCAGTGCAGCGCAGTTGCAGCAAGCACCAATAAGCTGCACTGCTGTGCTACCCTTACATGGGCATCTCAGCGAGCTCTCACGTCACCTAGAATACATGTCCTGGTACAGTAATATCAGCTGCTTCCCTGCTTCCGCCTTTGTACTGCAAGGCCACCAAATCCCAGTGCTGCCTGTGCACCCTCGAGTTCCGAGACACCATCTGCCTGTTCGAGACAAAGACGTTCCAGCTCGGCGACATTTGCTGCATCAAATGGAGGCGCCAGATTCGAGGCGGCGGCTTCGGCGCTCTTAGTGGACGCGGGGGAGCTTTAGCGCCTCCATCAATGCCTTGCTTAGCAGCCCTGCGTGTCCACTTGATCGTGTTGCTCTCTTTTGCTCCGGATCATTGATGTCCTTTGACCCTGGTAAAGCCGCCATCGCCGAGGGTGGGAATCACCGAGGCCGCGGAGTATGAAGCAAATACGAGATGGTGAGAAACTACGTGTAGGTAGCCAAGGTAGTTATGCGGATAATACTGCTTCAAAGTCCAGAGACGGTCAATATCCAGCCTTGACAAAGACATTACTACTGGGCAGCTACAGCGGGATGAAAGAGTCCTCTCTGGTCAATCATCGTAATGGATAACCTCTGCGTGCGTAAATATATCTGCAAGTGTATGCTTCAAATCATAATGGCCATCAACACCTCTTGCGCCCAACGAGAAAACGTAACACGGCTCACTTCCATCTAAACCCCGTCCACATATATATAATAACATGCTCCGCTGGACGATCCCCTGTGGTATCATCGTCGTTTGAATCATCTGGATCCCTCATTAAAGAGACTTTCGCCCCTACTTCTTCCCGTGCTCAACTGAGTCTGGTAGGTTCCGCTGGGAGGCTACTCCGAGGCTTCTCATTCATTATTTCATTCGCGGATTCGTCATAAAGTAGTAGCAGCAGCCGGTTACTTTCGAAGGCTGTCGAGCCGGGCCTGAAGGTCATCATCGACTGGGTCACCGCTACCGCCTCCGGCCCCAACGGCCTGCGCAATCTTGCCCTCGGACACGGCAGAGTTGCCCAAGGCGGTTGGAGTCTCCCCAAGCTATTGTTCCATCGGTCAGTCATGTTGCGCATTGGGCATGATATGGGATAGGAATGTAGCCTTACAGCTTGGTTCAGGTCGATACCAATCTCCTCCAAGACTTGCTCAACAACCTCGTCGCCTTCTTCCTCGATACCAACGTCCATTGCGTCATCAACGGCGTCATCCATCATCTCTTGCCTCTGCTCCATAATGTCGTTTTCGCGTTCGAATTCCATGGCAATGCGTTGGAGCTGGGGGAGGTTCATGGACCTGTTCATGCTGCCCAATGCCATCGTGGCACCCTTCATGGCCTGCATCATCTGCTCGTTTGTTCGATAGGTCTAGCTCGCCCGTCAGTATGCGCATACGGCAGGTTACTATTAGCGCCGAACAAGGTCATACCTGGAGCCGCAGGGAAATCTTTTGCAGCTGGCTACGCATGCCGTAAAACTTCTCAATGTACCGCCGTGTGCGCACCAGGTCCTTGGCTTGGATCTTGCACGCCCCCATCTGCCCATTCTTGGCGCTCGTCTTGATCTGCTGTATCAGCGTCTTCTCCTGTTTCTCCAGCTTGACGCGGGTCTGGTCGAGTTCGCGAATCGCCTTGTCGAGCATGCGCTGGTTCTTGCGTAAACGCTCGGCCGGCGTCATGCGCTTGCCAAAGGCCCATTCTAGGATCTGCAATGGAAGTCGAGGTTAGGTGCCGCTACAGACAGGCATGGGCATACAGAGGCATTGCCCTCACATTCATGATGACGACGGCTGCGTCTTGCGGAGAAGCGACAATCGCAGAGTCTTGCTTTCCAGGTAGGAAGAATAATTCGGGCGACGGACGAATTCCGGCGAGAAATTGAACGATGAAGCGGACAAGAACTGGATGATATAGTATCTGCCTAGCGGAGTGCCCGAGGAGCGACGTCGTCTGGCATGTTTGCGTTGCTAGTCGGGACTGGGACGTCAGTCGGCCAGGAAGCACCGCCATGTACCCCCACGGCGGTTCGCAGGCGTGAAGATACTTGTGCCGTCAACGCCCGGTTCTTGGGGGCCAGCGATAAGATAGCGCGTGCTTCCCGAGCTTGTGCCGAGGCACTAGGCCAATCAGGGCAGCTTCGTCACCGGGGGGCGCGAATTTGCTTAAACATCATGCAACCTTTTTACTTGACGAACCCCATTCAAAGCCCGACCCTCGTGCTCCTACCCGATCTTTCGACCTTTTAATTTTGACATCATCATCCACACTCCCTGCATCTCTACCCTTCAGCTTACCCTTCAGCTCGACAATGCTGCGCACAAGCAGTCCTTGACCAGCATGAGCCAAGAATACTTCAACGACAAGGGCAAGGCGCCCGCCAGCCGGGACTCGGACGATGCCGACCTCGATTCCGCAGGCCCAGCCGGAGAGCGGCCCAAATACATGACGGTCGGCAACGGCACCACGTCCGAGCACGCCGCTCGTCTCCAGAGCATGCTGGACATTGATTCGGGATACGGCGGCAGCATCATGGGCGACGAGCCGGGCATGTGGGACATGCAGCCCCATGGCCACCAGCGACAATCCGGAGCTATCCACCAGCTGTGGTACAATTCCCAGAGAGCTACGCTGGGCCGATCAATTAACAAGGTGCTGGATCTGCTGCACGGCCTCCGCGAGATGAACGCCGTGTGGCCTGCGCACTACCCGTCGGTTCAGCGAGCCGAGAAGATGGAGTCTGATGTGCCTCGTCCCGGCATCCTGCACTCGTCGACCATGGAGGACATCACGGTCAGGTCCAGCCAGGCACCGCCGCCAATGCTTAGGAGAGCCATGACCAGTCTCGAGGATGCATCAGCCGAGTCCAGCCAGGCGGCCGAGACTCGTCCTGCAGCAGAGCCGCGGCTCGTTTCGCCACAGATTGCACAAGAGTTTTCAGTGTTGAAATTAGATCTCAAATTAGGAGCTCTGCACCAGGCCGAGCTGGTACACTCTCTGGAGAAGGGCTCCATTGCGTCGCTCCTGGATGGAAAAATCAGCTCCAGCATCAAGCATCTCGTGTCACTCCGCGAACGTATCGAGGACAAGTCAAGCAAAGTACTCATCACAGGCGATCTGAACGCAGGCAAGTCGACGTTCTGCAATGCCCTTTTGCGTCGCAAAGTGTTGCCCGAAGACCAACAGCCTTGCACTGCCATCTTTTGCGAGGTGCTGGACGCTCGAGAGAACGCAGGAATCGAAGAGGTCCACGCAGTCCACAAGGAGATGATTTACAACCGAAACGACGAGTCGACCTATGACGCATACTCTCTTCAGGAGCTGGAGAATATTGTAATTGATAATGAAAAATACGTCCAGTGCAAGGTCTACGTCAAGGACGTTAGAACAATTGATGAATCCCTACTCAACAACGGTGTCGTTGACATTGCCCTCATCGACGCTCCAGGTTTGAACTCTGACACGACCAAGACGACGGCCATTTTTGCTCGGCAGGAGGAGATTGACGTTGTCGTGTTTGTCGTCTCTGCGGCCAACCACTTTACGCAGTCTGCCAAGGAATTCATCTGGGCTGCCGCTGCGGAAAAGGCCTACATTTTCATCGTCGTCAATGGCTACGACTTCATTCGAGACAAGGAGCGATGCCAGAAGATGATCTTGGATCAAGTTGCAGGGCTGAGCCCACGTACACACAAAGAAGCTTCAGAGCTCGTCCACTTCGTCTCTAGCAACGTCATCCCAATGGCACCTTCACCCCCCGGCGGACCCAGCGGCGGAGGCGGCAGTGGCAGCGGCAGCGGTGGTGGCGATGATCCCGGTGATGACAAGGGCAAGGACTCGGACAAGGTTCGAGACTTTGAGAAGCTCGAACAGTCTCTCCGCAGATTCGTTTTGGAAAAGCGAGCTAGGTCGAAGCTTGCCCCCGCAAGGACGTATCTACTCAACATCCTCAACGATGTTGGGACGTTGGCCACGGTCAACCACGAGGTGGCTCAGTCCGAGTTTGATCGAGTCACCCAAGAGCTCAAGGAGCTTGAGCCCCAGATTCTGGCCAGCAAAAAGGCCCGATCGGAAGTCGACGAACAGGTCGTTCACAATATTGAGGAGACGTGCAAGGACATTTACGATCACACCCGAGGACACCTCAACGCCGCCATCACCTATGCCGGAAGCACCAAATACGATATCCCATATCCCGGCCTCTTTGGCGCCTTTGGATACGCCGACGACCTCAAGGACGCCATTCTCTCCCACATTGCCGATGCCGTCAACGGCTGCGAGGACTACGCCCGAGCCCAGACGGTCAAGGGCGTCAACGCCATCAAGCAGCTCGGCTTGCTTCACGTGGGTGACGAGTTCCAAAATCTTCACTTCCGGCCAGACGTCATGTTCCGCCGGAAGAAGGATGCCCTTGCCCGCCAGGTGGACGTGCCCACTGAGTTTGCCGACTTTGTGGACTTTTCAACCTTGATGCATAGCCAGGAGAAGTTTGCCGGCACGGGTATGGCCCTGACTATTGCTGGCGCTGTTGTGCCTCGCATGCTAGGAATGAATTCCTGGGTGGACCACGCCATGATGGCGACGCGCATCATTGGTAATGATAATCTTCGCAGGCTCATCCTGCCTGGCATTGTCGTTGCTGGTATGTAACCCCTGGTCCTTCTTACCGCAGATGTAGATTTTTTGCTAACTGATTCCTCCTTAGCCATTGCCGCGTCGGCATATGTACTCCAGCAGATTCCCAACTCTCTCCCCCACCGGCTGGCCAGGAAGATTGAGGCACAGCTCGCCGAGATCGACTACGTCCACACCAACGCCTCCCGAATCTCGGGCTCGGTCCGCACCGTCCTGCGCATGCCCGCCGACAACCTGCGCGTCGGCCTCGACCACAGCGTCAAGGACCTCAACAAGAAGCGCGACGAGACGGTCAAGGTCAAGGGCGAGAGCGAGCGAGCCTCCAAGTTCTTCCGGAAGCTGGTTGGCGAAAGCCAGGTCCAGAAGAACATGGTTGAGGGCGTGGACCTCGATACGCCGCCGCAGAACTTGCACTAAAAATTGGAAATTGAGGCTTTTATATAACGCGTGATGAAACGAATTAGATTGGGACTCATGATGCTTTTTTTGTCCTTTGGCGTTTACAGGATTATGGAGATTTGAAAAAAGGAACGCGCTACGAAGTGCCGTTCTGAGGAAACGGGGGGGTTTAAAAAAAAATACATATACCAAAAAATTGGTGAAGAAGAAGTGGGCGGAATGAAAATGGAAATTCATGGATGGAGCTACAACTCTGCTCTCCTCTAGTCTTTGTACCTGGTTTCCTGTCTATCGCATAGCCATAGCGTTATCAAGTTTGCGTACGTTGTTAAACAGTTGATATAGCGCAGTTTTAGTTTTGACAAAAACAAATGAGTGAGAAGGAAGAGAATATCAAAGGGGGGGAAGGCCCGTCGTTCTAAGAAAAAGACGTCTAGTTCTATCCAAGATTGTTGTGATGTGGAGTGGTTGATATATCCAAGTCTGTTGTAATGTATGGGGTAGTTTGTTTGAGGTGTGAAATCTTCAAGGCCACATGATTTGTCGTAATCTCTCCTTTTCGACGTCGCCCCCAAAGATGTGATCGATGGGTTCTCTGGCAAGGGCGCAGATTTGAGATTTATCGAGGCGGAAGTGTTGGGCAACGAGGCGGTATTCGTTGGATAGGGGGCTGCCGAAGATGCCTACGTCGTCGGTCTAAGTAAATCTGTCAGTCTTTCCCACATCATGACATATAATATCGTTTCCAAAGGATGAGATGAAAAGAGGGTGATGATGGAACTAAACTTACTCCCAAAGACACCTTGACGCCCTCAACGGCCCTCCACTCGCCGAAATGATGGCCCTCAAACCCACTCTTCACCATTCCCGCGTGCACGTTACAGCTCAAACACAATTCCAAACACAGTTCATCCTTTCGATGCGCAATCTCGCGCTTCGTATCTTCGTCTTCGCAAATAACGTGGCCCAAACGATGCGGTCTCCAACTCAACAAAGTCTTCAACTCCTCCGGCGAAGCACTACTCTCCGCCTCTGCGAAATGCACCGTAATACCCAACCCAGCCTCCCTTGCCTTTTCAAACAAGGGCGTGAATAGCCCTACTTCGCCCGCAGGACGAGCCGCCGGATCACCGCAGAGATCGAGACCCACGATGTTTTCGGGCAAAGAAAGCGCCAGATCGAGGATTGACGAAGCGGTGGCGAAGTCATGCCGTCTGTCGATGGATAAGATGAGGCGCGTATGAAGAGATGGATTGGAGGTTTCGAAGGAGGAGATTGTGTCGAGGAGGATGGAAATGTATTGCGTGGTGGAGAGGAACGGGGTAGAGCGGGGGGTTGTGCGGAGTTCGAGGTAGACGACGCCGTCGAGGAGGAAGGATTGTAGGACGGATGTGGTGGCGTGGCGGAGGGAGGGTTCGTCTGTGAGGAGGGCGTAGATGTATTTGCTGAAGAGGGGGAAGAAGCTGGTTATACATATGTAGATATTAGAATTTTGTTGTTGAGAGAGAATGACGAGGAGGACAGATGAGTGTAATGCTTCCTTACGTTTCGAGATTGTAATCATGCTTTCCCTCTGGTATTACGAGTAGAGGATCTTCTAGGTCTGTTTCTCCAGCGGCATGCTTCTTGAGCCATATCTCGTGAAGGGTTTGGCGGGAGATGCTGCCTGTGAGATGAGCATGAAGCTAGAAATATGTGAGTGATTATCCTTGCTTTAGGGGGTTGGAGATGAGAGAGGAGCGGGGACGGACCTCGATTTTGGGTAACGCTACAAAATCCATGACTCTAATTATTTGGTTTGTGTGAGTATTTGTGTAGAAAATTAGGAGGGTGTGAGAGGGAATGGTGTATGAGGGGGATGAAAATGAGTGGTGATAGTTTCCATGCCCCACAGTTGAAGCTTACAAGTCTTTAATCTCACTCACCATAGCTCATCACCGTAACTACAATCAAGATCAAAGAACACATCACAAGAGCAAAGTCATATCTCAGATTCTTATCATCACATTTTTACACAGCATCTCAAACCCATGATTCTACCCAACGGCAAATATATATATATATATAATAAAATGCAGAGTGGTGAAACTACATACACCACGTCCGGAGATGAGACGGGGCATCAAACCAATTCGTACAAACAAACTCCCCTCCCAAATGGCCCTCTTTTATTGTTCCTCCCATGGTGTAGAAAACCTCATAGAGTCCGCCCAATAACATACAGCCCACCAGCAGTTCGTAAAAGGCCAGGGCAATGATATGCCTTCTCTCTCTGCCTCTCTTCCACCTTCATCAAAAGGTTATTGTACACGAATGGAGGGGACCATGCTTGATCTCGCATGCTCAGGTCCTCAACCACATACATCACCATTTCACCCGCCGTCATTTGTAATTGTAAGCCAGTCATTACATTAGAACCAAATCGTTTTCCCAGTTCCAAAGCACCCTGCTTTTGCTACCATGTGGCGCCCCCAAGTCAATTTTGTTTTTTTTCTGTCTTGTTTTAAGAATTTTCTTGTTTCTTTTTTCTTCGCCATTGTCTTCACAAAGCAGCCTTAGTCTCAGGGCCCAGGGCAGCTCCGACCTGGTCCGCCGTGCTCCCCTCAGCCCCCGCCGTCAACAGCTCGCTGCCCGTCTGGCGCATGTTATACTCCTGCTCCATGGCAGTCAGCTGCTGGTCCTCGGCAAACGACAGCGCAAACGGCACGCCGAGGAAGAGCGCGGAGGTGGTGATGACCCAGGCGCCCTTGCCGCCAAAGGACAGGACGCTCCAGGCGGCGCTGGTGACGGCGTTGACGCGGCTCGACACCCAGCCTCGGGTGGTGGGGGGGATGATGTCGCGGAGAGCGTATAGCCGCTCGGCGAGGGTTTCTTCTGAGGGGTCGAAGTCGGACTCGTTGGAGATTTCGGATTCTGCAGCGGGAAGAAACTTTTGTTAGGACCAGGGTGTGATTGATAAGATGGCATCATGGAGGGCAGAGGAAAGCATACCGGTATCCGTAAAGTCGTCCTCCTCCAAGTCAGCAGCCGAAGCGTGCTGGAAGTGCTCGTCCTCAACCTCGGTAAGAGTAACCATCTTGACTGGTAATTAGGCTATGTGTGTGTATTGATGCAAAAGTACACAGAGTCCAAGAACTGAACGCTGCGCAGAATGATATTGAATATCGGCAACAAAAAGCTGCAAGTGGCGATCCCAAAAGTTGCCGGTTGCGGGGCTCTCCAAACTCGGAATCTGTTATTCGTGCTTGTTTTCAAAAGCTGCAATGCTGGACGCAAAGAAAGTCGATTGCAGGGGAAATCCGCCAGAGTCCTGGAGCAATGCTTGCGAAGAAGAAGATGCGATTAGTGCCTCAATTGCCGGGCCTCGATAACAGTTGGAGTCAAATTTTTTGGCTCTCTTTACTGCAGGCCGATAATGGGTCTCTTGCCGGACGTTTTGGTGGTTTAGCCGAAGAAATCGCAGGCAACGGGTCACGTGCGGCGTTGTGCATTTGCCTGTTCTAGTTTGTTCTGCCATAATGAGCGGCTGTGACGTAGTTTCATGAGCTGCTGGTATTGTATTTTGGCCATCCTTTGATAGGTAGCTTCTTTGCATTGCCTCTTGTGCTCAGGACAATGTCATGAACTGTACAAGCAAACCCGTGTGGAAGAAAAGTATTAATGCCAGTTAGCCGTCCAAAGTGTCACAAAACCACAAACCGCAGCTGCTGAGCCCAGCTGAAAGAGCTAAAAATACGCCTGGCTCAAATCCAAAACTTCCAGTACGACAGTGGCCACAAGCTATTCCCAATCATCAATCACATCATTTTTCGGTCCTCCGGGCAATATTTTGGTCAAAGTAGATACTTGTACCTAACTTTAGGAAGCCATTTTCTTCAACAAATACACCCTGGCCATGATGTCATTGCACCCCGTCACCAGGTAAAAAGGGCCCCTTCATCGACAGTACGAGTATGTTAGTAGAAAAGAAATGCCGCGCGTGCCACTTTGTACGCCGCCCAGCCCGTTTCGTCAATGAAGCTGTCGAATTTTCTTTCCCAAATCCTTCCTCGCATATCCGCGGCTCTGGCTCCATTTCGCCGCTGCCTCCTTTTTCATGGTGGTCCTCATGGCCACACCGAGCGTGTGATTGCTCACCAATTGTTGTTCAATCCTGTCCAGTGGCTTCTGCCTCCCTGCATTCGCTACGACACTGGGATTCCAATTTTTGGGCGCAAATCTCATCATCTGGCCTCCCGTTGCTAACCTCATCCGCCCCCAGTATGATGCACTCACTGCGTCTCGTGCAAAGTTCTTTTTTCCTTTTGCTATAGATGGAAAATGCACCGAGCGGACACTGCGCAATTGTCACTTACTTACCTATTAGGTGCAGCGAGTGTGGCGCCCGTCATCCGGAATGCACACGAGATGGTGACTGACCTACCCTGAAAAGAACAAAACTTGATTGCACTTTTGCGCATACCTATTGTTAATATGCGAAAGCACACACTGCTCTGAGTGAAATGATAACTCATGAATTGCTACGTAATCACAAATTCCGTAGTGACATACTGAGACTTTCCCCATCATTCCTCGTGTCTTGGTCGAAACTCCGTATATCCGTGTTAGTCGCCCTGAGATCTTGCTTTCTGCGGATCATCGCATCACCATCCCCATACCAAACACGTGTTTTTGATTCCATGCCACATCTCATATCGTCTCGACCAGACCAAGTCTCAGTCTCAAACACATTTACTTCTGATTCGGATCAACAGGCCGAATCCAAGGAGGCGAGCAAGCACAGACATAGAGTCATGGGCTGCCTCCTCAACTTACACGCCCGAATCATACACCCCAAATCAGCCTCGCACTGCACCTGATCCTCCAGCAAAGCAAGTCATATCAAGAAAAATTGCATTGTCCTTTTTTTTTTTTCTCCATTCCATCCCTGTTTGACTTTTAGGACAACTTCCGTAACTAACCCCCTTACCTGTATCAAAAAGTAAATTTATAAAAAAAAAAAGTATTTTAGCCGATCACGATGTTACTCAACCATATACAAGGGGTAGCACATACAAACTTACAACATGCATACGACGATACGTAAAACCCGCCGAATCACCACACGCGTTTCCTGACCGTGCCCAATTTACCCCGGAAATGCCTTACCTAAAAAGAATTTCATTCCTAGGTCCCTTTTTTTTCTCAACGCCGCAATCCTTCATGTTCTTACGCCGCACAGATTCGGGGGGCAACTCACACCGCCCGTGCATTTCATTCTTTCGGGGGGCCGGTCGATCAGAAAGAGGTCTTGTGATCGCCCGTTTTGACTTTTTTCTTTTTATGTATTTCCTGCAAGGCTTTTTACCAACCCGCAGGTGAATATTAATTACACTTAGGTTTCGTAAAAAAAGGGGGCAAACATGCCGGGGGCCGGAAACAAAGAGCCACGATGCGATGGTCTCGGATGCTGGGGCCGCTCTGTACAACTAGCAACGCGATGTACATCCAAGTACACTCATAGTGACTCTGGGGAAAACACATCGGCCGCATCGGCCATCCTAGGCTTTTTCCTTCTGTAGAGGGCAAAAAGGAAAAGGTCTTGGCTTCCCCAGGAATCGGAGACATCGCCGCCGAACGAGAAAAAAAGAGTCATGTCTCAGCGCTAGACTCCGGATTATCACGTAACTATTTACTCGTGCTACTGTTAGCAGCATCGTGACCGCTATGGAGCAGAGTAGGAGGAAATAGAATTTTGCGGCCTGCGGCGCCGAAAACCCGGGGTCGGAGAAATCCGTGCAGGGCATGACAAGAAGAGCCAAACCAAACCACATGACGAGCCCTTTCTCGGTAGCTCGAACCGAAAACCCCAGCTTTACTACTGACCCTTTTTTTTTTTCTTCCCGGCTCTTTTCTTGTTCGGGAGCAGGTACAGAGTACACCGGGTGGATGATGAGTTGCGATGTATTTGAACTTCAGTAGTATCTCTGGGAATACTCGTACGGAAGAAGGCTGAAAGCGTGTAATAACATCAATGCCAGTTTCACGATATTTTCATTTTGTGTTTAATGCAGGCTTAACATTCATGCGGTCACCCTCAACGTATTCGTATCGCAGTGGCCATAGCACTCAACTGGGAAGACGAAATGGCCAATGAGAATGCAACGGGAACGACTGTGCGTGAGAAAAGAGAAAAGAACAAAAGAAGCGACGAAGAACGAAAAATTGCCGGCGGTGGCGTGCGAAGGCGTGCCATTGAGGTGCTTCTTAACTTGTACGTAAGACGGAAACAGCGAAACTGGGGGTAGCGATGAGTGATCTGCCTCCATCGTGACTCGTAAAAGGTAATAGAAACAGAGTAAACGAACCCAAAAAGAAAAGGAAAAAGAGGAAATGATTCAATACCTGATCGTTAGTATGGGTACACAAAACAAGGTACCTACAATACAAAAATACAAACCCGAGCTGGAATCAATTTTTTCTCATTTTTGCCGTCCTCGTGATGGTACAGTGCCGACGCCCGGATGGGTCCGTTTGCAGAGCCACAGCGTTTGCCCCCTGGGCTAAGGGGTTTTTTTTGGGGTCTGCCAAAAAAAGAAAACCTAACGAAAAAACGAGACAGACAGAAAGAGAAAAAGGAAGCGGGGCGAGGTTAGTCAAAAGACCCACGATTTACTAACAGGTGGCCACAGCTTTTTTTCTCCGCCAAGAGAAGTGTCTCTGGCAGGGCAATTTACCTTCAAGACGGCGCTGTGCTTCCCCCAGATTTTCGTAGCCGAGAGACTACTCCTCCATACTACTGCTAGGGCAGACAGGCAATGAGTACGGGATGCAGTACTTGCCGCTTGCTGCCACCCTCCCGTACTCTCAAGACGCTGCTAGTTTGTTTTCTCTTTTCCCGGGGAAGGCTGCTGCTCCATTAGACATTGGACCATTGGAGGCAAAGCAGCAAACGAGCAAACGAGTAGATGAAGCAGCCCTCGCCGATGTATGCATAAATCAACGGATCAATGAGCAGCTTGCTTTCGGCCTATGTACCGAAACTGTCTGGACACTGTGTCCGAGGATATTGTCTCATCACCTGCGGATGATAGGTCTCTTTTTGGTATTACTGCATGTAAGAGGTACCAAGGTACCAAGCGCAATGTACTTGGCGGTACTCTGTTCCGAACTGCAAAATCCATGATCGGCGTGGACTGCCCATTCTCGAGTTGCCAGTTTTGTTCCTTTGCGGCTCGTGTTCGCCGCGTTTGCGCCATCGCCAGGTACGGAGACGTCGACCTGTACCTATGCATGCAAGGTACATGCAGACACTTTGCAAACAAGTCAGCAGCACAGTTAGTACGCACCTAGCCTCCTGCGAGCCCGTCACAACCCAGCGCCATCCTGGGGTCATCAGGTACACTGGGGGTAATGGAAACGGCAGACTCAGAAAGCTGGGGGTAATGGAAATCGAAAGCTCCGGCCGGCTTTCTGCTTGTGGGGTCAGCCGATGGCCGACGGGGACCCGGTGCGGGGCTTCTCCAGGCCGTGCCGAATATATTGGGGAGCTGGCGTTTTATCCACGTCTTGTTTGGCTGCTGGGCCTTTGTCCGGCATTAGTGGCTTCTCTTGCTCTATCGATCAGGTTTCCTATTTGCTGGCGGTGGGTAATTGTCGAGCTCCAGGCCGGGCCAATGCATTGGCAAGGGACACGTACTGTGCTGTACACGTCCGTGGCAGTACCTGCACAATGCCTGCATGCCAGCAGCGCAGCGTCGAATCGAACGGACAGGATAGGGGGTGATGAAAATTTCTTCCGCCACGGGTTCGGGTTGGCCATAGGGGCAGCCACGCAATCTTGCTGGCGTCGCAGATTGGGTCGTCGTCGGCAGCCGCATTGTGCCTCGTGGTCAAGCAGACAGGGCCATTGGCCCGCTACCCGCTTCCGCCATGCAGGCATCGAGCTTCTCGCACTAATACTGTAAATGCTCTGGGACCATCAGCTCGAAAGAAGGAGTGCATCCCCGCGGCTGGCCGCTGGGTCGCGCCAAACGGGAAGCCAGCTGGACATCCCGGACCCGTCGCCGGGACGATTCGAGCGGGCAGCAAGGAGGTTGCAATGTTCATGTACGAGTCCTGTACGATATAGGCTAGTTGGCTAGGTACAGGAGTTGAGTTTGCACTTTTGTTGGGAATTCCTCGACGGCATGGCTTGGATACCCCGGATCTACTTGGCCATTCGTGAATGTGCACCGTCCAAGTGTTCTGCAAGTACATTGCCTGGGCCTGGAAGAAGCGGTATGTGAAAAGGCCACCTGCACCATATGCTGGTAGCATCGGAGAATAAAAAAGAAAAAAAGGGAATTGAAAGAAAATTAGAAAGCGAGACTAGACCATGCGCGTTGTGGAGGCATTTGTCAGGTGGCCTTTTTTGTTTTTTTTTTCCTGTCCTTTCTGGAGGCGAAATTTGCTGACTATGACAAACAAGCTCGTAACAGCTATTGTTGTCGCAGAAACCTTGCAGGGCTAGAAGCCATCCTGGCCAACCCTGCATTGTCACGATGGCATTTTCGAAACAAGTGAGAAGACGACGAGCCAGGCTTGGGATCCAATGGATTTGCACGACTTGAGGAAATGCTAGGGGTACGTACACCAAGCAATTACAGCAACTTCTGTAAACCCGAGGCAGTTGTATACATGCTCACCAGCATGCGCGAATACAATAGTCGTAGAGACCAAGTATACAAATTGAGTGCTTGGATTGTCGTCCAAAGATGTGGACACTCACACTGGCGTCGATGTTGCCGCTCCCCCTTTTGGAAATCGGCTACTTGCTTGCCTAGTGGTAATAGGCGGCTAAGGATGGACAATTCAGAAGCCAGAAGATCGCACGTCAGCGTGGCATCACATTGCAACTCAAAAGATCAATGCAAGTCGGCAAGGGTATAGAAACGAATTGTCAAGCTGAGACAACCTTGAAGGAATCCTGTGCAACAAACAACGATTCTGACTCCATCCCTTGCAGCTGTACGAGGACCGCTACAGCACAGTATGCAGTACCGAGTCTGGTGATGACTCGCAGGATAGACACGGCCATAGGCCATTGGGCACGGAGCACCGCATGAGGCTTAGCCGTGGCTCCAGCAGATGCCTCGTGTGGCAGAAGAGCATCAGCAGAACGAGAGGGAGTGACAAGGAGGGGGAGAGGGGCAGCCCCAGGACATCTGGAGAAGCTGTGAGAACATCATGAGAAAAACGAAGCAGGAAAAATTGAATCCATTGCTCTAGCGCAGAGCCTCGAATAGCCGGCTCCCAGCCCAGAGGTACGTACCGAGAGTACGCCATGCCCTCCGCCGCAGTACCTCCGCCGCCACACGTCAACGGCGCAGTCATCTGGTACCTCGGGCCTCCTGGGCAAGTCACCGGGCCGGAGGATATGGCGGAATTGGCCAGGAGGTGCCGCATTGCAGCGCCTGCACTTGCCTGCAGCCCGGTGCTGGTTCCTGATTGCTGAACGGTCAGGTACCGGGCGCCCGGACCACGCTTACTACCCGATGTGGCCTAGCAGGCAGTTGCTATTTGGTAATATTGCGCCTGGAGTATGTAAGAATATGTAAGGGAAATGCACGGAGGGTGAGGTCATATCGCGATCTAGCGCATGTGCTCTGTTTTTTCGGTCGTCTTGGGGGCCGCTTGCGTGCGTACGCCGTATGCGAAATACTGTGCAGGATTTTTTCGTTTTTTCTTTTCTTTTCCTATTGCCCCTTTCGTCACCCTCCCGTCGGTACCTTAGGTACCTGGTTGCGTCTGGATAGAGTACTGTACGTACCTTTACGGAGTACAGTATGAGCACTGGCGGTTTAGAAATTTGCCCCGGCCGCATTGGAGATGAGGGCGAGAGTCATCTGACCGCGTGCCAACGGTCTAGACGGAGGGCAGGCAAAACACGTGATTGATTGATTGAGATTTGATTTGAAAACTGCTAGCAGGAGAGAGAGAGAGAGAGAGAGAGAGAGGAGAGGCCCCTATAATGGATGTTGGAAGCTGAGCGAGTGGTGAGCTACAGTACAATACAGTACTTGAATACCAGCTATGAGGACATGGAGGGCACAATTGTGTGTGCTTGAAAAAGGTAAACTGAGGTCATTGGTACGACAGAAGCAGCATCTCAACCGGCCCGGCACACCGGCTGGCGCTGGTACCGGTGACCACAGCAGCCCTGGAGAGTCGCTGGAAACGAAAAGATTCGAGAAACAGCGGAGCCTGCACTAGCACGGGGGCAGCGGAGGTACGTGCGGATACTCGAGTACCTAAGGTACCTCGCTCAGGGTGCACGGTACACGGTACTTGGGCGCAAGCGTGCAAGCGCCGCAGCGCCTCCAGAGCCCAGCTAGAGCCCATCCACAGGGCCAGCGCAGGCCCAGCGCAGGGGCTCCAGTTCTGGGCCTGGCTTGGCCCACCGGGGGAGGGGCAGCGAGCAGGTCACCAGCCAAGTACCGTCGCGTACCAGCAGGCAAGTGACGGCCTTGAAGGACGCGGGCAAGAGTCACGAAGCGATGCGAATCCGTCGCCGAATTACTTAAAGGCGCGGCCGCCAGTTGCGGTGCCTCGTGGAATCGCCTGGCATCAGCATCAGCATCACATCTTGATTATTTTGGGCCTGTCAGCAGCGCCAATTGGCTTGCAATTCCTCACTTATCATCCCGACTCGCCCCTCCTATCTCTCCAGATCATCCTCCCCCATATCCATATCACCAACCTTATACTTTTCTCTTCTGCATCTTACCTCTCCTCGCTTGCTTTATCGCCCACATAAAAACATCCTCAGGGGACAAGCAGCAAACAAGACAAAACATTCATGTAAGGCAATCAATCAATCCCCATCCCCGGCGAACAAGCAGCTCCAAAGCCGCCAGAAGCCATGCGGCACTCGGCACTGCCGAAGCTGTCAGCTCCCTTCTGATCGGTGGATCGCCCAACGCCCCAAAAAAGCCCCAAAAGAGCTGAGAAGAAAAAAAGAGAGTTGGCTGCAAACAATGGATGGCTAACGGGAATCGAGACTAAAATAGAAATACGCAAAGTCTTCCTCCAGAGCTCAATCCTTATCTCTTCGCTCACGCACCGACCTTCTTACGAGACCAATACGAAGCTCGTCTCACCGTTTGCTCTTATCTTTGCTGTCCGGACGAACCCCTGCACCGCCACAGCCCGACTCTTATTTTTGCCCTTTGAATAGTGGTTATCTTAGTTGGTACGTTATTGATGGCTTTGACAAACAAGCTCGCAGCTTCTCCTTTTTTTTGGCTGCTGCTGAAAACAGCTGTTTGCTGACTTCTCGGGTCCAGGATTCATTCGAGATCCCTTTTTGCTTTTTTCAATCTGTCCTAATCACTTAGGTACGTGGCGGTTGCGAGCCCTCTAATTGGGTTATCGACAGCTGTATCCCTTTCCTTGTACCCCCGTCCCTCTCCGCCGTTCCCGTCGAATCAACAAGGCAGATTGGTGGAAAGAAACCAATGGGGGGTGGTGAAATGACAATGCCTGAGCTTTGGCCTGCGGCGGTGAGGACAATCGTGTCTTACACCGGCTCGCTGGACATTTGCTCGGTCAATGCCGTTATTCACACGCCCCCTAAGTATACACTTAGACGCATTCCTTGTGGAAGATCCCCTGGCAACTGAGATATCTTACTGTATCAACGCCACGAGTGTGGCGCTGCCATCTGATCTCTCCTTGCATCTCTCGAGCAGAATGTCTCACGTTGGCTCTTGATATCTACCCCTGGCGCAAGTCGTCCATGTCATTGACTCGTGCGCTATGCCACAAATCAATCGCTGGGTGAATTTATGCCAGAGTTCTTATCTTTGGCGTTCCAGCCTGGTCCTCGTGGTCGTATTTATATAGCATCTATCATGCTATATATCTTGACCATGGCTCCTTGCAAAGACAGCGTTTCCCCATCCCTCTCTCATTTTCACCACATCTTTCGTTAATTCCCAGCTCTTGTTGTTTATTCGTTTAATCTTTGTTTTTCGATTCGCCTTTCATAATGGCTCTGGCAATTCAGACTAATTTTTCCCCCAGTGACAGCTTTCCTGAATACAAAGATCCTTTTCAAGACCTAGCACCCACAATGGCTTCCCCAGTCCCTCTCAAGCCCAAGTCTGTGGCTCAGATTCAAACCGCTGAATCAGACTCAAGTCGTGGTCCTTCTCCTCAGCCCACCCACGTCAGCGTTCCTCCCGTCCCTCTGGCCTTGAGAAATGGCCACCGAGTTCTGCGCTCTGCCACAGTCGGCTACGTTGCTCCCCAGTTTGAGGGAAAGACGGAGCAGATCAAGGCTGTCAAGGCCATCATCCAGCAGGGTGGCTGGCTCCCCGATACTCTGATCGACGAGCAGATTGAGTGGTTCTACGAAAAGCTCGGCATCGACGATGTCTACTTCTACATTGAGACCCCCGATGTCATCGCCAACCAAATCACTTCCCTCTATGCCGCCAAGGTTGCTGCCCACTCAAGAGAGGACAAGCAGGAGGAGATCCGCCTGGACATGGAGGCCAACGACCACGCCATCTACATCGACACCAGCGAGCCCGGCAAGGGTCACGTTGGCGGACCCAGATATGAGTCCCGTCTTGAGTCCAAGTATCTGGACCACCAGGGCAAGAGCAAGTACCGTGTCGAGACTTTCCGGTCACCGGCCGCCATTGGCGCCAGCCCCAACTCCAAGGCCACTGTTCGCTGCTACTTTGTGTACCAGTGCCACTTCAAGCAGAGCCCCGAGAGCACCGACCCCAAGGAGACCAGAATCGAGGTCATCTCCGATGTTGGTTTCTGGCAAAAGGCCACCGCCAACACCAAGCAGGTGTACCAGGAGATTATTGAGCTTGCCGTCAACAGGGCCGGTCCCGTCATTGAGGTCTTTGACATTGAGGGCTCCCCCGAGAAGCGTCTGGTTGTTGCTTTCCGCAGCCGCACTGCCCGAGGCATCTTCTCGACTCTCAGTGACCTGTACCACTACTATGGCGTCACCAGCTCAAGAAAGTACGTGGAGCAGTTCTCCAACGGCATCACTGTCATGAGTGCCTATCTCCGCCCTGCCTCCAACCTCGAGGGCTACTTCCCTTCCATCGATGCCTCCATCCACCAGATCACCAAGGAAATCTCCCTCCTCTACTGCTTGCCCCAGAACAAGTTCCACCACCTGTTTGCCACTGGCGAGCTGAGCCTGCAGGAGTCTGTCTACGCCCACAGCGCGTGGGTGTTTGTCCAGCACTTCCTGAACCGTCTCGGTCCCGAGTATGCTTCTCTGTCCGAGATTCTGGACTCCAAGCAGAACGCCCATGCGGCTCTGCTGTCCAAGCTCAAGCGACGTCTGCGTACCGAGACTTTCACTCCCGACTACATCCTCGAGATCATCCAGTCGTACCCTGAGCTTGTTCGTCTGCTCTACGCTGCCTTTGCCAACGTACACCTCGGTGTGGGCCAGGACACAGATATGATCTTGGCCACCCCTGCTGTCGAGGTCATGTCCGACGAGAAGCTCCGAGACAGGATCTCCAAGACGGTGTCCAACGAGCACGACGAGATGGTCATGACCGCTTTCCGAGTCTTCAACAACGCCATCCTCAAGACCAACTACTTCACCCCTACCAAGGTCGCCCTCAGCTTCCGCCTGGACCCCTCTTTCCTGCCAGAGGCCGAGTACCCCAAGCCTCTGTACGGCATGTTCTTGGTCATTGGTGCCGAGTCTCGCGGTTTCCACCTCCGTTTCCGAGACATTTCTCGTGGTGGTATCCGTATCGTCAAGTCTCGCACCAAGGAGGCGTATGGCATCAACGCCCGTAACATCTTTGACGAGAACTACGGCCTTGCCAGCACCCAGCAGCGCAAGAACAAGGACATTCCCGAGGGTGGATCCAAGGGTGTCATCCTCTTGGACCCCAAGCAGCAGGACAAGGCCACCGAGGCCTTTGAGAAGTACATCGATAGTATCCTGGATCTTCTCCTGCCCGCGGAGACCCCTGGCATCAAGAACCCCATTGTCGACCTGTACGGCAAGGAGGAGATCCTGTTCATGGGTCCCGACGAGAATACTGCCGACTTGGTCGACTGGGCCACCGAGCACGCCAAGGCTCGTGGCGCCCCCTGGTGGAAGTCCTTCTTCACCGGCAAGTCTCCCAAGCTCGGTGGTATCCCCCACGACAAGTACGGCATGACCACTCTGTCCGTGCGCGAGTACGTCAAGGGCATCTACCGCAAGCTCGAGCTGGACCCCTCTCAGGTCCGGAAGATGCAGACCGGTGGCCCCGACGGCGACTTGGGCAGCAACGAAATCCTTCTCAGCAACGAAAAGTACACTGCCGTTGTCGACGGCGCCGGTGTGTTGGCGGACCCCAACGGCCTGGATAAGGATGAGCTCATTCGCCTGGCCCGGAAGCGTGCCATGATCAGCGAGTACGACATCTCCAAGCTGTCCAAGGATGGATACCGCGTCCTTTGCGAGGAGAACAACGTCACACTGCCGAGCGGAGAGGTTGTCAACAACGGCACTTCGTTCCGCAACACATACCACCTGCGCGAGAACAACACGACCGACTCGTTTGTGCCTTGCGGTGGCCGACCCGAGTCCATTGACCTCATCTCGGTCAACAGGCTCATCAAGGACGGCAAGAGCATCATCCCCTACATTGTCGAGGGTGCCAACCTGTTCATCACCCAGGACGCCAAGCTCCGCCTGGAGGCTGCGGGCTGCATTCTCTTCAAGGATGCCTCTGCCAACAAGGGAGGTGTTACCTCTTCTTCGCTGGAAGTCTTGGCCTCTCTGTCGTTTGACACTGAGGGATTCATCGAGCACATGTGCGTCGACCACAAGACCGGAAAGGCTCCCCAGTTCTACAACGACTATGTCCGAGAAGTCCAGGCCAAGATCCAGGAGAACGCCCGTCTCGAGTTTGAGGCCATCTGGCGCGAGCACGAGCAGACCGGCATTGCCCGATCTATCCTGTCCGACAAGCTTTCAGTGGCCATCACCGACCTCGACGAGAAGCTGCAGCACTCTGACCTGTGGGACAACGAGAACATCCGCAAGGGTGTCTTGAGGAACGCGCTCCCCAACATGCTGCTCAACAAGATTGGCCTCGACACCATCATCTCTCGTGTGCCGGAGAACTACCTGCGCGCCATCTTTGGCAGCTACCTGGCCAGCCGATTCGTCTACCAGTTTGGCAGCCAGCCCAGCCAGTTTGCCTTCTTTGACTTGTAAGTTTGAAATCCAAACCATTCCTGATGACTATAAAACAATGACTAATTTTGCATGAATAGCATGACCAAGAAGCTGGCTGAGATTTCAGGCCAAGCCAACGGAACTGAGCAGGTCAGACGCATGTCTATCCACCAGTAAAGGAGACGGAAGTGGATGCATGAATTGCTTTTTTCTTGATTTTTTATGAGCTTTTACTTTTTTCAGCGTGTTTTGCAGTATTTTTCATATGATGCATTGATGGAGACCAACATGTCTCATTGGGTTAAACGAGAAAATAAAACGTCGATGGTTGCGCGACTGTCTCTGGTTCTAGGACAGCTTGAGAAATAGATTTCATGGGATTATTGATGGGAATAGGGTTTATGGCATAGGGAAACCGAAAGAAAAAAAGATGATTGTGTGACTACGTACGTAGTACGGTCTGCAGTCGAAACGATAGATACAACTAATGGCAACTGTCAAATTCTCTTACACAAACAAGCCTGACTGGGATTTACGATGCACGGTGAATGTTTGAAACAATATGTTGAATATGTTTGAGAGAGGGTGAGAATTGCGTGCTTGGTCTGGTGCCTTGTTATCTAGACTAACACGAGCGGGAACCCATGAGATGCGATGCGACACGATGCGAGATGCAAAGCCCGGCAATTACAGTAGCAGCACGGTACTTGTTTCGGCCAAGTGCGTATGCAAACTGAAAGAAAAAAAAAAAAAAGTTGACGCAAGCATGTCATGCTATGTCATGTTTCGAAATCCAGGGGTAAGCAAAGCAAGAGACGAAGGAAGAATTAGAGATTGGGTGAGATTGCGTGGAGGGTGGGGGGAGTTTCAGCTTTGGTTCGGTTCGGGGCTGGCGAGCTGGGTATGGGTGTGGTGGGAGGTACATGTGCGATTGCGGTAGGATTGCTGGTGGTGGGAGGTACCCTAAGCTTAGGGTCCAATGGGTTTTATGCGGTGGGTTTGCATTGCATTGGATTTTTGTGTGGGATTGATGTTGGTTTATGCATTCATGCGTGTGTGTTTATAAAAGTGTAGTATGTAAAGGGAAGATGAGAATGAGAATGAAAGTCGATGATGAGAATGAATGAGTGAGTGAGTGTAAAAATTCGTGAGTGAGGCTGAAGGGAGATTTCGGTCCCTCCAGACCCCATGTCGAATCTTGTCACTTGCAGGTTTGTGGATATCCAATCCATACGAGGTGGGCCTTTGGTTGCAGCTTGCATTGTACCTTGCATGAGTCCGATTTTGGAGTGAGAGAGGGGCTGAAAAAAAGGCAAAGAAGAGAAAAAAGATGAACTATGACGATGACGATGATGGGGGGAGAGGAGGAAATAGAATGTGGAATGGGATGGGGAGTGAAACTTGGTGGCGAGAGGAATGTTGAGTTGGGGGATGCTGGATGGGAGGTGAAGAAGAGAGACTGATATGTCTCAGTAAATACAAGGCGTCGGGTTTCTTTTACTGAGTAGAGCTATCATCGTCTAATACTACAGGCTCTATGTAAATAATATTGATGGTGCAATGACAGAGAGGGTCAGCAATATTATCATGGAATCAAGTAGCATGATGCAGTACAGTAGCAAACATGACACACAGACAACAGACAGACATGAATAGAATCGAATGATGCAAAGCCCACTGCATCTTTGCTTGATTCAGCCTATTTTTGTCCACCATCGTCTCTTGTCCTAGTCCTAGCCTCCCCCAATCCTTCTCTGACCTCACCTCACCTCAGACTTTTTCCCCCTCCCCCTCTCTCTCCCTTTGCCCTCCCTCTATCTACTAAGCCTTACTAGATCGAGGTGTCGATTTTTTCCCTTTCCTGCCCATCTGTTATTATTCTGCCTTGCCCACCCACTGCCTCATGCATCGTGTCAGCAACAAGGCTCGTATGAAATAAGAAAATAAACCGCAGCAATCGAACCCGAAATCAGCCAAGATAAGCCCAACCCAACCAGGGGACCAACCAATCGTCCAACCGTGTCCCGCTTTGGCGAGCTGAGCGAAATCCACGAGTAATTGTCTAGTGCCGTGGGGATCGCCAATACCCGCACACGCAGTCCGCACTCCGGCACAAAGAATTGAATCGTGGTCTGTGTGCTGTTGCGTCTCGTTTCATTTGTGCCGTGGCGTGACGTGACTGAGAGAGAATCGGATTCAAGAACTACAAAAAACGAAAACCCACCGAAACGATACATTGGACACTTGATCAGCTGCGGCTGGACGCTGTGATTCGCCATGACCAGGCCCTTGATCGTCAGAGCGGGTGCGTATTATTTTTCCATCGTCTTTGCTCCTCTTCGTCTTCGTCCACGTCGTTTCCCCCCTGTCGCCTGTTTTTTGTGTGCTTCATTCAGTCAATCAATTGCAAACCACTGCATCAGGCATTGGCCCTCGTTTCCCCCATCTTGCTCTTGCTCCCTCTTGCAGATACAATCGTCACAGACCAGACCAAACTCCCCCCTGTCCGCGCGCGTGCATTTTCATGCTGCCCGCCTGTGATTCTGCATCTTGGTTGGCGTCTTTTTCTCGACCCCCCTGCTAGCAGCTAGATTTGGCCTGCGGAATTGTGCCTGTCACTGGCTCCAGAAAAAAAGGGACAGGATTTCGCGCCACCCCCGTTTCGACCTCGCTCGATGTTATTAGCCTGTCCTGTCTGTCTGCGCGAGCATCGCATTGCGATAAAGGGAAGAAAAGAACAACTGCCTAACTGCTGACCGGGGGTCTGTTTCTGCCTTTCTTGTCGTTTCATCTTCTCATCTGCCGTCTTGGTTGCAAGTCCAGATTGTGCTTCTGCTTCGTTTTCTGCTTCTTGCTTCTACTTTCTGCTTCGGCTTTTGTGTTCCTATTCCTCCCACCGGCTCACCAGCAGCTTCCTTTCTTCCCTTCTCTTCCATCTTTTGGCCCCCCTTGCGCCCCTTCTTTTTTTTTTTTTTTTTACCACCTTTGCAGCATCTGCCTTCTCTCGCTCGCTCTCTTTGACTCTCCTTCACTCCCAAAAGACCCCGAAAAAAATAATCCCCGTTACCATTTTCCCGTTTCATTTCTGCCCAGTCCGCGACGCGAGACACGCGAGCATTGATTGCTTCACAACGCCCATCGAGACTGACCGAGCGCCCTTCTCTCCCCCTTTGGCACGAATACAGACACGATTGACTTGCAACATCACCACGCCCCGTCGACCCAGGATCACTCCGCACCCCGAGGTCTTACGGGTCATACGATATCCCGAAACCCCTTCTCCAACCCTCCTGTGCTGCTCGCTCCGCACCAGGCCGAGACCCTTCGCGAAGTCGCCCACGAGACCGCCATCGCGCAATCCCGCAGTCCCTGGGCTGCCTCCGACACAGACAACGGCCGACCGAACGCTGAAAATATTGCCGACGGCATGGACGTGTATCAGCAACACCAGCACCAGCAGGACTCGCTGGCCGTCGCCCAGAATGGCGGCATGGCCGACGACGACGACATCGAGGAGGATGGCGACCTCGATGACGACATGATGGATCGCATCTCCAGTTCGCCTTCCATCGAAGATGGTGCGTGCAGCTCTGTTGTCACTCCCGTGGCCTGGCCGCGGCGAGTTTCTTCCCTATCTTGCATCCCACGGACCCCCTGGACGTCATTGCACTCGCACCCTCACTCTTCCTCCCCATCTCCAGCTCCCAGCACAGCAGACACAGATTCCCTACAGCACAATCGCATTGCCCATCGTCATCTTCTCTCGGGTGAGTATGCGGGCCGCAGCCACGACGACGATGACAACGAAGACGGCGGCAAAAGACACGTCGACGGCTACGTAATTGGCCAGTCAGACGACGGCAGTGAGACGCAAAGCTTGGAGACCAAAGGCTAGGATCCCGCGGTGGACAAGGATGGCAACGCGTTGGCACACGATCCCGACAGTCAGCATGTTCTCGTTGCCAAGGACGACACGTATTTTGCGGAATGCGACTGTGACTTTGACTGCAACGACCGGCACCTTTGCGCACACGAGGCAGATTGTGACCCCGACATGTCGCTCACGATACCTTACAACAAGTCCTTTGAAGAAGATGATGATTCCGACTTTTCCCTCCCCGATGATCCACGCTTCATTGAATATGGTTGGGCGGCAGAATGCTTACATGAACCAGAGGATATCGATTTCGAATTCGTTTACGCCCTCCACACCTTTGTCGCTACCGTCGAGGGCCAAGCCAATGCAACCAAGGGCGATACCATGGTTCTGCTAGACGATAGCAACAGCTATTGGTGGCTGGTCAGAGTAGTCAAGGATAGCAGCATTGGTACGTTGACTGTTTGGTTCTACTTTGAGAAATCCATCCATGTTGGCTAACATATTCCTAGGCTACCTGCCAGCCGAACACATTGAGACGCCTACCGAAAGGCTCGCTCGTTTGAACAAGCACAGGAACATTGATGTACGCAATCCCTCTCGTGCTGGAAAGGAAAAGGCCTTTGTTCTAACTAACTGTTTAATCAGCTCTCCGCCACCATGTTGACCGATCAGCAACAAGTGCAGAAACCAAAGACTGGCTTTTCCATTGGCATCAAGAAAAAGGCAACAGTCGCTTTTGCGGAGCCCACCTACCACGACTACTCTGACCACGACTATTCTTCGGAAGAAGAAGACCTTGACGAGATGCTAGACGCTACCCAGACGAAGCAACAGTCGGCATCCGATGGCGACCCTGCCGATGACAGCGCCAGAGTAGAGCCGCTCAAGACCAAATCATCCAAGGGCGCCAAGCCATCGGATCAGACACTAGACGAGTCCTCTGACGAAGAAGATCTCCGAGGAAGCCTCGACATTGTGGAGAAGAAGGGCCCCAGCATATCTCGCAACGGCAACATCAGGAACACCGACTCTTTCTTTAAGGACGAAACAGCCGAGACCAAAAAGATCACCCTTACGCCTAACTTGCTGCGGGATGACGCCCCTCGGGAGTCCACCGACTCTGTCGGCAAGTCTCGGACAAGCTTGGACAGGCTCGAAAAGGAGCTCATGTCCGACAAGGACAGGAAGAAGAACAAAGACAAGAAGGAAAAGGAAAAGGACAAGGACAAGAAGCCCGGTGGTCTCCGAGGCCTCTTCTCGAGAAAAGACAAGAAGAGGTCGCCCGACGATAACGGGCTCGAGAGCGAGCCCCGCGATAGCGAGGAGCGCTTCTCAGAGGAGCATTCATCTCCCGAAAAGGCCAGGCAGCCGGCCAAGCTGCACAAGCCTCAAGCCCGGATCGAGCCAACCGTCAACAACAAGGCGCCCCAGGCTTCCACCGTGGAGCTTGCCTCGTACTTGGCTGAAAGCCGCATCAACGACGTCTCCAATGTCCCCCCGCCCTCGATGCGCATCGTCAACCCTGAAACGAACGAGACGCATGAAGTCCCATCACACCAGCCTCCTCGTGGCCGCCCATCTCTGGATCAGCCGCTTTCTCCCACCTCCCGCCGAGGCGAGGTGGTTCCCAGCCCCAGATCTGCCACCGCCCCGCGTGCGCTCAACCACTTGGATCTATCCGATTCCGATGATGATGAGTCAGATGATGGCGAAAACATTCTGGATCGCATGCCTCAGCCCAACAGCTCCAAGCCCGAGGCCCCCAAGGCATTCCAGGAGGAAGAGGTGGAAGAGCCCATCATCCCGGGCTCTTTCCCCGATACCAATCCCTTTTCTCCCAATTACAGACCTTCCCCTTCACCGCAACCCCCAACCAAGCCAGAGACTCGCCCAGCCGCGGAACCATCTCCCGTGTCTCCGGTTGCTTCATCAGAGCCACCCGCTCTTATGGTAGACACTTCGTCTCCAGAGGACCGCTCACCTTCTGTATCGCCCTCTCCGGAGCTTACCCAGACTGCGGAGGATCAATCCAAGAGCAGCTCCTCTTCCACGGGAAGCAAGGAGCCGGCTTGGGACGACATGAAGCTTCGTGCCTTTTTCGATGAGCCCGACCATATCCGCGATCTCCTGGTCGTGGTGTACGACAAAACGGACGTGGTGCCCGCGAGCAGCGACCATCCGGTTGTAGGTCCCCTCTTCCGGGAGCCGAATGCCAAGTTGGCAGAGATAACAACGGTAAGTGACATCGCCTTATTATGCGAAGAGAATCAAAAACTAACAGCGTGCTAGCAACTTGACAACATGCTTGGAGATTGGTTGGCAAGGAAACAACGCACTCGAGGATCTCGCTGAACCAATGCGAAAATAAACAGCCTTCTTATTACTTGTACATAATGTTTTGTTCGAGGGGGAGCCTTGAGGCCCCCTACATTTTACCCACCCCACACGTTGATCGCTGTTTTGGAGGAAAATTCAGCTGCTGGATTCACGCTCATCCCGTCGCGCAGCGCACGGCTTTGTCATCTTCATCCTTTGTATGAGAAATCTTTTGTCTTTTGTTGTTGTCGGACCAGATTTAGCCATCATGGGCGTTTGCGGGAATCCAGTGGGGGAAAAAAGAAAAAGAGTTTTCCAACATGACGACGAAATTTGAATGCGACAAATGCACCGCATGCTTTCTTGTTCTTCTTCTTGTTCTTTATTATGGGTTGATGCCCTCAAAATCTTCTTTTTTGTTCTCCCCGTCTTTCATCTAAAGCTTGAAGCTGGAGCTGAAGCCTCTGTTTTTTTCATTTGTCATGTCAACATGCTTCATGATGAGATATACACCACCCCTTCGCATACACATTTTCTTACTCGGTTGGTGAAAAAGAAGGCACTGCAAAGGCATGGTTGTCTTTTTTCTTTCGGGGAGAAATTTGGAGGGATGGGGATGGGATTATTCTTTACAGGCTGCTTCTTTTTCGCTTTTGGTCAGGCAGGTATTTAATTTTTTATTTATGTCTCCTTTTCTTCTTATCTTTTCGAATTTTGTGTGTTTGTTTCTTCTGGTCGTGTTGACTGACTGTGTTTGTACGACGTGGCTGCCTGCAATCTTTTGACTTTTTTTTTTTTTTTTTTTTTTTTCTCTTTTCCTTCTCTTTTTCTTGGTTTCATTTACTTTGTGCTTGGAGGAGCGGGATGGGAAAGCATAGCCGATACATTTCATTTTCTCTTGTGATGGACTAGATAGACCCTGGTGGTTTACTTTTTTCTTCTTCTTCCATCTTCTGTTCTTTGGTGTCCCTGTGGGGAGAAGCATCTTCCCATGATGGGATGTGGGATTTTTTTATCTCTTTTTACCCTTTTTTGTGTCTTGTGTTTGTAGTAGTATGTGTATTTTTTGGTGTCGTGCTGTGGGTGAATTTAGGAGAGAGGAGAAGAGGAGTGGTTGAGTTTGGGGAGGATGGGAAGTGAAGGGTGATGATACCCATTTTTGTTTTAGTTTTTAGCTTCTTGAAGAGATGATGTTGTGTGGTTTTTATTTTGCCTCCTTTGTGTGCCTTTCGTTGTTTTTGGTGAGATGTGAGATGTGAGATGGTTAGAGGTGATTTCCGGATTGATGTGTTAAAGTAGGTGATATTTGTAGAGATGGTTGGGGATGTAGCTGTAGACTTGTGGAGAATGATGAGTGTCTAGACATCTTTGGAAGGGTTGGCTGTATTGTTGGATGTTTTGGGAGGATGAGTTGGTGTAAAGTGACGTAGATGTTGTGAAATTGGTTTGGGGATACGTTAGTTGTCAAGAACGGGTTTGTTTAGTTGGGGTTACGGAATAGTGGTGAGGACATACATGCCGTTAGTTAGCTTGCTCTTTTTTTTTGGTTGTAGGGGTGTTGCTGAGAAGTAACGTGATCATTTCTTTGCCTGTTTCAACATCAACGACCATAAGTATCTAGCTATCTAAATACACAAATCCTCATCTGGGCGATAGGTCGGTGCGAGTTGGTTTCTGTCTTGATCAGAGGTAAGTTGACGTATGTACTTTGTAATGTGAACCTGAAGTGTGAAGTGAAGGTGTAGAAGATCGTTGGATTATTTAGAGTGAGGGATGCTTTTGTCTACTTGGGTGATTGACTTTGACTAAGATGTGGTTAAGTAGAACTCGATTATGATGTTTGCTTTTGCAGAGTAATTTATTCAATTACCTTACTTGTCGATACTGAGACTCAACTGTTCGTTGTGAGTAGTCAGCAGGATTAAAAGATTCAGAAATAGAAGTGGGCTAAGCAACCAAGTAGCATATTTTTCTAGAGCTATGGAGTTGAGACTATGAAAGGAGGTGCTATTTGGTGGCTTTCGAGTTGTTTGAATGGTTCTATATATTGGCTGTGATTATCTTGCCAACTAGATATGATGTTTGTTTCTGGGGGAGTATTGAGCCACGGAAGGGGGATGGCTATGATGGAGATTTTTTTGGTAGATTTGAGTGGGGTTGTTGAAGTCGATGATGGGTTGATGGGGGCTCTTGGGTTTAGTATGAAGGTTTCAGTATTCGTAAATGGTTGTTTTGGGTGATATGAGAGCTTGATAGAGAAGACGCGAGTGACTGGAGCAAAGACATTTATGGTCAATAGTTAGCGGTAGATTCGTGATTGGCCATGGCAAGCGTAAAGAAATGGTAGACTGAGTCTCTTTGATGCCCTCTCGAATATCATATCTCACTGGGTCTGCGATGTATCATCTTGTCTGGTAAATGGTGTCAATGTGTTCTGGCCTGGTCTGTGATCAAGACATATCAACTTGCCGCCATCTCACATGCTCTCACGCTCGAAACACCAATCCACGAACCAGACACATCACAGCGGGCAATCGTGGGCATCAGAATTCATCATTGTCGTCAACGGTGCGTCATATTTCCCTAGCAGTTGGACAATACGTCTTCCCTTCTCCCGCCGCAATGCAGCATGCATGCGCGCATGGCAATAAAAGCAACCCGTAGCACCTCTCTTTCAAAAAAACAAGACAGCAGCAATGGAAGTCTGCATGCGCCCCCCTCCTTTCCAGAGATAAAAAAACCCGATAAACCCGGAGAGTCTGAGAAGAAGAAAAAAAAAAGACAACAAACACAGGAGTGCCAAAACAAAAGCCTTTTTGTGAACTGTTTAATCTTTTTTTTGTTCTCCGTTGTTGTGTGTGCTTTAAATGCTTTATTTTTGTTTTCTCTATCGTCACATCCACACCCGATGATACCGACAGAACTTTCCCTCTCTCTCTCAAGTCCCCGTAAACGCCTAGGTCTAAATTTAGACCTCCGTTGTGACCTTGGCCTTGGCGTTTGTGACCTTGACACCGATCTGCTTGGCGCGGGAGATGATGTCGATTCGCTTTCGGGATGAGACGGCGCTGGCAATCCTGTGGGAAAGAGGTTAGTCGAGGGGAGATGTTCCAGAGGCAAGATGGAAGAGTGACGTACTCGGCAGCGTGGGTTCGGTTGTGCATCAGCAGCAGCTCAAGGTCCTTGACGTTGTGGACGAGGAAAGCCTTGTGGCCGGAGGGGGTCAAGAAACGGGTCTTCTTGTTGGAGCCATAGCCGATCTATCATTGCATCCAACGTCAGCGCTTTCTGTTGCCTTGAATTGAAGAATCTTCCAGCGGTGGAAAGAGATTGCTCCTCTTCCTCTACCGCCTCATAGGCAAAGTCGTACCTTGGGCATGCGGATAGTGCCCCTGAAACGTCTGCGGACACGTCCATCGATACCCTTGGGCTTTCTCCAGCTGGCATCGACACGATCGAACCGGTCACTCTGGTGACGGGCGAAGCGGGTCTTGTCTGCAAGTTCCTAGTTAATTCCATGTTCCAACGCCTCGGATTTGAAGTGACAAGAATGAGAAAGAGGCTCGATTCGGGGTTTCTCGTCCTTTTGCCCTATTTCAAACCCATCCAACTGCGCTTCAATGTCGTCCTCGTAGAATTTTCTTCTCCATTCGTCGTGTGGGCTATCGAAGGCAGTCGGGACAAGAAAGAATAGGGCAAAAAATAGCGAGGGCGACCGTATCTCGAGGACCCTTCTCTTCTCTCATTCAAATCGTGGTAAAATTGACGTACGCTTCTTGACGATGGGGACGTGCTTCTTGGCGGCGACCATCTGGAACAGCGAGACTCGTTAGATTTCCGTAGCAATGAGGATCTCGCGAGAGAAATTGAATCGGCATAAACGTACCTTGACGGCTTAGTCGGGCTGTGGTTGATTATGTCCGGCGTGATGCTTCACTCGATGCGAATTTTTGGCGGATGCCACAATCGGTAACACTAAGGCAAAGGGTTTAGGGCACGCATCACGTGTGGGCGGTGCGATCGTGCGGTTTCTACGACTTTGGTTGGGCAGGCGCACCAAAAATACAGCTGCGGAACCCCACTAACCCACCAGTACGTACCCCGATCTGCCACTGCGAAAAAAAAAAAAAAGTTGCAGCAAGGCTTGTCGTGCGGCCCAAAGAGGGATAGCGCACATTAAGGGCACAAACCCTCGCGCTGTTCCGCTGGAGGCGCTGGTGGCCGGGACGCAAAAAAATCCGTCCTAGGCGAAAAGGGGACCAGCACCATCACGACGAGAAGCGAAGCGAGACTGCAGCAACGCAACAACTCAGACATACCACCAGCAACCATGTCGTCAACTCAGAGCGTGCAATGCTTCGGCAAGAAGAAGACGGCCACTGCCGTCGCCCACTGCAAGGTTAGTGGAAACGAAAGAACGAGAGCGATGTCACAAGTTTGGAGGGAGGATTTGGGAGACGGGGATGTGATGTGCAAAAAAAAAGGGAGATGTGGGCAGACGTCATGGAGGAATTTTTCTTTGTTTTTGAAGAGATGGGCGCAGATTCGAGATTGCAGGATTCAAATCGACATGTGGAAATGCTGACATTTGGCTCTCTTCTAGGCTGGCCGTGGTCTCGTCAAGGTCAACGGCCGACCTCTGTCTCTGGTCCAGCCTGAGATCCTCCGCTTCAAGGTACGCACGCAATCATTCGTTACTCCTCTCCGATACGATTCGAAAAGCTCTGTGGCCGCCTCCAATTCATCCCGAGATGAAACCCTTGTCAAACATTGAAAACCACCAAAATTGGAGGGGAATCACTTGGCAGATGATATTGGAGACGACCACAAACTGCTAGAGATGACGGAACAAGACGAGAGAAGAACGCACATACTAAGATTCCTGCTTCCTTTAGGTCTACGAGCCCCTCCTGGTTGTCGGCCTCGACAAGTTCGCCAACGTCGACATCCGCGTCCGCGTCACCGGTGGTGGTCACACTTCTCAGATCTACGCCATCCGCCAGGCCATCGCCAAGTCCCTCATCGCCTACTACCAGAAGTACGTCGACGAGCACTCCAAGAACCTGCTGAAGCAGGCCCTCGTCCAGTTCGACCGCACCCTGCTGGTCGCCGACAACCGCCGCTGCGAGCCCAAGAAGTTTGGTGGTCCCGGTGCTCGTGCCAGGTACCAGAAGTCTTACCGATAAACGGTTGTCTGGTGGCGTTTTTGGCGCTGTTGGGAGTTGGCAACGGGGGAGAAGCGAGGAGGAACAAAGAAGAAATGGTCGAGAGAAGCATCTTGCGCTGCTGTTCCTTTTGCAGCTTTCAGGATGTGGAATACAAAAGGGGCCGGAGTCGCATATCCCCTGGCACGGGGATAGGTTTCCCACTGGCATTTGCATGGCCTTGCTTTGGGCGGATTGTAACGGGTCTGGCAGGCTAATGAAATCTTCAAACGTTTACAAAGTGCAGCAGAGACGTGCTTGAATGTGAATGTTTGCGTGCGTGTATTCTAGGGGCGTGACGCGTAAAAGGTCGTCATGCAGTCTAAAAGATATGAAATGCAAAGCCTATGAAGCCATCGTGTCCGCTGATAACTATAACAGACAGAGAGGGTTGTAATCTCACAATCCGACATCCACGGCTCAATTGCCAAGTACGAGTCTTTAAAAGATCCGAGGATGAAATAGAAGCGCAAGTCTTCAAAAGAGATCCAAGGATATAATAGAAACACGAGTCTTTAAAAGATCCACATATGTAATAGATGTCAAACACCAGACACCAGCAGGCCGATATCTGCTGTACCAAGATCTTGCCAATACGGTTACAGATTCTCGCGACGGGTGAGGCAGTAGAAATCAGGAATCACAAGCAGTCATATATCAAGAAACCTCCGCCCATTATCTAGCCCCTAGCAAACATACAAGTTCCAAGACGTGAATTCCTAGGTACAATTGTGATGGTGGTCCAAGATCTGTCTGTACATGCTCTCTGCTCAAAGCATAGCAACAATTATCCACTCCAAGACGTCTATACCATTATTAGGCTCAGTTTACTGTCGACATACATCTCAGCGAGGATACTGACCGATTCGTGGTCCAGGGCTCGCTTTACTCGGCATAGAAGAGCTTCAAGTCAAGTGTTGCTGCCTATGTTTCCAACAGGATAAAGCAATCAAGATGGGGGGACCCTCTCCAAAAGACGGGACAAATCTCTTGCTCCCTCATAAATGAAGAGTCTGCAATATACATTCTCAAGCACCCCAGCTCAAAGGGCCAATCGAGTAAACATATAGGTTTGACTACGGATATCCATCAAAGCAGAGCTCAATAACCTCCATAGACCCAAACGACCGTAGCACTTTTCAATCTACCCAACCATACCGAATACACTCCATATACACCCGCCCAGTCCCCCAAACGCCAAGCATGGATAAACAATCACTCAAGCTCAGAAAACCTCCATTTCAAGGAGACTCTGACAAAATCATCCGTTTCTTTGCCTGTTTCAGAGCACTCATCCTCCTCCCAGTCATCAATTTCGACCACCCATTCAAGCCCGTCCAGCCAGCATGCCTCTCACGCGGCTCCTCCACAGACCGCCTGACATCCTGCCTCTCGTCCCGTTCACGCCCGTCCGTGGCCGTAAACCCCTAATCGTTCCACGACACCAAGTCCCGCTGGCGTCCATGCTCGTCAAGCTCGACAACTTCAGGCGCCCACTCGCCACGCTCGTCTTCAGCCTGCAGCTCTGCCATTTCCACCTCGACCTCCTCGCCGTCTTCCATCATCACTTTACCCTTTCTCAGGTAGTCGGCATGCAGATCCCACCCGAGGGCCACGACTTCGGCTTCCACTCTGGCGAACGCGGTGCCGACTTTGGTCTGTTCGGGTGTGGCGTTAGTGCCGAGGCTCTTGAGGACCTCTTCCAGCCGGCGTTTGTAGATGATGAGGGCGAGCCTCAGCTCTTGGCTGTTGGAGCCGCTATAGTCCATGATGGACTCGTCCAGCCACTCGGAGCTGTATTGAAGCTGCGCGGCAATGGTCTGCAGTAGCTTAGCAGCGAGTACTGGGCGGTACTCCGGCAAAAGATATGCCTTGAGGATGAGCTTGAGCACCATATGCCACCACTGCTGGATACAGGCATCGTTTCCAAGATGCACGCCGACAATAAAGGCAAACTGCAGTTCCCCAACAACGTCAACTTCGGATAGCTCCTTGTTGGGTTCAGTCATGACAGACATCATGTAGGACGTTGCATCTGTAGCAGCCAAGCTTCGAGCGGCTCCCAGAGTATTAGCAGAATATGTCTTTGAGTGCTGCGAGAAGCTGAAGTTGAGTTCTCTCGATTGGAGCACATGGTTTGCGAATCTTATTTCAAGCTCCATCTCTGCGCCCAAAAGGACAGCTCCCTTGACACGATCCGTTGTATCGACATGCCAACTGCTGGCGTGCTGCCCGGTAACGCGGCTGAGCACCTCTTCGATGACGTGCCCAGATAACTGTTTCCATATCTTCCATTTCTCATTCGCTGCCTTTTGGACGGTTGTATCAAGCTTTTCTCCCTCTGGATTGACGGACGAGGGGTCATTATAAGGGACCAGCTTGTCATGAAAACTGTCGAGATTTTCGGCCTGGATCCGGGCTTCTGCTCGTGATGGTTCAAGCACAGTCTCGTTGAACTTGTCCCATTGCAAAACATGAACTTGGTGTGTGCCAGAGGATACAATCCAGAAACCAGTCCTGACGGCGCCGCTGTCGGGATGGGTTACCCAGAAGAAATGAGGGCCGGGCGGGATATCCCTGATGCCTCCAAAGTGCCTGGCAGTGAATGAGGTGGTATCGTATCCCACGAGATAGACTTCGGGCAGATCCAAAATGAGGAGCACGTCTCCTCCGCCCATGGAGTGGCTCATGGACATACTGTTTGATAGACTCGACGAGTCGTCTCGGATCTCTGTCCGAGCATCGCTAAACTGAACTTGTTTTCGGCTGTTCAGGCTCTCAGGGGGGTCCAGAGGAGGAGGCGGACTATCCTGCCGTTCCTCTATATCCATGGGCTCGTCAGGTTGGACAACATGAAGTGATCCATAAGGATGGGCACCGAGCACGGAAACCGACTTGGGGGACATTGTTGAGCGAGCACCCGAGCTGGATTTTCTCGGCCCGCCTATAGGCAGAGGCGATGCCGGGAACGGCCTCTCGCCAGCCATGCTTGTACAAATGCTATACTTGTTGCTGTGTGATGGCGGCTGTGGTATGAGCTTTGTTTTGCTGGTAAGATAGGTGTTGATAGATGGTGATACTGGAGCTCGATGCGGGGCAAAGACGTGGGCGTGCGTGTCCCCGCAAGCTCTTATCGTAAACAAAACTTGATAGTGCGACTTTGCCAAGATATCCCGATACCAGTATGATCAAGTATCAGCTGCGGTTGATATGAGAAAAGACGATGTTGAAGCTCTGGATTGCCGTGATGGAAGGTGTGAGGTTGACGTGCAAATTGTTTGGTGGCGTTATCCGCTCTATACCCGCTTTAGCTATCTGGAAGGCACCACAAACCCAGAAGGAAGCAGCACAACAGCTCGTCTATTGAGATGCATTTAGGCCGATTTATTGTGGCACATATAACACGTAAAAGAAGAATTACCGAATTAATTTAATGCAATGTGAAATGGTATTTGGAGGATGCTGGTATTATGTGATGTGCATTCATGGAATATCTATTAGTATCTACCTGTTCAAGCAAGACAAGGCGCTAAATAGGAAACAGCTTCAGAGGGTGTGAGATACACCAGCAACACCAAAGACACACGACGACAAACGTCAAACCAAGCCCGTCACTGCTAGTCCCTCAAACCAACTCTTTTAGCTGCCGTTCTGGCAAGGCACAGAGACAAAGTCCGTCACTGCCACTAGTTTCACCCAGGCCCTGGAGCCAAGCTTGCACTACGCACCTCTAGCACGCCAGCCGGTTGGTGTCTTTTTTCCACAAAAAAAACCTCCCAAGAGACATCGTTAGTGTTGGGGGTGTCGGTCCATCCAGCAGCTAAATAAGGAGCGCGTGGTGGTTCGACTAAATTTAGCCTTTTGGCTAGGCCATCTGTTTTCCACGTTTTGTTTTGGAAATAAGAGATGATGTGATGTGTACCATTTAGACAGGGGTAGATGGGGATGTTTAAGGGTCTTTGGGAGTTTGACACGAGTGTAGCTGTACATGCGCATGTATTGGAACATCTACATGATACACCTTGGAGTAGCTTCACCACAGGCACTATCCATCTGCCCAACATCATCTACTCGCTGGCTCTCCTTGTTTCATCACTTGTGGAAATATCAAAAATAATATATGATAATTTATTATCATAAATAAGAAAATGAAAGGAATATCCTCCTTCTTCTCCCCTACAAAAAAGTCCACTCAACAAGCAACAAGTGGTTGTTTACCAAGGCCGGCAAAACCAAAAACCCAAAGAGTAGCATTTTCGCCCACCATGTCAGCACTCTCCCACAAAGCCCAACAAGCGTCTCCTGATTCCCGCAGCGAACCTTCCCCAGGGCCCATGCCGTCATGAGAGCATCCGGATAGACCGGCATAAACCCCTTTTAAACTGCCTCCCTTTCACAAACATGGGAAACCCGCGCGGCCACTAACAGAATACACATGCGGATATATCGCATCATCTTCGCAATCTGCTTCGGGGAGTCGGGGCAGTGCTTACGGGTTTTCGGCACCGGTCAGCTTCTTGTGTCCCGTTTGGTCAAGAGAACAGGCGGCAGTCTCGGAATCGTTGCGCTTGCAGCAAATCGAGCTGGAAACTTGATATGAAAATCAAAAAGTGCCATGGATTTACATCTGTTCTGTTTTGGACTGACACCGCTTTTTACGACTCACATTCAACACATCAAAAACTACGTGTACCGTCCTGTCCCCCGTCCATCACAGCCCTACCAACCTCCGCAGCATGACATCCAACATAAACTCGTATAAACCACCATGTTTCCCCAGATCGCACTAAAAAAAAACAAAACACCCACGATGTTCCCCCCCTAAAAACTTCCGCCCTGGTCACTCACAGCAACACAGTGCAAGGCGCTAAGCAAGGGGTGCGCAGAAAAAAAAGTGTCGTCGCACGACAAATAAAAAAGGGAACGATGGGAGAAAAGCGCAAGGCGAAATCTATGCTATAATGCTTAGTCCTTCCTGGTAAGGGAGGGGGCGGTTTGTGCTGGTGTGTTCCCACCGCGGCCGCCGCCTTTTGCGTGCCGAACCCGCTGTCACATCCATTTCCTGTTTTTTCTTTTCCCTTTTTTTGCCCCCTTGACTAGGTTGTAGGCGTGGGTGGATTTGTGCTAATGCTAGGCTTTTGTTGGTGAGGTGAGGCTATCGAGAGGAGGGAGGGTGTGTGCGTCTTGGAGCTTCGCGGCGATGCCACCATTGCTCAGAGGAAAGACTTGGGTTCATATTAAAGCTCTATGTAACTAGCACTTAGAAAGAGGGCTCAGTTGTTCCGTTCATCATGAGCATCATCTCATTATCAGGTCGAGATCAATTCTCCATGAAGAGGCTTATACTCTAACTTACGGCTTATACAAATAGCATCCGGCAGTCTGCATCATCGCCCTTCTTACCATCCCATTTTGCCCCTCCCTCCGGTCCTCCAGCATACATGTAGCCCTTTTCTAGAGCCATCTTTTTAGTTATTTTTTATTCTTCGAAATCATACACCCACTAAAAGCAAACCATGCAACCCAACCCGGACGATCCAACAAAGCCGTCCAAACCCCGTTATAAAGCACTCTAAAACCACGGGCCCAGCCTTGTTGCAAGTTATCTTGACCAACGGCCGGCCGCTTTACTGGTTTCTGCTATTTTTGACGATCTCACAGATCTCACAGCTACATCTACATCATTGAGAACTCTGGCCGTATAGAAATCTACATCACGTACATCCATTCAAGTATAAGCCAAGCCATAAGCACTCTTCAACGCCAATCTCACCAAACCCACCTGATATAAGAACAAAACCTTCATCACAACGTACTCAGTGCAAAATCATCTTCTTCAAACACAGCACAAAAAAAGAAAAACCTCCATCTTCATTAGTGCCACTATCCATCTCACCAACAAGCCGGGCCCTTCAACCGGTCCTCCCGCCAAAACCCGCCCACACACACACACCCTTTCGTCACGTCACAGGTACACCAAAACCGAACCAATTTAGACCAGAAAAAAAATCGCCCAAGACTAAATTAAATACATCGTCCATAAGTCCAACCAAAATAAAAAACGAAACTTATGCCGCGCCCCGAACAAAACGTTAAAAACAGGGCCTTGCGTTTCCCCTTTTTTTGGTCTCTTGGTCTGCACACGCCCCCTTTAGTGTGAAGTCTTGATTTCCGTCACTTTGGTAGAAAGAAGATGGAGTAAAGGGACGAACGAGGTTCCCATCTTCGCGTCGTCCCGCAAGCCCTTCCCGCGGTAGATCTCGCCAAGACTTTTCTAGAAGCCCATGTCAACTCTTCCTTGTGTTTTTACTTTCCCGCTTGCGCATACTCTTTTTCTTTTGACAATTTATCTCATCGATCGAATTTCTTTCATTCCTGCAAAAAGGGTCTAGCATCCTACATCAGCCGCCCATATTCCCTCACGTTACACTAAACACATCCGCAGACAAAAAAAAGAAGCCAGCATCGAATATTCTAGCGTTCTTCCCCCCCTTCACACTGGCAACGTAAAAAAAAAAAGAGCCCGGTCAATATATAATTAGAACCCCCCAAGCATGCAGCATCCCGACGTGTAGCACAAGAAGAAAAAATCTTCATCCATCAAAACAAAAAAAATTGAAACTTTGTCTCACTCTCGCGTGGCTTTGCTATTTTTATTCTTTTTTCTTCGCCCTTTGAAGCTCGGCGTTTGTGAGGCAACTTTTCCCCCACGTCCGTCCACGTCACAGCCTCGTTTACGCCTCTTGTCGAGCATCATGAATCCTACCAACATAATGCAACACAAACCAATTATAAAATAAAGATAAATAAATAGAAATAAGACAAAATCGCCTAAACCTCTCAAAGTCCCAACCCAACCCACACACATAAAATCCCACACATGTCGCACACGCAAGCACTATACCTAGTACCGCCACGCCCATCCCACCACCACCGAGAAATAAAATAAATAAATACATAAAATCCGAACCCATGTCTTTGTGTAACCACATCACACGCCGTAGCCGTACCGTGCTTGTCACACCCAAGCCCAGCCTGACGGGGTCTTTTTTTTTTCATTCTAAATTCTTTTTTAAATTCGACACTAACTACTATAGCTTTTTTGCCTTGGCGCCGCGCTGTCCCAACCGCATGGCACGCTGGTTTAGTGTCGATTTCTTGATGCGAGACTAAATAAGGCTTGCAACGTGCGTAGGGTCCAAGAGGCGTCCGTCATGGCGGGTGGAGGGTTGCTTGGATATGTAGTTTGCTTTGGTGTTGTCACTTACACATGCATCGTCAATCGCAAAGATTGCATCTTGCTTATACACACAGAATATATATGATATGATACCTATATATATAACAAGCATCGTATCGTATCGTTATCCTCAACTCTCGACACACATATTATACCAGTAATGACTGTTTAGGTGGTTGCTGCTATCGTATACACTTCTCTCTCGACGGACAAAAAAAAGAGTAAAGAAAAGAAAAGACGTTACAAAACAAGCGTTACACAAATCGTTCTTTCGCCGCAATGTCTTTACGAAAAAGGGCGTAAAATAGTTTCCATTCTTTCCGGATTCCGTTTTTTTTTTCTCCTTCATTTTCCTTCCAAATGTTTTCCAAAGCCCTCCACCCCCTGGGTTGCTTGCTTGCTTGCTTGCATCAAGTCTGCCGCCGCAGGGCCCAAGAGTCACAGCCAGTTCGCGTCTTTTACGACACACCCATTTCCAGCGCTCTGAGCGTTCCCTTCACTTGACAAAAGTCGTATCGCGTTTTTCGCCTTGCGGCGATACAGAAGCAGCTTCTTTTCCTCAAGAACCAGCCACCGGGAAAACCCCCTGGTGCTTCACCCGCCGTGGTTTCAGTACTCCGTATCCTCTGCGCCGAACCGCCCCTGAAAATTGCATCACGCCATGAAAGAGCCGACCATCCCCGGAGTGCCTCTGCCAATGCAACCCCCCCAGTAACCGTAGACCAATGCCCTCCCAAATGTGGGAGTGCGAAAGAGCCGAAGAAAATATTGAAAACACACAAAAAGGAAATTTGTTCGAACATGGGTAGAAAGGGAACAAAAAAGAAAAAGAAAAAAAAAACCACCTCAAACTGCGCAAACCAAACACGGGTGCCGCCTTAATTAAGATGCTGGCCGGTAAAGTACCCAAGCCCCGAGAGGTACACCTTGAAATCCGGGCAACATCCCACAGAGATATTATTTCCTCCAGAGGCCGAGTTTTTTACAACCCAGCCTCTTTCATCCTGCCGCCGGGGTGAAACAGAAAAAAGAAAATCATTATGTCCAACGCGTGAAGAGGGGAGGGGTATTTGCGACCAGCAAAAGTCAATATGTGCCCAGATCAAAGGTGGCACCCCAGCTCACCAAGTCATTATTCTAGTGGCTAGGGGGAGGCGCTCCATTTGCTGCGTGATGATTAGCATGAGGGGGGGTTTTTTTTTTTTAAATTCATGTTGCAACTCTGGTCGACGACGTACATTGGCTATACATGTTCTGCTGGCTGGGCTGAGCATAGGGAGAGTGAGGCTGGTAGTTGGAGTACATGTGGCTGGCTCCGTATTCTGGCATGGGCTGCTGTCCAACGTTGCCAGAAGGGGGAGCAGGATACTGGTTGGGCTGGTATCCTATCGGAGGAAGCTGGACAGGTCTCGTGGGGTATCCAGAGGAAGACGCGCCATCGGGAGCCTGGGGGTCACCACCACCGTTTTGCGCGACATTAACTGCTGCTGCCCTCTGTCGCTCCTCTTCAGCCTTGCGCTGAGCCTCCTCCTCCTTCTTCCTCTGCTTCCACTCTTTGCGGATCTCCTTGAACTCTATATTGCATCATCTATTAGCCATGTATATTCCCAGGGGCGTGTTTCGCAAACGATTGGTTCGTGTCAGTTTTCTCTCAAGGCCACGTGGCTGAGCTTTCAGGTTTGACAGTTGAATAGTTGCAACTAGAGGTTTGAGAGGGGCAAAAGAGGTAAAGGCAAAAAAGGTGCGAAAATCGCAACCTACCTTCGGGAGTTCGCTTTTGGCCGTGAGACTGCATGGTAACGTGCGCGTTGAGATGGTTCAAAGTGCCGTAGGCCTTCTCGCATCCGTTCCAGCCGCACTTGTACATGCGCTCGATTTCCTCATAGCGTCTACGGGGGCGTTTGTGCTGCTGAGCGCCGGGGATGGGAACAAACGAGTAAACCTGTTTAAAGTAGAATTCACGTCAGTATGTGTACTTTGTGCTAGTAACAAGGCTGGTTGGTTGTGGGGGATTCTCGGGCAGACAAGGTTGTTTCTGTCTCGAGTAGAATGATTCATCTTTTCTCTCTCTCGCACGCGCCCACTCAATTGCAGATGCGCGCCAAGATGGATAGTTGACTCTCCTCTCTCTCGACGAAAACAACCACTTTTTCCGCCCAATTTTCACATTTTTCTCTCTTGTTCCAATTCGGAACCCTCCAACACTACATTGCACACACACGTACCTGGCTAGGTCTCTGCTGGGGAGCAGACGCTGGGGATTGCGCGTAGACGGGGTGGCCGGGAGTCAAAGGAGGAGCTCCATGCTGGCTATACCCGGCCCAGTCGGGTCGGGGCTGCGCATACATGCCTCCGCTCTGATGGGAGTAGCCATGAGACATGTCTGGATTCGGCGCATACGGCGAGTGCTGCCCATAAGGGTAGGTTGGACTCGGAGCCGCAATAGACGGATCTATAGGCACATCGTTGTCAGAATTGACGGGGTGGGCTTGATGGCTAGGCCCATTGTGCTGGGGCATAGACGGACTGTTCTGTTGTTGCGCCATACCTCCGCTGCTCGCGCTGCTGGAAGGATGGTATGAACGCTGGATATGATCCGCCGAGAAAGACCCTGATCGCGCCGAGGGAGGATAGACGCTGTACTCCGAGGTGGGAGTCACAGAGGTGGGATAGTCTTGTTTCCCGGGGTACTGAGCAGCAGACGCGTGTTCTGCGGACGAGCCTTCAGAATGATGGTCGCCGAAACTGCTGGAGTAGGGCGAGGGCAAACCTGACTGCGAGAACTGGGTGGCACCGCGGTCCATAAAAACACTCGAAGCAATCGACGATGGCGAAGCCCAAAGACGAGTAGAGAACTCTTTACAAGTTCTCTTTTCCTTCTTCTTGTGGTATTTTATGCGAGGGTTATCAGCGACGTGATGTGGAAGTTGTCAAGATGACCAAAACTTCCAAGTCGCGATGTTGATGGTTTGCGCTGGCTTTGCCCAGGAACGTGCTACCGAACTCCACACAAGGTTGGCGTGGAATGAAAAAGAGACGGCGTCCAGACAAGAACTAGTTTCCAAGCACTCGCGTCTCCAAGATGGTGCAGGGGGAAGGAAGAAATAGTAGCAGCCGGAGGCAGAGTGATGAGTAGGCTCCTCTCCGGGGGGGGACACTTGGTGTCGCGGTGGCGGCGCAAGCAGCAATGGCTAGTATATGTAATATCGCCGGCGGCGGCAATAGTAGCGCGGACTGGGGCAAGCGGCGTATACCGTAGCGACAAGTTGCCAAGTTGCTGTTTAAAAAATGCTCGGTTGATGGAGTTATTTGGGGTGCGTGATGCGCACTAGCTCCAGAAGTCCAGGAGTCTTGGTCCTTGGAAGCGCGGATCTTGCTGGGTCAGGGATGTCTTGCTTGCCCGCGATCAGGCAAAGTTTCGAAGGGGCTAAAGTAAAGCTAGGCGTCCGGTCACACAGATTGGGGACCCAACTACTAATATAGTGTTGAACGTAGGCCGGGGATGGGTGAGTACCAAGGTTCCAAGTGAGTCTAGCGTCTGACTCGAGCAAGGACCATGGGGCGTGTGGTTTTTTGGCTGAGAATCGCTCCGTCGTTTGAGTTGATAGAGAGACACGGGGCGCGACGCTGAAGCTGGGCTGGGCCGGGCTTGACTGGCTGAATATTGAGGCGCTTAGTTCTAGAAACAAGAGATGTGGCGGGGCGAGGTTTGTGTCTGGCTTTCTGGGTTTCTGGGAGGGGAAGAAACTCTCTTGTCGGTTTATGACGGCGACGAGTTTTTTGCAGGGCGAGTTGGTGCGGGACGAAGAATTTTATACGGGACCACGCACGAGAGAGAAAGAAAAAATGAAATGCATTGGGGTGCTGGGGAAAGATGGACAGGCCTTGCAGAGGGTACAGCACGGGTGGAGGTACAGGTACAGGTACGGGCACAGGTACAGGTACGGGCACAGGTACAGGTACATTGGCGCAATGGCTGGGGAGGAAAGAGTGGGACTCACGAGAGCGTCAGGGTTTATGTTATTTTGGAGCGCGACCAAAGCGAGAAACCCAGCGCTGTGGGAGCCAGACAGAGTGCAGAGGCAGCACAGTATCGTTCCAGCGGAGGTACGATCCGATAGCAAGGAGAGTACAGTACTGCAGAGTCTGACCCAGTGCCAGTGCCAGTGACGCTGAGGGGAGGGGGTGTGGCAATCGGGTTATTTCCGTCGTAGCGCGAGCGAGTTCTGCGCTTGGAGGAGAGATTCCGGCACTTCAAAGTCTGGACGAGAGACGGGCTCTTGTTGTGGTGCCAATTGCCTGCGCGTTCCTGGAGCTTGAGAGGCGCGTTGCAGGCACTCAAGCAGTCAATCAATCAATCAATTCCCTTGCCTGACGACTGGGGGGGTCCGGCGTTTGTTGGTGCAGGATCACGGTGAGGAGTGCATAGGAAGAGAAAAAAAGAAAATTAAAAAAAAAAAAAAAAATTCGATGGGGGGGCGGGTGACACTCAGTGCATGTACTCCGTACCCCCAGAGTGGACGCCAACTCAAAGGCAAAAAAGAAAAACACACCTCCTCGTACCTGTACGCAGCGAATGAGGTTCCAAATACCCTCCCTGTCCTTGCAGAGGGCGAACCTATTGCGTCGGCTTTTCCCCTCCCAGTTCAGTTCAACCCCAGCTGGGCTCAGTCAAATGCCTGCGGAAACTGTGGCGGCAGAGGAGGCGCTCTATCGGACACGACAGATGTGGCAAAGCTGAGTCCTGCTGCTGCAACGTGTACAGTCAGTAATCCAAATCAAATCGTCGAATCGAATCGTATCGTACGGTATCGCGTCCCGGATGTCGTCCAGTCGAGTCGAGTCAAAGTTCGAGTCTTCAGCACCACAACTTCGCCCCTCTCCAGTGTGCGACGTCGCCCGTGCCTCGTACTAGTCGAGATACCAAGCAAACCAAACGCGATTCCCAGCTACCGGGGTCCCTCGGTGGGTGCCCAGATACTGCTACTCTGTGTTTGTACAAGCACGCTCCCAGCAAGCGGGACAGCTGAAAGCCTGGAGATGATTCGAAGCCAGCCGCAGTGGAATGCGCGCGTACCCTTGCCCCGACAAAGTGGGCGGTCTCGTACAAGCCGTACGTACGAGCACAGTGCGCGTTTCCCGTGGCCGCACTCAGAGAGTACCCAAGCAACGGGTATACTTGCACATACGAGCATCTTGTGGTCCTCGCACTCGCGGAGCGCAACAGATCTGCGCCTTTTTCCCATCAATGGATCGTTTTTCCCTCTCTTGTTTTTTCTTCCTTCTGTCCTCTCCTCTCAGAGCAATAATGGCCAATCACAAGCCCCCGACCAATGGAGAACTAGCATTGGCTGGTCCAGGATGTCACCAATGGAGCTTCTGCTGTCGTTGGGGGGTGGGCTGAAGGGGGCTTCAAGGGCCCATCCCCATGTCAGGCCGGAGGTAGTGCCATTAACGGCCACCGCTTGATTGCCTGACAGCACCGCGTATGTATGTACAAGAACGGGCAGACGAAGAGGCGGCGCACCGTACAGATACAGAACCGACATAGCACGGGCCAAAGGGCCGCAAACGGAGATAATTGCGTTTGATGGGCGGCCATCCATCGCGGCCGCCGAGAGGGAAAAAGAGCAAGAGAAAAAAAGGAACCTTGGCTTGTTCCCAATGCGTTTGTACATGTCTGTGTCTGTCTGGCTGTCTGTCAGTCAGTCTGGCTGTCCATCAAATCTGACTGACCGTGGCCCCAGACCCAGAGGAGACAAGACGAGAGTCGAGAGCCCCGAGTACCGTAATCAAGGCCCCAGCGGCTAAGCAGCCCAGAGCAATGGTTCCAGTGTGGCGCTAGCGAGAATGTCGCACGCGAGCCGCGGCCCACGCTGGCCAGTCCGCAGCACAAGTACATGTACGAGACGGTATGGGCACGATATTCTCCGCAGAAACAGTCCATCTTTCGTCCCACGCAGCCGCTTGTGTAACAGTGCTAAGGGCGTTCGATAGCCGGGCCATCTGGTCTGGAGTCGGCACCAGTATCTACAAAGCTGGGCTGGGCCTGCTGTTGCGGCCGACGATGTGGATGTTCGTTTGACGACATTCTGATCTTGTCAAGGTTCGTTAATAATGCCTACTAGCAGGTTCCGGGTCTATGGGCAGGTCGGTGCTGTACCCGTACGGGCAACCAAAGGCAACCATACCCGGTACAAGTTCGCTCTGTCGACGGCAGCGAAGCGGTATTGTGTATGAGTACAAGAGTCAGAGTCAGGACGAGAATATCAAGGAAGAGCAGACGGCACGGCATCTGCGCCTCCATGGCCCCTTGATGGTCGTTGCGGCACGGCACCCTCGACGCTCTTGATGCCTGCACATCGTCACCATCATCATCGTCGTCATATCGTCAAGCCTGGTCCTGTCTCCCCCCAGCTCTGTGCATGCCTGTAGAGATAGATTCAATGCTTGGAGATCAGCCCGTGGCCCCAGCGTCTGCCCTGGATCGTCCGCTAGTTTTGCAAAGCGCTACTACTCCCACAAGCCGTGAACCGCTCCTAGTGCTCGACCGTCTCAACTGAGGCTGGCATCGGCTCTGGACCGGTCAGGGTCAGCACTGTCGACGGCCGTTCTGGGCGCTGCCAGGGGTCCCAGCAATCTCTGCCGCAGCAGGCGACAGCTATATTGATGCATGGAGCGCCATCCTAGGGCCTAGGGGGAGAGGAGATGCCCTGGCACTAGCAGGAAATGCTATCTCGAGCTTCTACTTGCAGCGTGACCCTACTCGGAATAGCTAGTACCCGGGCCAACAACATGGAACCCAGGGCCCTGTTACTGGGCTGATAGACTCTCAACTTTCCGTGGCCATCTCCAGCTTTCTGTCATTTTCCATGGCCATGTGCACCTCAGATGGCAAAGAGGGGAGTGGGAATTGCATGTGCGAGTAATGAACGATCCCGATGACCGAGCCAATGCCTTTATCCTGCCTGATCCATTACGTAGCCACATGTTGCCAAGTCATGTCATTCGTTCATATTGTAAAAGAGTCCAGAGCCTGTCAGCTGTTATGATAGGTCGCTAAATGCAGGCACCGCTCACGACTTTCAATCAAGGTACTCGTAGTCGACGCCCTCTAATAATAAACATCATGGACGGGTACAGTAAGAGTACCAGCAATGGTAAAGAGGGATGCGTGCCACTTTGCGGCCAAAGGAGAGGTGCATAAATGACGGGGCTGAGGGTTTTATTTCGAAATACCACACATCACACATCATGCACATCAAATGTTACAGAGGTCAAGGATCGCAGGCATGTTGGATTTGCAATGTACCTGTACAGAACATGGAAGCAAGTGCAGGTATTTCCTACTAGGTATGGAGTGCGCTCCAGCAAAGGCGGTGCACATGTACCTCGTGCAGCACAGAGCATCGTATGTCTGCGCATGTACATGTACATTTCCGGGCACTCAATTATCCCCCTCCGTTGTCGGTGCGCAGATCCAACTCTCGTCTCTCTCTTCTCTCTTCCTTGCCCGCAGCTTCCCATTTCCACCCACGCATAAAATTGAGGTCCTCGACGGCAACGTTATGATGCGATGGGTTGCTGGGCCTGGACTGCAGTTGCATGAGGATTGCATCGCCTTCTCCACTCCTGCGTTCTACATGCGGATAAATGGCTATTGGTCTCCGCTCCATGACAGCCATCCAACCTTGAATCATGCCTCTCGCCAGGGTCGTCGGTACAGATACAAGCAAACAAGAAACCAGCCCCCGGAGCAGATGTGCCACTCCGGGCTACTGCTCCGTATTACTAGCTGTACGCCGTGCCGGTCGAATCCTGCTGTCCTGCGCTGTGATGTGATGGATGTCATGGACACAAGAAGCGAGTGCCAACCACCATCTATCTGCTGATTGATATGCGACACCGTTCTTTCAGCCGCCCGCATTTCCCGGGGGGGCACGGGCGACCGAGCATGAGCATGAGCATGAGCATGCCATGGCAGAACCGAAGAATACGAAGCCTAGACACGCTCTCCGTGTCTGTTCTGTGTCCGAGCTGGGCGTCTTGAAGGTTCGGTGCAGCCTGTGCCACTGTGCCGTGCTGTGTATTGCCCAACCTGAGACATACATGCAGAAATACCAAGGTATCCAGAGCGAGGGACCGCGACGTGATAGGCAGGCAGGCAGGCATGTATCATGTTGTATCTTTCGAATCCATCTTCCTCTTGGCTGTTCTATCTTGTTCTCTCTCTTGCTCCCCCCTTCATCTCCTTCCCGCGTCTCCTGTCTGTCTCGTATGATTCGGAGGCAACAGGCATTCTCTGCATACCATTGCATTTCAATGTTCAAGCCACGGCGCACACCACCATGTCAAGGTCGCTTGTTGGGCTGCCATCATGCACAATCCCTTCAGCCGCTGACTCATGTTTCTTTCTGCTTGCATCGCATCTCAGCCGCAGAGCACAAAGTTGTGTCAGCGTTGCTTGGGTGTCGATTTGTCTCTTTTTTTCTTCCCAACCATGACCATCGCTGTCATGTGTTGTTTGCCTAACTAACGCCGTCCTCAGCCTTGGGAGGCGTTAACAGATCAAATCGACCCGAATCCTCGGGAGAGACTAAAATGGCCCCTCAGGCCATCTATACCCCGAATCGGCACGGTCGCGCTGTTTCGTTGGTCAAGCTTCCAAGGGCCAAATCATGGCCTGTCTGCCGGCGTCAGAACGATGCTCCAGCTAACGTCCATGCTTCTCTGAGTTTGTCCTAGTGAAAGAAAAGAAGCAGAGCAAAAACAGTGGCCTCGGGGCTTTGTCCACAAAGCATAAATATGCTTGTAGGTGCCGCAGACGCAATGACCCCCGCCCATCAGGGAGAAAGTATTTTATCTTATTTTTATTTTTTTATTTTTTATAAAAATTTACAAGGCAGCGGTGGTTATCTAAGCGAAGTGCAATCCAAAGACGCCATGTACAACCGCATTTGGAGAGGGGGGGCAACATATCAAACAGGCCTTCTCCGACTGCTTGCAGATTCTCGTCAATGCTACTCTGTGCACTGTGTCCAACCGCGTGTTAGCTCGGACTTGGCAGCTCTTCAATTCACCGACTCAGTTGCCGAGGTGAACCTGGAGACGCAGCTCTGTGGTCGACTCTGGGCTCACCGCAATATCAATTGTTGTCGTTGGCTTCTCGAACTGCGACGTTCCCCCTCCCTTTCGAGGCAGCTCTTGTCGCACACGGCTGAACTGAAGCCCCTCTTGAGGGTCCACGTGTGATGGCTGAGCTTTGTGTTCCCCTCGAACCTACAATGCGACAAGGGCGTAGCCTCACGTGGTAGATCCACTGATTGGCAGGGTATGTCGATGATAATGAATGTCTGATTCAGTGCTGTACGACGCTCTCTGGCCTTGGAGACGTGTATAGATGGTTCTGTTGCAAGCGTCACGTCACAACAGCGCCGCGCTCGTGCTCGTGCGACGTGTGCCCCGTGCCGGAGGATCGAGTCATGGTATCTGGACAGAGACATGCCACGGCATTTCAGCTCTTCAGTTACAGGTAGACTGCGATCCTTGGACGGCAAATTGCACACCTTCCGGCGCTGCTCATTTCTGACATCCTGTGTGCATGCCGACCAATCTAGAAAAGATACCTTGTCATTCAATCCCTACCGCCCTACCGCAGCCGCACAACTCCACCGCCCTTCGCCTAGCTATCAACTTTTCCGGGGGAGCCAAATTCATCATCACCTGATTGCAAGGCAAGGGAGCTGAGCGACGCCCTCTATCGTGAGCTCTCCCGATAGCCATCAGCGCATCGCAAGATGAGACGGACGGCACAGACAGACAGACGAGAAACAAGCAGGGCAAAGGAAGTGGGCAAAAGGAGAAGCAGCTGGGAAATTCTGCATGCGGCCTGCATGGTCTGACCTACCCTCTCCGCAGCAGCACGTACCCCCTTCGGCACCCTTCTGAAGCATCAATTGGTTGACCCTTTGGTTGCAGCCACTTTATTCCGTACAGCCACTTGAGAACCAATAGCCCAATCAACAGCAAGAGGCGAGAATGATGGCAACCGAGCCACACAATGCTTTTTCTCCCAGACTCCCTTCCACTGACCTACGAGGAAAAAGAAAGTGATACTGTACACAGCCGGAAATCCGTCCTCTTTGCTGAGTTGGCATCGACATCAAGCAAGGTTAGCGTCGATCCAGCCAAGGTGGCGCTCCAACAAGATCTCAATGAGTACGGAACGAAGTTGTTTGGATCCCAGCGACTGTGATACCACCGCCCAATTGACCCAGGCGTTACATACCAGGCCAGGCCAACCGGCAGTCTGGAGAAGATGTGCCGAGTGCGTGGCAGATTTTTGCCACTTGACATGGTGACTGCAGTTTTATCACATCTCTTCGAATATTGGAGAGATATGTCCCAAGCCAGATATCGGCTGGTATCTATCTTGGCATTCCTGTCCACGCCTTTGCAAAATGACGTGCAGAAACAAGTACCCGAGGCGTTGATAATTTCAAATCCAGCTCCTCGCTTATACTGTGTCTGGACTGCAGATGTGATGAATTCATATTACTGTATCGTCATGGTTCATGGTCCACGGCAGCAACATTGCCAAGGGGTCTATCCCCATGGTCTTTGCTGGGGGGATGTAACTCAAGCGAGGATGGCCAAAGGAAGCTCCAACGTTGAATCTCGGGCTCAGCAACACTAGCTGGCTATACTAACACAGTCTCTCGGCCGGGAACAATGTCAAGCTTGTGTCTAGCTTCGTCTCACTTGCACGAGTTCCATCCATACTAAAGAGATTTTCAAACGAATGGTTACCAAAACCAGGGCAAGAGACGTGACCTGAATGAAGGCTCACGAGTGATACACCCAGCAAAGACACGTATCCATGAGAAGTGCTCACTCAAAATGGCATCTGGCTGCTTCTCAATATCTCTCACGAATCGTGCATCAAATTGGTCTTGGGACTCGTTTGGACGGCAAGGCAGCTTCCAACGAGGTGCTACTACTGACCGCTAGACTATCACGGGAAGGACTAGCATTGAGTGCTAGCAGCTAGACAAGGACATGGGCCGCTCGACCTCCCCCAAAGCCAGAAGGGTCTAAAATATCAAACCCCCTTACGAATGAAACCTGGCTAACATGGTAGCATCTCGTCGCTCTGCTGGTTAGTGTTGGCTACAGACCAAGTCAGCCGCATTTGCTCGCACGTCCCCCATTCGCGCAGGGGCTTTGACTGGGGAAAAACAAAAACGGCCATTCTAATTTCGCTGCCGCGCTCCGTCAGCCTTCCTTGGTCTGGCCGCGGTGCCAGTCCCAGCGCTCGTAAGCTCACTTTGTGATGCTATTGCTAGAACGGCCGTTATCAGGACCTGGACCCAAAATCGACACAAAAGGTCACCCGCTCTGGCTCCCTCCCTTTCTTTCCAATCAACCCGCTTCGCTCCTACGTGACTGCCGGGACAGCGATGCTCACGAGAAGGAACGTGTCGTATTTTTATCCAATCAAGCCAAGGTGCCTAAAATTGACAAATTACGATAAAACGATTCATCGCATAGGCGCTATGGTTCCGGTGGGGCATCTGAGACAGCCGCAAATGGACGTTTACCGCGGTTTTCTCCCCTCCCTCGTTCAGCTTCCTGCATGGCGTAGCCAATGCGGTAATCCGATACACTTAGTCTGGCACACCAAGCTCACTGTGGCTGACAATGCTAGTGAGGATGGCCCTTTACTCTCAAGCCACCGTCATTTTCTTAATCATGATGGAGGCCCTTTAATATCCCCCCGTAACGAGACGGCGAAGCAGTGAGATGAGGATGGATGAGCAGAGAGGGTCAGACCACGGCATCCAGCCAAGGGGGGCGTGGCAGCTGAGCTGTGAGGCAGAGAGAGGGGGGTTTTCAGTTAATCGACGGACCTCGATGTGCTAATACTGCATGTTTCTCTTGATTTGGGATGATCAAGACACATTCTTGCTCTCTGGGACAAAAGGGGGTCAGATGAGGCCGTACGAGTACCCATATCCGGATTCTTGGAAAATGGCTCTTCGGGAAAAGCAGCTCCCCCCACTTGACGAGGGCTCTGAGATCTCTACGGAGCAGAACGGAGAGCGATTACTTCATGCTAATCCGATCTGCGAAAACGGCCCTCGACCGGCGCTGGGCTAGCTAGCGTCAGCTGTCAGGAGGAGTATGGGCAAGAACCAGTAACGGGGTTTCGTCCTTGGCAGGCGACTTTGCTGTGGCTTTCGCTATTTCGTCTTATCCCGAGCTCACCCTGTACGCGGCGAAGGGATTCAGATGGTCCTTGCCATGCTTGTTGGATATATCCTAGAAAGCTGTTCAGCTCAGGAGAGAGCCGACTTGGACGCTTTGATAAGCTATCCACATTGAAAGGGTACTATTTCCAGGACCTCGAAGGAGACAGGCATCAGTTGATGAGCGTGTTCTTCTTCCTGACATGAGTGTAGGGTAAGACGTTGCTCCTAGCGGAAAATAGGGACATATTTCGTATCTACTCGCGATATACAATACAGGGCAAGGCGATTGCTGCAGCCTCGTCATTCGTCCGTATACGCTCCGATAACCGAGATGCGACATCCGCAGGATTATTCTATCTACTCACGCACCAAGGCAGCACTATCCCATTAGCAGGACGAGATCAACTGGACTGGCGACGAGGCCGTTGAGGCGGTTCTGCTACAAGTGTCCGCCTAATTTTAAAACCCGAATCGATGGAGCAGACTAAACAAGGGGAGATTTGGGCTCCCCTAGGGCGCATTTTGATATCTAGGCTTGTTGGACAAGCCTAAATTCTGCAAAAAGCTGGGACCTGCATGGTGTGCTGGGGNGGGGGGGGGGGGGGGGGGGGGGGGAAAGGAGATGTGATGAATAAGTTAAGGACGAGAGCCGGAGCAGGCTGACAAGGACCCCCGGATGGGCGATGGTCGCCTACGGCAAGAGGAAATCAATCTCATTTCTCCTTGGATACGAAGGGCTTTTCGGAATCATCCATGGCAGCGCAAATCGCCCAGACTTGCTCCGAAGCTGGCAGATGCTTGCTCTCTGTCTTTACGCACTCCATACTGGATAGGGCATAGCGGGGGGGAGTGTCGTTGATTCTCAGTACGAGCACAATACAGCCCGTCCTCGCCGCCGTGCCTATTGATGAGATCAATGATTGACGGCAGGGCATGTGATGGTGTCGCTCTAGACCGTGTGTGCTGTGCTTGATACGCACATGTCGCATCAATGCGCTGCAACTGCAACACTCCTATTCTGTTGATGCCTGCTGCTACTGCTACCATGCAATAGGCACCAATGTCAATCAAAGCACGGAGTACGGTACAGGTGCAGGTACTATAATTGATACCAGACGTGTCGTATGCAGACGAGACGGCGACTGGGCATCAACGGGCGTGAGGATCTATCGTGAAGTACATTATCTTGCTGACTGATTGATGATACGATGCATTGTCCACCGCTGACAGGAATAGCAATAGCCTTGCCGCGACCCAACGTGTATCGTAGCGCAGGTACAGGACTAAAGCAATACGGAGGGGTTGCTAGCCGCGAGGTACCTGGAGCCTGCTAGCACTGGGCTGGGCTGGGCTGGCATCTCAGATCTCAGTTCCATTGAATGCTTACCAGGAACCCAGTGGCCGGTAAGTGCTAGTGAAAGAGGCTCCGTGGAGTCCCAAGGCTAGGTAGAGCTAGCCCAGGGACTTTTTGGTCTGGTCCCAGGGATCAGTCTGAGCGCATGGCGATCTGGGGAGGTTGATGCTAGCAGCGTTGAGCGCTGAGGGGAGGCCCAGGCAGGCCCTAGCGCCGCAAGTTTACTGGAGTGGGCGCGCTATTACGGAGCAGCTTTAGGGCCCATGAGTTGAACGTGCTGCTTGGGTGTTGGGCTAGTCTAGCACCGCATCCCATCCCATCCTCTACAGTAGACCTCCATGCACATGCACCCGCACCTGGCCAAGTGCGCAGCTCACCTCGAGCATTTGATCGTGATTGCGTCTATACGAACCAGTACTGTACAGGTACTTGCGACCACCCCCGTCGGGCGGCTGTTGTGCAACACACCAACGGCGGGTTTTTGGCCCAGCGACAGGCTAGCGGGCGCCATCGCTGGTACCAGGAATACGGGAGCGCGAGTCGCACAGAATGGCACACTTGTTAGGTAGGGAGAGCGCGAAGGGCTCAAGGGAGACAAGAACGTCCACCTGGGCCTCGGGCCTAGCGGATGACATGCTTGGGCGGCTCGTCACGTTATAAGGTAACCGGTACACTGGCTGGATCCATAGCAGCCCACTGGGGTACCGGTGCGGGACTGCGAACAGACGCACCGGAGAAAGTACCGAGGGGCTCGCCAGGACGATGGCGCGAGGTACTGCGTACTTGCACGTTGGACAGACTTGTACGAGTACCTTGGCCCTCTGTGAGCGAAGCGCGAGTACCGGTACGTGGGCGACAGTTGACAGCCGACCGCTGACAGCTTGTCGCCTCCAAGCCAATTCTCACGTCGCCATCTCGCCTCGTTATCCACTTGGGCCAGCTGGGCAGAGCGAAGACGGAGATGCAGCACGCAACACGCAACACGCAACACCCGTTCCGCTGGCGATTTCTTTTTTTTTTTTTTTTCCCTTTTTCATTTGCCCGTCATGCTGGGTGTCTGTCTGTTATCCGCACGGCCTCACGGGCAAATCAAATCAAAGCAAATCAGCTCAGCAGGGCGCGCGCACATCGAGGCAATGCCTGCTTCTGGTCGCTGTGCAATAATCGGCCACCCTTGCCCTCCACTTTTTCGACCCTCCCACCGCCGTCGCATCGCAGCTCGTCCGAGAGCAGTAAATGCATATCCGTAACCCTATGGATGTACGGCGTGCAGTGCAGTACCGGTACTGACTGTACTCGTGCAGGATTGAAGGGAGAGGGAGGGGTCGGACCAGGACCAGAACCAGAGAGGCACATGCTCGAGACTCGACCCGAGCTGGAGACACACACGGACTGACACGACGAAAAGAGAGATCCGAATAAAGGAACAACAAGAAAAAAAAAGCCTCGGTCCTTGGACATTTGATGCTGTTTCAGCCACCTCGACGGGGTCGCATTCAGAATATTGGCTGGTGCTTTTTACGAAGTGCGATGACGTCTGCCGGTGGACACGCTGAGCTCTCGAGCTGCCAACCTCACGATTCTGCATCTGGCTCATCCCTGCCGTGCGGCTGTTGTCATGGATTCTTTGACGTTTCAAGGTTCATTTTGCCGAAGCAGGCCTCGCGCGCTTTCTCTCTCTTCTCTCGCTCCCTCTCCCATGACTAAGAAGACCCAACGACCAGGGGGCCAGCAGAAGAGACCCATGGCTCGCCTCCACGATTGCTTCTCTCTGCAGACGCCCCCCTTTGCGCGCACTCATCTGATGCCTTTCTATTTGCCCATGCCGGCATCCATCCACCGCCCCGCCGCCAATGGGAGAATTTGCCTTGGCTTCACATTCTGTTCGTTGCTGCGTTCATCGGCCCCGTCTTGTCTACTGTACAAGACTGTACGAGTTATATCTGACCCCCCCAGACGAGGGTTCCATCCACAGGATAACTGTGACATGCCAATATCCCCCCTCCTCCCTCCATCCCTCTACAGCTGCAGCTGCAGCATTACGGAGAAGGAATATGTTTCCTGACGTCCTTATCCGATCTTTTTTTTCTTCTCGTCGTCTGAAATAGAGTGGGGAATCTGCGTACTGTACTGGTACTTGCAAGCATGTCGTCGGCGAACATCTGCTAAACCCCATTCTTGTTGAGTCATCTCGGCTCCCCCGAATTCTGGGCCCCCCTTGGCTGGGACTCGCCCTGGCCCTGATTGGCTTCTCGCATGCCTTTTTCCCTTTTTTTTCTTTCTCAGTTCCGCCCAGTGTTCGCGCCTTTTTTTTTTTTTTTTGTGGTTACCCTCTTATTCTCTGCTTTTTTTTTTGTGGGCTAGTCGTTCAGCCCATGAGCCTAGAGGCGGGAAGCGAAAAGACGGTCAAGTTGTCTAATGCTACGATGCACATGGTTCGCCGTGTACTCGATACGGTCCTGGTACAGCTGGGGGATGCGACTGTGCTGGAGCAAGGCATCTGATCCTGCCTACATGGACAGCTTGCTCTCAAACCTCAAATCAAATCACCGTCTTTTCTTCTTGCTGCGGCCGCCGAATCACGCGTGCCATTTCTTTCCCTTGCCTGCATTGAACCCCCGTCACACACCCCCCTTCGTCTATCCTGTTTATTCTCTCATAGAGCGGTCTCGCTCGTTCGTTCGAGTGGCATGAGGAGGAGGGGGAAGACTGGATGGCCTCGCTTGAGACAGTTTGGCAATTGGATATAAGGTTGATGAGAGGCATCTGACCCATGGCTATCACGATGCTTGGTCCAGGTCACTACAGCCCCCTGTCTGAACCTGGCAACTGTCTTCCGTGTCTTGGCTTTTTGCTAGCCTGACCGTCCCCCTGGTTCGAGTGAGAGGTGCGCTTTTCGAAAACGCGTCTCGTCTCAGCATGAAGATCACGCTTCCCACGGCTCAAGTCCTGCTGCCTCTTTCAAACTTTCATTTCTTTAACAGTACCCAACGCCGAAACAAGAGCACGGCAGTACTGTTTACGAGATACTGTATTGAGTAACTGGCCGTACTCTGTACCTCTCGCTTCCCCCCCTCTTCTCACAACTCTCACCAACTTGTTTTCCTTCCTGTAGAGTAGCATAACGCCACCTTCACCCACGTGCTTACTACGCCTATCCTGGCATGGTTGATTCACGCAGGCGGAGATGGACTCAAAGAGGAGGCAGTGAACCATTGCGAGCGGAGAGACTTTGCTGGGTCTCTTGGGTCTCGTCCCTGTGACCCCTGGTCGATTTTTTCTTTTCTTTGCATTCAGCTTTGTCAGTTCGGCGACCAGGCAAGGTTTCTCTTTCCCATTTCCCCTCGTTCTCAGCCTCAGGAGTTGACTGATCGCTTTTTCGACTGGGATGTCAATGATGAATGCACTGTGGGCAAGGTTGCAAAAATGTGGCTCCCCCATTTTTTCTCTCTCTTCTCTCTGGTTCCCTTTCAGAGGAGGGGGGCAAAGACGTGCATGACAATGGGGCCTGAATATTTTTTTCTTCTTTCTATCCAACACCTCTTTTTCCTATTCGGTGTGAAGGTATGCTATTCGTTGATACATACACGGGCACTTCCTGAAAGGTTCACGCCGGCGAGGAGATCTTTTCTGGCCTCTCGTGTGTCGTTTTGTTGACCCCGACTCATTTTCAGCCACGCCCGCTGTGCCTGCTTTTTTGCAGGCGTTTTGTTATCGGTCAGGTCAGGATTCCCGTACAGTATGGAATGGGGGAGCGAAGACGTCCAACCAGGTCCCCAGTCCGAAGGAATGGATTCTGGTTGGATCTCAGCAGATGTCCTCTGCCGCCCCTCCTCGTCACTTTCTCGTGCCTTCGCCTTTTTCTTTTCTTTTTTTGTTCAACAGAGAGTGTGTGTATTGGATCTTTTACACCCCCCTCCCGTTTCTCCGAGAAAGGTCACCTCTGCGTCATCTACCTTTTGCTGAGAGGGTTTTTGAGCAAAGGCGGTCTCGGCTATGATGTGATTGATGACCCGTAGGCCACGACGAGATGATGCTGCTGCGACTTGTCATGGCCGTCGTCGGCTGTTGTAGGGACTTGTGGGCTAAACTCCCCGGTTTTTACTGTCGTCTACCATTTTCTTATCTTGGTGGTAGTAGGAGTTTAGTAGCAGTTGCGACGACTGTGTACTCCGTAAAACGTTGCTGATCCCAGAATCTTGGGAACTAGAATCAGATGGCTTGAAGCGATGCGCCTCTGGGTGCAACAGATGCCTTGCCTAAAGAAGCAAAAGATGTTGGGGCTAGCTTCAGCTCGCGACTTTGTGCCCATCTCGCGGAGTTGCTAAGCAATTTAGCTACTAATCACTCACTCCGGAGATGCAGCCTTCTTTTTTGGCAATGTAGCCTATGTACTCTCTTTACTGTTCCGCGAGTCATTTGATTTTGATATTTGGTTGATTGAGATAATGAGCTGAGATGGAAACGAAGATGGCTTTTACTATTGATTATTCTTCTCGCCTCCAAGGAAGACAATCAGCTCACGCCGTGAATTCCGAAAGATTATAGTAAATCTCCTGTTTCTTCGCCGTTTTCAGCTTGTCTTTACGGAGTACTCGTAATTGGAATGTAGAGTACACTCTGTTTAGGGTAATTTATCATCCTTTGGGTTTGTTGTTGGTGGACTGTTTTTCCTGTCAGCTCCGACATTCTTTTGCTGGGGGGTGCGTAACTAGCCCAACCAAAGTTGCTTGCTTGTTTCGTCGTCGGTATTGTGTGACACATTGAGGCCTTGCTTGTTGTCTCTTGTGAATCAGTTCGCCGATGTCTTGGATTTGGGAGTGCTCTTTCGGTGTCATTGAAGAGCCGCGGGGGGTGGGCATGGGGCGGGTTGAGCGGGCGTTTTTTTTTGGGTGCCTGCAGCTGGCACTGACACCTTTTATCTTTGCTTGTTTTTGGGGTTTGCTTGTTGCCGATTTTGTCTGGCTGGTTGGATGGCTGGCTTGGTAATGTAGAGCCTGTATAGAATAGACGATATCTTGCTTTTCACCCTGTCTCTCTGTGTCTTTTTTTTTTTTCTCATGCGTGATGGGAGTGTGAATGTGTGTGGGTGTATATGTGTGTGTTTCTATTCTTGGATGCTTTTATTAATTAATTAATTAATTTTGCTTGCTATTGTGAGGATAAGTTGTAATATAGCATATCATATTTCTGAAGCCCGGAATCAAGTTTCAGACATGGCTTGTCGTCTGACCAACAACTCACTTTTCCGCGGGAGGGCGTGTCTTCTTGCTTCCATTTTGTACCTTTCCTTTTTTACTTCACTTTTTTTTTACGTCTTTATTTTTCATGGTTTTGTTTGTTTGTAAGTACTGGGTAGCTTTACGAGGGAAATAGTAGTTTGGTAAATATAGTATAGGTGTCTATTGTCTGTCGTCTTTGTGTGAACGGATGGATTGATGGATTGATCGCTGTGTTTAGGCAGCCTTTTTAACGGATGTGATTTTTTACGTGGTATAGGTTCGGGGTTCGCGTTTATAGAAAATATACGTATACGTGTACGTCTTGGTTGGTTGCTTTTATCCTTTGGTCTGTGTTGCCCTTGTAAAAAGACCAGACGGGTTCGGATTCAGGTCGGCGAATGTAGTTATTTCTTGTGTGTGAGGGGGGTTTGCATGAATGGGATGGATTTTTATCATTTATGATCAAATCTTGTGTGCTGATGGGTGTCTTTTTTACTTTTTGAAACGGCGAGGCGTTTTTTTTTTTTAATCTTATTTTTATTCGAAGTGGTCCTTTTAATGAATAATATGTTGATTTTCGTAAGGATGAGGAGAGAAGAGAAGGACGAGATGACGAAATGAAAGGGGAAGGTTTATAGAGAGCTTGGACTTTTTGGTGTTCAGCTCAGCTCAGCCAAGTTCAGCCCTGCTTTGCAGAGAGAATCTCCTTGTCCCATGAAGCGAAGTTACAGAAACAAGAAAAGAATAGGTAAAGGTAAGGCGGAAATGTATATGCAAAAGGCAGAAGTATGAAGGAGAGCAAAAACATACACGCAAAGACGATAGGTAGGGATCAAAGAAAGGAAGGGAGAATGATACTCGTAGATGCAAGATAAGTAATAGTATATGCATCCAGCGATCCTCGCAAAAGCAAAGAAAAAAGAGAGATGATCTCGATCCTGATGTATAATGAAGTATGATGAGCACCCCTTGCTTGGAGTTATTTGTTCTTGCATTCTAAGTGATGCGCTTTTGTGGACTTTGTTACCGTCCCTTGCATTACTGAGAAGTAGTAAAAATGATATCGTACAGACTTCAATGTAAAACGAAAAGAACTACAGTAAAGTATATTATCCAATAGTTCTAGATAGTAAAAGAAAAAGAAACAGATTAGGAAAAAGAAACGCAGCATAGAAAACCACACTCCGAAAGCATTGTTTTTCGCGTCACCGCGTTTCCACACAGACGCGTCCCTCCATCTCCTCATCCCCCAGTAAACTCCAATACCTCTCTCCCTCATATATTAACATTCAAAAACAATTAAAAGTAAAAGATGAGGGTGACAGGCCATAGGACCGCAGGATTCGTCACCAAGACGGGGGCAATCAGATCAGCCGACGTGTCGTCACCGCGGAACGTGATTTGCTGTCTTTTCGTAGAATTTTTGATAGCATGTGATGTGACTTTTTTCCGTAGGATTCTCTCGATACAACTACCTGAAGAGGTTATTAACATTCGGTCGACTTGAGCCTAAAAGCCTGTTTTATTACAGCTTTCAATTGTACTGGCTGAAATGGAAACATCCAATCATATCTACAATGCTTAGGATTCACCAACTTGGGATTCATCAAACAAGGTACTTTTATGTCTACGTCCTACGGTATAAATCACCACTCATAAATGTTCTTCTCAAATAACGACACATCAGACGATATTCTTTCACCCTACAGCTTCATTCATTGTCACAAGAGTCATGCCAAATGTGTGATATTCCAGGCCTCGTTATTTTTTTCTCTATCAACGTACATGTTAACCCTCGAGGCAGAGCAGCCTGTGCCAGTGTCGATGGATGCATCGTCATGGTGGCCTAGTAAGTGACTGATAACAATGGATCACCTTCTCCCGTGTCCTTATGTGATATACGTTCAAACCATTAGAAAAGAAAAATAGAAAAGAGGCAAAAGCAAAACGACAAAATATCCGTCAACAGCAAAAAACCAAATAACCGATGACTTCGCAGGGATGCGAGTCAATGTCTAGTTGAAACCAATCCTGTCCTCTATCAAACGCCGTTTGAGTGCATAGGGCCTTTCACGTCTGTCATGCGTTCCGGGTATGGCCAGTCATCATTGACTTGAGCCTTATCCGGGTCACAGTGATGCAAGTAACACATGACGAATCTCTTCCTTCTTACCATCGTCGGTTGCCGAGCGGAAGGTTGTTGGAGTTGGCTGATAGACCGTGGTCAGCTCCCGACCCTGCCCTTGTTGCTCTACCATCGACGATACCCACCTCTGCCGCCGCCACGGCCACGGTAACCACCGTAGCCGCGACCACCGCCGCCGCCACCGTAGCGAACCATCTCAGCAAGGCGAGGGTCGATCTGCTGCTTGGCCTCCTGGAGGACATTGACAAGATCACGGGCCTGCTTCTGGTCTGTTTTTGCAATGATTAGCGCTTGTTCGAGACACGGGATTGACGAGGATTCAACTTACTGTCAGTGGTGAAGAGCGTAATGGCAGTTCCGTGCTGGCCAGCACGACCGGTACGACCAATACGGTGGATGTAGTCCTCCGAGTTGTTAGGGTAATCGTAGTTCAACACATGGGTGATGTTGCGAACATCTTTGGATTACAGAAAAAGAAAGGGTTAGCAAACGAAATACGGGTATGTATAGCAACCTCCAGCGCGGAACGTGAAGAGACGGCGATAATGATATATCGTCCATCTGTACTTCACTCCTTGGTAAACCAGGGCCAATCCAAGTGCGTTTTTTCAAAATGCCAATCCATCCTCTTTGCAGGGGGACATATTATGTGATCACGGGGGTCTTCAGGGGAGACTAAGAGCCTTGGGGAGACAGCTTGATCGGGGTCAAGAGATGCCAACCTCCACCTTTGTACCACGGGAATGAGCAAGGTACAAGAATGGAAATACGAGTATAGCAGATGGGAACGCTACACAACGGATCAAGACTCCACCACATAATGAGAACCATAACCGACACGGTTTGGTCAGGCAGTTGCGCACAGAAAAGATAGCCCCTAAACGCGAGAGTAAAGTATGCAGCAAGTGCTTTTGCTGGAAGTTGCTAGAGAAGGGGGACAAAGAGGGCTGATACTTACCGATACCACGAGACGCCACGTCGGTAGCAACCATGATAGGGCTCTTTCCGGTCTTGAACTGGTCGAGGACCCAGTCTCGCTCGTTTTGCTGCTTGTCTCCGTGGATTGCTAAGAGGAGTGTTAGTTTTGACTTCAAAATACTTCTGAGAGAGGGCTTTCTTACAGAGAGCAGGCCAGCCGTCCTGGCGGAGGAATCGAGTAATGTCGTCGGCGATACGCTTGGTGCCAACAAAGATGAGAATCTTGTTCTCCTTGTTCTCCATGACCTTCTCGAGGTGCTTGATCATGCGATCACGCTTCTCCATTTCGGTGACAACCTCCACAATCTGGGTAATTCTGTGGTTGGCAGCCAGCTCCATGGAACCAATATTGACCTGGATAAAGTCTTGCAAAAAGTCGGAAGCAAGGGCACGGACTTCCTTGGGCCAGGTGGCGGACCACATGAGAGTCTGTCGGTCAGGTCGAATCTGCTCGATAATCTTGCGAATCTGGGGCTCGAAACCCATGTCCAGCATGCGATCAGCCTCGTCGAGGACCAAGTAAGTCACACGGCGCAGGTTGGTCTTGCCGGCCTCGAGCATGTCGATGAGACGACCGGGGGTGGCAATGCAGACCTCGACACCTCGGGAGAGGTCACGGATCTGAGGGCCCTTGGGGACACCACCGTAGACACAGGTGTTGCGGATGCGCGATGAGCGGCCAAACTTTGAGATTTCCTGCTGGATCTGGACGGCAAGCTCACGAGTGGGGGCAAGGATCAGGACGATGGGGCCGTCGCCAGGGGCGAGCAGGGGCTGTGCGTTGATGTGAACGATGGCGGGAAGACAGTAGGTAAGAGTCTTTCCGGAACCCGTCTCGGCAATACCGACGACGTCACGTCCAGAGAGAGCCATGGGCCATCCTTGGGACTGGATGGCGGTAGGGGCAGGGAAGCCCTGGGCCTTGACTTCGTCCATGACGTAGCGAGGGAAACCGGCCTCGTCGAATGTCTCGACGGGCTTGGGGACCTCACGACCAGCAATGGTCATCTGATGTTTGCGACGGAACTCGTCGACTTCGGCAGGGGAGCGGGAGCTGACATCGGGATCCTCCTTGTAAAAGTCCTTTTCGAACTTGGGAAGGGTGGAGAGATCTGCATTGTCCAGAGTTAGTAAAAAATGAAGAAAGAGAAAAAGAAGGAACGGATCCAAAGTACGGTGAAAACACCGAGGAAAGACATACCCCAATCTTGCTTCTGCAGGCCAGCGCCGAGGTGGCCCATTCGGTCACCGCCGCCGCCTCCATAACCACCACCACCGCCGTAGCTACCGCCGTGGCCGTTACCAAATCCGCCACGACTAGAAAGAAATTTTCGTTAGCCAAAGGTTCGCTGCAAGTGCGAAATGAATGTGCAAATCCATCGATCAAGCCGTAGAAATGATTGTTTCCAGCTGGCACGCAGGTATCGCCAAGGGATGAGAATCTCAACTCTTAGGCCTGCGCAGATCAAGGAGAAGGAGAGGCTGAAACAACTTACCCTCCGCCGTAGCCACCGCCTCCGAAGCCGTTGCGGTCGCCGCCACGATCACCACCGCGATCACCACGATCACGACCGTAACCACCACCGCCGCCTCCGTAGCCGCCGCCGTTGGATCGACCGCCGCCGTAGCCAGACATTCTGCCGAGTTTTGAGTTGATTCGCAAAGGGTTTCTGTGAAGTTGGATGGAAACGCGGTTGTCAGGTCAACTCGAGGTTCAAGTGACTAGAATCTGGCACAAGGGGGAAAAGAAAGAACGCGTCAGAAAGACCGAGAACCAGCGGTTCTGATGGTTTGCCTCTGCTGTGCGATGAGGGGAGATTGAATGAAAGAGAGAGAAAGAAGCCAGAGGTTGGCGTCTGAAGAATGTTTGTTGGAAGAGAAGGAATTCGGAAAGCAGGGGGGATTCGGTCTGCGCCTAAGTTTTTTTTCTTGCCTGCAGTTTTTTTTTTTAGCGCTAAGAAAATCTCGATGGCGCCTGCCGGTACGTACCTAGGGTGGCAACTTGCTGATGTAATCACGCGTCATGGGTTACCCTGGAGCGAATCGAAATCTTTTGGGACGAAGAAATTGGCCAATTTGAGTTGTGATGTGGCTTTTCCAGTGCAAATGTGGGATATGAGGGTAGATGAGTTGAAATGAATGCCTGATTAATAAGATTGAGGACGTTGTGTTGGGTGAGAGGGATCTTGGCCTGAGATGGGAACTTGGATGGTGTATTTCGTGCTGCGAAAAATTCACCAAAACGTTCTCCATCTCCTTTAATATGTAACGTATGAATTCACTTCAACTAAAGAACCCTTCATGGAATCGTTCAGGTCCCAGGACAATAAACAGCATGTTTATATAGACACTATTTAGAAGATAGACACAGCAATCCGACTAAAGGACAAAATCTTCATATAATCACCCTTTGCAATTCTCACAACAACCTACTTCGTAGTCTCCCCCAACCCCCGTGATATGTATGAAAACAAGAATACAGGTAATAGTTACAAAACAAAGGAGGTATCCTAACCTCGCACCCAATCCGGCTTTTTATTAGTCTCCAGCCCAGGCGGTTAAAGACGCCTTCTCTATGTCATAAAAAAAGAAACGATAAAACAAGTCTCCGCTCAACACACAGAACAGACGCCCGCGAGCAATCATGCATATGCGAGATTCATGTGCCCCATGATAGAATAGGTAGTGGTTGCTTCAAAAGCTGCGGTCAACCAGCCGCTCTTCCTGCGCCAATTTTGGTTCTCCCTTCTCTCTATGCTCCCTTCTCTTTCTTTTCTTCGTCTAAAGAGTCTACTCTCGGGAGACGTCACGGCCGAAAGCCTTGGACTTGAGCCAGTCCACGATAACCAGAACACGGTTGCGTGCTGTAAATGCCGTTAGCTAAATGTATCAAAAGGGGGGAAATTTGTATAAAAGAGGACTTACTGCTGAAGCACATGGAGAGATAGGCACTTCTCCAGAAGAGATAGGTCAGGCTACCGCCGGTGGCCAGGTTGCCGTTCCACCAGCTGACGTCGGCAACGGCCTTCTCGCTGCCAATGTAGGCCAAGCTTCCCTGGTGGCTGTACTTGAAGGGCTTGACATCGCGAATCTTCTTGAGCTGTCTCTCCAGAAGCTCAATCTCCTGAGCAGCCTCGGCAGAGTTGCCGCTCTCAATGTTCAGCTTGCTGCTCAGCTCCTGGATACGGGCCTCGTGGTTCTCAGTCTTGGCCATGTTGTTGAACAGCTTTCCAAGGAAGGTGCCCTCCTGCGAGGCGACCTGGGCAGTAGGGGCGTAGCCAGCAACGGCACAGTCACCAACGGCCCAGATGTCGCGGGTTCCCTGGACAACGAGGTACTCGTTCACGGCAAGACCACGGCGGGAGTCCTTCTGCGCAGCAATCTTGGTGGTAAGGTCCTTGATGATGGGGCGGACGGCGTTTCCGGTGGCCCAGACGAGCAGGCCGTAGGGGATCTCGACACGCTCCTTGGTACCGTCAGGGCGGGACACCTCGGCCTCGACAGCCTTGTCGGTAACTCTCTTGACCATGGTCTTGGTCTTGATGTCAATCTTCTCCTCACGGAGGGTGTTTTCGGTGTAGTCGATGAGAGTCTTGGAGAACATGGGGAGAACGTTGGGCAGGGCCTCAATCAGGGTAACCTTGAAGCGAGGGCTGATGTCGGGGACCAGCTTCTTGATGTCCTCCTCGAAAAAGTCCTGGAGCTCGCCAGCGAACTCAACGCCAGTGGGGCCACCACCAACGACGACCATGTGCATGAGACGGTCAATCTCCTCGGGAGTCTGGCCCTTGAAGGCGGCAGTCTCAACGCAGTCCATGATCTTCTTGCGGATCTGCTGGGCATCACCAATCTCCTTGAGGAAGCAGCTGTGCTCCCTGACGCCGGGGATGCCAAAGGTTGCGTTCTCGGCGCCGACGCCAACGACGAGCATGTCGTAGGGGATCTCCGTCTCGGAGGTGGCGCCCTTGATCTCAGAGTTATCGGCAATGCGCACAACCTTGCGATCAGGGTCAATGGAGGTGGCCTCGGCTTCGTAGAACTTGGCGGCGGCCTTCTTGCCACGGAGAATGGCGCGGACAGGCTCCATGATGGAGCGGTGCTCGATGGTGCCGGTGGTACATGAGGGCAGTAGGGGGGTGAAGAGGAAGTAGTTGCGGGGAGAGACAACGACGACGTTGTAGTTTTCGGTGTCGAGCTTCTTGAGGAGAGCAACAGATCCCCAGCCAGTGCCTGGTTTCGGATTCTCCGGTCAGCTTGACATATTCTCACATATGAGCGCATCGTAGAGGCATTGACTCACCCAGAATGACCAGCGTCTTCTTGTTGGGATCAGGCTCGTACTGCTCGTCGGGGTGGCGATCGTCGTAGATGTTGTAGGCAGTGAATCCAACGAGGCCAATGGCAGAGAGATAGGTCAGTCTCCAGGCCCATCTGAATGTCTTACGCAGCTTGCCCGGCTTGGGCTTGGGGGCTTCATCGGCGTAGGCTCTGCGGAAGGCGATGCGACCCGAGTTGGCCAGCTTCATGGCGACAGAGGGCCGGGCGGCAGATCGCATCATCATGGCCTTGGTAGCCGTGGAAAAGGCTCGTGATGCGACGCCATTGGGGCCGATTGGGCCAGCCCTGGCGAGGGCTCTCATTGACTGTTGTGAAGCCATCTGCTTCGGGCTCCGGAACCGGGATCAACACCACCACAGGGGGAACAGGGAACAATAACAATGACAATAGCAGGGAAAATAAGGACGACAAAAGGATATTGTCAAGACGATATTTCAAGTCGATTGTAGGAAAAGCAGGCAAAGCGTGCGCTAGGGGATGGAGCTCGAGCTGTCCAGTGACTCGACCAGGGCAGAAGGCCTAAAAAAAAAGTTGATGACGCCCGAAAGCTTTAGCGGATCGTTGAATTTTTTTTCTCTATTTTTTTCTCTCTAATCCATCCGCCTTCCCGCTGGAGAATTAATAACGCAGAAAATGATTGGGTCTGGCACCCACTTCAACGGTGTTGCCCCTAGCACGGAGGGAAAGGCGATAAGGCATGCCAGAACGATAGAGAGATTGGAGTCAACCAATTGATCACGACTATTATACTAGTTATACTTCCCGGACCGGGACTCGCTGCAGACATGTGCCAGCGCAAGCCTCCGTCCACTGCCGGTCCTTAGTACGAACTACGAACGCAACATGTAATCTCTTTCCGGAAAGCCGAGCCCTGTGAAGGACGTACGGACTTTTGTGCTCCGGTATACTGGAAGCTGGCTAGGGCAGACGGCGTTCTCTAGCCGGTGACACCAGCAGCATCTTCGTTTCCTTTGGTCTTCTCAGGTCTTCTCCCTGTAACTTCCCCTCAACCTCTTCCATATCTTTGAATAATTCGTCTTCTAGAGTCTCTCATCCATCGTCCCCCCGGTTTGATCCGTGCGTTGTCGCAATGACGGACAGCCCCATCGAAGGCCCCGGATCCCGAAGCTGCTCCGGCCAGCGGCGCAGACGGACGGAGAGTTCGAGGCTCATCTCGGGATCTTTCGGAGGGTCCATGGCAGGGAAAAGGAGGAGAGCAGAGCAACCTTGGAGAGCTAAGCGCACGCTATTATGTACGAGGGGCGTCTTGCCGCGATGGGTAAATTGAACGCGGCTGGATGATTTACCACGACTTCAGCACGCCACTGGTCCGGTATCGCTGGATAACATTGCAAGTTGAACTATCCGCGGTGCGGTTGCTCTATAATCAGAAGCAGGTGAGCTTGATGTATCTCGATGCTGAATCATTTACCGCGAACCATCCGGAGATGTACCACAGGATAGAGTCATAAGACTCATAAGACTCATAACCGGCGGAACTTCCCATCCTCAGTTTGCATGGAAGTTTCCAAGTGCATTCTCACGTGTGTTAGAAGCCGGCCGTTGAGACGCGCCCAATCACATGCACTGACGCTGGAGATTCAACGACGTGCATGCGTCACTGAAGGATCTCTCGGAACTGAGTTGAGGGTGTGCTGCTCTCATAAACCGAGGCAATTCAGAATTTCAAATCATTCATGTTAAGCAGCTGAATTGATCGAGCACCGCACAGTCGTTGTCCTGTTGTTTCAACCTTCTCACTCTTGTCTGATCTTTGCTCCCTGCATGTGTCCATCAGCTCAATGGTTGCGCCACCACCGCCCCGCCTCATTTCAGCCCGGGCCGGCTGTCACTAGCCACACCGCCGGAACTCGCATCTACAGTAGATCGTGTCATCCCAACTTTTAACATATGCCAGCAATCTGGAAGCTCGTGACAAATTCAATGCGTACCAATACGCATCTATGTATTTGTTTTACCGCAGTTGGCCCTGATAGATGAAGGGGGTTCAACAGTATCGCTCCCCCGTTCTGTCTATGGCAGCTCGACGAGTCAAGACTTGTTCAGTTTCATATCCTAGCGCTCCCTTACACCTGAAACGCTCGACGACACACTTGGTGCTCCCATCATAGCAGCAATTGCCTGTGCGCGTTGCATTTTGAGGCCTCCTTTTCGCAAGCATTCCCTTTTTGAACTTCCTATCCTTTGGCTTCCCTTATTTCCCTGGACTCCGTATTTCCCTGATGTTTCCATTGCTCGGAGCTGCCGCCTGTCATGTAGAGAGACCCAAAATGGAAATCGTCAAGATAGGCCACTGTGGCGTCGTATCCTGGCTATATCAGGCTCTTGAGACGGAAAATCGCATATCAGTATGAATGAAGTGCGGCGCTTGGACTCTGTTCTGAGGCAATCATGGGCAATATTGCCTTGCAAGATTGTATGAGGGAGTGTGTCAAGCTCGGCTCTCCTTGTACGCGTACCTAGTGCCGGCCAGATTTGAACGTCCGTGTCCTTCCCCCTTGTCTCCAGTTGAGATTCAGATTGGGTGGATAATCCCACTAACAAACCCGTCTCTTTCCTGCTACTGACGGGTTCCCGCAATTTGGCTGGATTCGACACCGGCTCTTTATGCTTCTTTGGCGAGGGCTAGCATTGCACTTCTTTCCCCAGAACGTGCCCGAGGAGGAGGCGCAAGATGGATCGACGACCTGTAACAGATTCGAGGTGAAAGCTCATTGGCTTCAAGTTTCTTTTCTCTATGCGGTGTTTCCTGACGGTTGCTCCGTCCCGAGTGTTTCCCCATTTTATTCTTTGAAGATCCGGGAGGCCAAGCGATATCTTATTAGCTCATCCCCACGTTTTTTTTTCCTTTTCTCTTTCATGCTTCCTCTTTGAGAGAGGTTTTTTCTTCTTTCGGCGTTTCTTTGTCTTTCTTTTAGTTTTTGTTATGGGGATGATTTCTTTCTGTTGATCTATTTTTGGTAAAAAGTGCAGAACTGGATTCTTGCACGGGTTGGTGAATGGTTTGGGTTGTATATTTTCGTCTCTCACTCACTCTCTTTTCCTTTTCCGCAACCGAATATTCTGCATACCGTCATGAACCTTGGCACGTTGATTGAAGCTGGTCTATAACAACGCTGCGCAAAGACAGAGGATAGAAGGGGAACAGTTTTGGGCAGTGAATCATGGCGCCGACCTCAAGGACGGACAGGAGACGATGGAATCCAAAGGGCGACATTAAAGACCAGTTCGACGACAACACCGCAAACGCCAAGGAATTAGTAGGCGATATCAACTTGGAGGGAAAATTATGTAGAAGGGCGCTTTTGCAACTATTGGGTCGGGATGGAGACAAAGATGAGGACGAGAGTGAAGACGAAAGCGAGGACGAGCATGAGCATGGGGATGACCGCTCTAATGTTGGACTTCCTATCACCAACCCCATTCTTCATCCTTCTCTTCCTTCTTTTCCTCCTCCTCCTCCTCTACCACCACTACCATCAAATCCCCTCTCTGGTCTTTTCCCTCCGCCCAAGTCAAGTCCTCCACCCAATTCAAATCCTCCAGCCGCAGCTCCGCCTCCCCAGCAGCCTCCCCCGCCCTCATCCTCTACCCCCCCTCAAGTATCTCCCACAGGAGTCACTGGAAATTTTGGATCCGCTTCACCCTCCGGCAACCCTCGCAGAACAACCCTCAGTGCAGCTCTGCCAAAAAGTACGTCTGGTGGTGATGATAGTGACGATGACGACGACGACGACGATGACGGAAGGACTACCAGTGGCGCTCCATCGCCCACGCGATCTACTTTTTCTAAATCGACTCGATCTGTCCTCTCTCTTACAGCCGCCATCTCGCCTTATGAGACATACACAACTGAAGATGGGCAAAAATCCAGCATAAGCAGCACCGAGAGCAAAACCCGCTCCCCGACCACATCCACCACTGCGCCAGCACAGACTCCAGAAACAGCAACGAGAGTAGAGACGGCAATGACGGGTATTCCAAGTCCAAATGGAACGGCAGCTATAGGCCAGGGACAAGAGGCCGCACACACTTCCAGGCTAAGCCCGGGCGCTGAAAAAGCGGTCATTGCGTCTGTAACCATTGGTGCGTATAAATTTTTGAGGCAGATTCATTTCATGGATAACGCATAAAACTTACTGTTCCCAATGTAGGTGGATTCTTTCTTCTTCTGGTCCTGGCTTTCTTCTTCTGGCGCCGAGCATCTAAGCGTAAATCTGCTGGACGAAAGAGTACCTGGCCGACCAATTCCCCCTCTCGCGAGATCTTCGCCGGCCCTCGGCGCGTTTCCACCAAGCTGGGCGAGAAGTTTACGTCTATGAAGGCCCATGAGATCTTTGAAGGTCCTCGTCGCGTCTCCAGCAAAGTGGGTGAAAATTTCACGACTATGAAGGCTCATATCCGGTCGGGCTCCTTCGGATGGTGTAGCATCAACGATGACGACGACGACACTCCCACGAATGAGAAATCTGCGGCTCCGGTGGCGACGAATGCTGGTGGACTGCTCGAAAGGAGATTGGGAGCTATGACGCCGCCCCAGCGTGTTACGGTGAATTCATATGGGATGATATTCCGCAAACCGAAGCGCGACTCAAGATTGTCGGACATTTTTCAGCCTAGGGGGCAGCAGAGGACGTGGCCCCCTTCTATACCTCCTTCTCCAGAGGTGCCACCTTCTCCGGAGGGGATCAGGATACCCATTGTGCGGCCTAATACGCAGATGGCGGCGGCGGCACATTTGGAGAATGCGAGGAAGAGTGTCAACGCGGGTGTACGAAACATGCCGCGGACACCAAGGACGCCTTTGCGCCAGAATATGCGCATGAGCGATGTATCCTCCTTGTCGTCAGGGTTTGGCGACGGGGACATTGTAATTATCCAGCCTCCCAACGCTGCCGCTGCTGCCAAGACAGCCTACACTGACTCACATGTTAACGTCATTGCCGTCAGAAGTAGTCCTGAGAGGAAACACTTTAGCAGCCGATTCAGCAACCGACTCTCCCGCGGAGACACCGTCGGGACAAACTCGTCGTCTGAAGACGGGCGGCCTCGCTTCCGGTCCATTTCGTCGTGGGTCGGTCAGCAGTCGCGCCGGGTGAGGCGAGCCGCGGCGAGTAGGAATGAGGATGGGGTTCCTGATGTGCCGGATGTACCGCCGGAGCAGGGGTTTGATATGATGATGCCTGATGGGCAGGAGCCGAGGAGAGTTGAGTCTTCGATGTGGAAGAAGACGCAGGGCGGCGCTGTGTAGATTAGGAGGATGGAGGTGTGAGCGGACAATAGAAAGGGGAGAAAATATAAACCTTTTCAACATAATCATATATAGTATATTCCGTCTCTAAGGATGTATCTCTTCATTGTCGCCTCTATGTTTTCATAACGTCACACTAATAGTCCTGAGCGTACTTTATCCGTCTATTTGTATGGAAACATTTCCCAAAAGCCAATCTCCATCTGCCGTATTCATTAGTAAAGCAACTTAAAGGTTAATGACTGCTCAGAAGCTTACCTTTGTCGCATGCACGAAGATTTTAACAAGTTCCTCTATCCGACTCGGCGATTGTAACCGGATATTCTTCTCGATGAGTTCTACCACCACCATTAGAATTAGCCTCACATCGAGGTTGAAACGAATCAAGGGGCAACACGTACCGCTCCCTAGTCTCACAGCTTCGACGTAATCATCAGCATTGTAATTTTCGATCCAATCCCAGTAAGTGTTTCCTTCGCGAACAGTCTCTGCGTGTGCGTGCAGCATCTTTGCTACGGCGCCGTAGCCGAGGAGGCAAGGCGCGAGGGCCATTTGGAGGGCGAGCCAGTCTTCGCTTTGGCCGACGTCGAGAACGTAGCGGGTGTATGCGGTGGAAGCTTAACGACGATGACATGTTAGGAAGTGTAACTTTTTTCTGGAGGGAGGGTTTGGGAGGCTTTGCCTTGGAGTTCTTCGGTGGCTTGGATTTCGGGCTCGGAGATGCCGAAAGAGTTGCAGTAGTTGATGTGGAGTTTCATTTCGTGGAGGATGTGGGTGACGATTTCGTTGGACTGTGATGATTGTTAGGATTTGGGGGGTTTTGGGGGTTGCGTAGTGGACGGACCCGAGAGATGTCGCCGATGCTTTTTGCTTTGTATGCTGCTAGGGCGTTTGCTCGAGAAAAGTGAACCTGTGTATGAATGTTAATTGTAGTTCTGGATGAGCCTCCTTGGATATAGGTTCAGAGGAGAGTGCTTACGAGATAGAGGTAATCTTGGATGATGTAGCCTTTGAACGACTCAAGCGGTAGTGTGCCGTTGCCAAGGGCCATGACAAAGGGATGATAGACAAAATCCTTCCAGACGTCGCGAACAGCCGGGTGCTCCAGCAGATAGTCTACAAAGTATCCCCTGTTTCAGCATACGTGTTAGCCGATGCGAGCTCATTATCTCATAACGAGTCAGCTGGTGGCAAATACTAACGGAGAGAAAGGAAGCGTGTATGTGGAATGGAAGTGGTCAAGCGGTCCGTTTCCGCCTCCAATCTGGGGTGCCGTCTTGATGCCTGCTTCGATGTAGCGACACGCGCCGCGGACAGCCGTGGGGACGTCGGCGCCTTGAGCAATACGGGCAGAAATAGCAGCTATTTAACAGTCAGTATCATCTCTAGATGCTAACAGTAATTGCCGAGATGTACTCACAAGCTAGCGAGCAGCCTGTTCCATGAGTGCTTGTGCTCTCTTGGTACGGGCTCTCCACGCGGAATACACTGCCTCCTGGCCCAATCAAAACGTCGACAATGATTTCTCGCTCTTCTTTAGTCTTTGCTACTGAAAAGTCTCGTCGAAATGGCATATGGCCACCTTTGACCAGGACCCATTTCGGCCCTAACTCTTGGATCTTGCGTCCCATGGCTTCGACGTCGGCGACGGACTGTATTTCGCCGACTTCATGGCCGTTCTGCGTCAAGAGGAGGGTTGCTTCTGGAATGTTGGGAGTGAGGAGGGTGGTGTGAGGGAGAAGATGCTGGGATAGCTGGGCGATGGCTTCATGAGGGAGGAGTTGGGCTCCTGATGTTGAGACCATGACCTATGGGTGAATAGTTGGCTTTGTCAGCTTTGCTTTGGACAAAGGATGCCTTGAAAGTCATACCGGGTCCACAACTAGAGCTGGGATTTTGTACTTGGTGACTAGTTTGGTAATGACTTCGATTGTTTCCGCAGATGCTAGCATTCCTGTTTGACCTTGTCAGTATGTTGCTTGACAAGTCTCAGCTTCATGCTAGATATGAGATGGAAACTCACCCGTCTTGATGACATCGGCACCTACATCTTCGAGACAGGCTTCGATCTGCTTTCCAACAAAGTCCGATGGAATGACGTGGACTCCTGTTACGCCTTTTGTGTTTTGGATGGTTAGCGCGGTGGTCGATGCCATTGCGTAGCAACCATGCGCGGCAAGGACTTTTTGGTCTGCCTCCAAGCCACTGTAGAGAGAAACGTAGTATTAGCAAAACTCATTGATTTACTCTTTTGAGCTAGATGTATTATATTTTCTCTATGAGGGTATAGCTTTGGAGCTTAGAGAGGAGCTGTTATTGCATGACTATTGCAGCTCCAACCAACTGGGGAAGTGGCATGTGCAGATGAAGTGAGTTGGAAAAGTACTTACGCTCCCCCGGAAGGGTCTGACCCGGCAATAATCAGGACCTTGCCGTTAATCATCTTTTTACGATGAATGAAACGAACGAATCTTGTGACTGATTTCGAAAAGAGCTCAAAAGTTGATCACTTCGAAAGGGCGCGGAATAAACTGCAGCTTTGTTTGAAGGTGGGGCAGAAAATATACGGCTATCAGATTTCAGGTGGTGGGGCTGAGCTGATTTGAAGCCAAGATGACCAGTTGACAGGTATTTTATTGTAGGGGCTTACATGTAGCTGTAAAAATTGGCTGTATGGCCTTACGAGGGGATAGTACGGATACTCTATGTTATTGAGAAGCTGGATATGGCGTTTTCGTATATTGAATCAGCGTCAATAAGCCCCTCAGAAGTGAAGCTGTGGTGGGTAGCAAAGGAGCAAGAGATCCGTGGTTTGCTGCATGCCAAGATTCTTTAAAGACAATTGTGAATATACCTGTGCAAAGCGTACAATGACAAGAGAAGAAGGATTCAACTGGATGAACAATACAGCACTCTAGCTGCTGGTTCAAGCATCTCTGCAGCGAGAATCAAGGCGAAGGCCGGTGATGGCAACCTCACATGCTGTTTCTTGTCGCATTTGTCGTATGGATCAGATATATACCAGACGATTGATTCTATTGAAACCTCAAGATCAAATTCGTTTTAAGGCACTACTCCTAGGTAGATAGTTGACGATAGAGTTGTTACTCCGCTGTATCTATTCGAGTTGTATCATGGTGATGCGCACTTACACGATTGCATTGTTTAAGCGCGCTGCATCTAATCGTCTCACCTGCACATGTAAGGTATCACTTTGATCATATGCAGGTGTATTTTCTATTCCCCTTCCATGCGGCTATCTACTTCTTTCTCTGGCATTGGTTCACACAGCTGCTATCTTGCCGTGTCCCCACTGTTCACTTTGAGGGTGATATCGGAGGCAATTTTTTTTGCCACTTTGCCGAACAGGCCGACTTTGCGCATCTTCTCCGCCCTCGAATTCTTGGTAATGGGCTACAGCGGCAAGAATAGCGTCAGAAAGCACTAGAAAAGCCATGGTAGGGGACTAGATAAATTAAATTCCCATCAATTCATTCCGCTCTTTGACAAATCTCACAAATGCACGGGCCAAACTCTCACTAAGTTTTTGGTGGGATATTTTCAAAGTGAACCCCACGTTGCCTTGCAGGCCGTGATGGACTAGTCTGCCAGATCCTGCGGGGTTTAAAAAAAAAAAAAACTTTGGGAAGCTTCCGAAATCGCGAATTTCGTCTCCTGCGCCAAAACTTGTCCCAAATCGAGACGTTTTTGCGCCGAAACTTCGTCACGACCGGCTTCCATTGCTCTTCTGTAGCGCATCGTTGCGTTGCAGTTGTTTCTTCTGATTTGGTCTTTTTCGATTGTATTTGTCCCCTGAACCCGCCGTCATCTCCGTCAAGATGTGTGGCGTCACTGGTTTGATGGTTCGTTCTATGATGGAATCTCGCTGCAACGCTGCATGGGTCTTTGCTAACGGCAACTCCTGAATCCAGCTCGGAGACCCGGAGGCCACTACGGCTGCCATCGAACTCCACGAGAGTCTCTTTTATCTCCAACACGCAAGTTGAATCTTGGCTTTGGAAACGCTCGTTGCTCGGACTAATAGGAAAAATAGCGAGGTCAGGATGCTGCCGGCATCTCGGTTTGCAACGGGGGTCGAGTCTACCAGAGAAAGGGCCTCGGAATGGCGCAAAAGGTCTTTTCTGAATTCGACGGACTTGCTCTCCTGGAGCAGCTGCCTGGTGCTTTCGGCATTGCCCACGTCCGATATCCCACCGCCGGCACTTCGTCTGCGTATGTGCTGTTCCAACGACTCGATATTTCGAGTGTATGCTAACGCGATGGAATCGTAGATCTGAGGCACAGCCCCTCTACGTAAACTCTCCGTTTGGTCTCTCCATCAGCGTCAACGGAAACCTCATCAACCCCGACTACCTTCGCGAGTTCTTGGATGTCGAAGCTCGTCGACACGTCAACTCGGATTCGGACTCTGAGCTATTGTGCGTATCTACGTCCTCGTGATATCAAATGGCTATGGGATATTATATGAAGCCGTTTGCTGACTCTTTAAATCACAGACTCAATGTTTTCGCTCACGCGCTTAATGAGCTTGGCAAGGCTCGAGTAAACGTCGACGACATCTTCACCTCTCTACGTGAAGTCTATGCCAAGTGCACCGGAGCTTATGCTTGCACTGCTATGGTTACTGGCTTTGGTATCCTGGGTTTCAGGTAGGCTGATTGAACTTTCTTGATGCCCATGTTGGCAGTTTGACCAACGTCCATTATAGAGACGCAAACGGCATTCGCCCTCTTTGCTTTGGCTCTCGACCTTCTCAAACCCTGCCGGGAGCCAAGGATTACTTCCTTGCATCGGAATCTGTTGCTCTCCGACAGCTTGGATTTACCGACATCGTCGACATTAAGCCTGGCCAGGCAGTCTTTTGCCAGAAGAACGGCACTGTTCACTTCCGCCAAATCGTAGAGCCAAGATCGTACACCCCCGACGTATTCGAGTACGTCTACTTGGCTCGACCTGACAGCTGCATCGACGGTATTTCTGTTCACCGCAGCCGGCAAAACATGGGTGTTAAGTTGGCCAAGAAGATGAGGGAGGTCTTGACCGCAAAGGAGATTGAGGAGATTGATGTTGGTATGTAGCCAGCTCCTTTGGGAAGTTGTAAGAACCATGCTAATCAGACTTTTCTTTAGTTATCCCGGTTCCAGAGGTAAAGCCTACAAACTCAAGCTACACTCGGAATCATCTGCTTACCAAGTACCCAGACTAGTAACACTGCCGCGGCTACTCTTGCAAGCTGCCTAGACCGACCCTACTCAAACGCCTTCGTAAAGAATCGTTATGGTCAGTCGCCTGAACGTCGGTAATACGAACATTTTGAACTGACTTCCATCTAGTCTTCCGCACATTCATCCTGCCTGGCCAAGAGGCGAGAAAGAAGGGCATCCGTCGAAAGCTCTCCCCCATCGAATCCGAGTTCAACGGAAAGGCCATTTGCATCGTTGACGACTCAATTGTCCGAGGAAACACGTCGCGAGAGATTGTATGTGGACAGTTCATTACTGTTTTATCCTGTGACTAATTTTGGCTTTAGGTTCAAATGGCTAGAGAAGCTGGAGCAACCCGTGTTTATGTCGTCTCGTGCTCTCCCGAGATTATGAACCAGCACATCGTAGGTTGAAGTCTACACTCTGCCCGGAATCATGCTAATCTTGAATGGTATTTTAGTACGGCATTGACCTTGCCGACCCTGATGAACTGGTGGCATACAACAGAACCACTGAAGAGGTGGCCGAGAACATCCAAGCCGACAAGGTCATCTTCCAGAGCCTGCAGGATCTCAAGGACGCCTGTACCGAAGCAGCTGATGACACAAACGACGTCAAGGAGTTTGAGGTGGGAGTCTTCTCTGGAAAGTACATCACTGAGGTGCCTGATGGCTACTTCGAGCACATCAGCCAACTCCGCGGCAAGAACAAGAAGAGAAAAACCCCTAACTGCTCGGAAGCGATGATCATTGCGAATGGCGGCGTTGTCAATGTGGCACCAGGCCAACAGGCTGCGGGTGATGCCAGAAATGGCGTCAAGAGCCCGTCATACCGGGAGGACATCAAGTGAGTAGAGGCCTGATGACTTCCAAGCTGAACTGTTTATTGACAATCCCACAGCATCTACAACATTGCCAGCTAATCGACGACTCACGGATCGGTATTGGCATATAGTCTATCTGGACTTGGCCTCATTCATCGGTTGCGCCATCTTTTTGTGAGAACAATGCGTGGAAAACAAGACGAAAAAGAATAAGAGGCATCTTGGGGCTTGGATTTGGTCCACCAAAAAAAGAAAGCAGAGTCTACGCCAGGGATCGAGGAAGCTGTCGGCCCTGCTGCCAGAGATACAATTTATCGGCGGCATTGGCGAGACTACTGCGACGTAAAACCCGTGGTTTGGAAAGCGCCGTGGAATATGCGAGAATTTGTCAGAGCGTAATCTGCCCCTGGAAAACAAAAAAAGAAGTTACGGACAGTTCAGATGCTTTCTGGGGTGATCAGTTGGGCTGGTGGGCTGAGAGATACACAAAAACATTAATGCAGGGCTAAACATATAGACGACAATCACTAAACAGCTCGGGCGAGGCCTCTGTCGCCAGCTTAGTATATCGGTTTGGTACCATTAGATAGGGGGCGGCGCAATGCTTATTTGATAGACGATTTCATGTTCTGAATTCGAGTGATGAAGGATGATTGATACCTAGCAGAAAGAGAGAATGTGACATGTACTTAGCAGTCCCCGTACCTGACAGCTCCCATGTCAGCTTCGCGCCGCCAAGATCCAACCGAACAACTACAATAGCATACTCAATATACCAAGAAAGGAAAGAAAAAAACCCCCTCATTCATTACAATCTTCTTCAATTGTGTCCAACTCCATCGGGATCCTACCCTCGTCTTCCTGGTCCTCCTGGTCTTCCCGGTATTGTATCGTTCCTTTGAAACACCAATATGAGCTCTTCGGTCGTTCTTCTTCCAATCGTTTAATCAAGAAAGCTTCGACGTCCTCGGCATTCGCTCGAGCACTTCGATCGGGATTAAGCATCGAGGTTCGGATGAAGTCCACGAACTCTGGGAAGAAGGAGTCTGCCGTTTTCGGATATAAATCCTTAATAAGTGCTGTGAAAAACTTCGAGTAACTGTTAGCTGTTGCTTTATTCATCTCTGTTCAAAGAATATTCCAGCTTTATTTCGCATAACTGTGACCTGATGGTTTAACATACCTCATCGACTGAATTCTTGCGTTTTGTCGTGCTCAGGGGATCTGTAAGTCTGATAGGTGCGATTAATGAACTGGGGCTGCTGTCACGTTGAAGAGACGAGTTTATGAGACTTTTGAAGATCCTGGTCTAAGACTTTGAGCGATCCCAATGACGCACTACCTCCGTTTAAAGTGTAAAATGTTGTCTGACTTAATTCCGATATGGATCCTGTAGACATTTTGGGCGTTATTTGCTGGAGGTATATTGTATTGTTCTTAAATGGCCTGGAGATCTTGACACTGATACCATGACATTGAGTGCAAATCCACCGGCTGAACTTATACCATTTTGATCTCGTAGATGTGATGATATCACGTCGGTGTTTGTCCCATAAATCATTAAGGGTATCCTCTCTAGCCTGAGGAAAAGGAGCACTGCGCATTTTCCCCTTCTTCAAATCTGGTGGCAAGACAAGCCATTGCTTGTCAATAAAATTGTTGATAAGTTCATATTGATTGAATCCGTCAGGTAGATGCACCTCGTTCCCAGGCCCCTCCATATCTATTATTAAAAATGAAACCTAGTATGTACCGAACATCCACTAGTGGCTGTAGGCAGGCCCATTGTCAATTTTATTTTCGCTACCGAGATACAATTTACTTACTTTAATAAACAGGGTATCATGTTATCCAAAAATTGAAAACGTCCTCATTCATTACCAGGTGCCAGTTCCCGTTGTGCTCCTACTATAACTTTTCGGGTATTCTATCGTGCCGTTAAAACGCCAATATCGACTGTCCGGTGGCTTTTCTTCCAAAAGTCTTCCTAAGAAAGACTCGACTTGCTTGGAATCCGCTCGATGTTTCCGATCGGGGTCAAGCATCGCAGATTGGATGAAGCGAAGAAACTGCGGGAAGAAGGTGTTTGCCATATCAGGCCCCAACTCTTTAATAAGGTCAGAGAACCACTTTAAGACGTCATTTGCTGTTAGTTATTTTCATTTTTTCCTCTTTAAGAGAGCATTCAAGTGTCGCCCAACCTACCTCATCGACTGTACCCTTGCGTTTTGGCGCCTTAGCTTGTGTCAAACGGCTCGTTTTCATGATGAAGAAGTTATCCTCCGACCACTCGCCCTTATTTTCATCGGGAAATTGCTTGTCCTCGTTCATCCGCGCCGTTTTGAACAAATCAATTGCGTTCTCGCCGCCTATCGCCCACGTCACGAATTCGGCAAATAAACAGCCAAAAGCCCAGATATCAATCTTCCTGGACCTCACTTTACCCATGTCATGCTCTGGTGCTCTATAAGTTTGATATGCGTTACCCATGGACTTGGACTGTACAGTCCGAGAGACAAGCCTGTGAAACTTCATGAGGCCTAAATCAGAGACTTTGAGCAATCCTAATGGCGGGCCGTCTTTTTCAGTGAAGTGCAATATGTTATCTGGCTTGATATCGCTGTGGATTCCATAGAGATCCTCGGCGCTGGTTCCTGCGGGCACATGTATGCCGAATGGTTCGTGGATGGCCCAGAGATCTCGAATAATACCATGACATTGCATGCATATCCATCGGCTAAATTCAGACCATGGTACTCTTGCGTCCGCAACGATATTGTGTGGATCTTTAGCCCATAAATGGTTAAGGGTGCCTCCATCTGCCCAAGGGAAAAGGAAACCCCGGCTTTCTCCCCTCATGAAGGCGGCGCGTATTTCAACGATATGGCCACCAGGTGTTGCCTTGTGGAAGGCGTCTAGCTCCTGTTGGAAGAACCTATCTCTTTCGTCGGGTATCATCGGATGCATAGTCTTAAGAGCAAAGTATTCGTGATTCTGAGGCTGTTTAGCAAGGCTGGAGCTGGGGTATACTCGCGCCAGTAACAGTGAACTTACAAAGCCGTTATGCTCCCTATGTATCTTGACTTTTTCAACCAGTCCAAATCCGCCCGGGTACTTCTTTTTAGAAACCTCTTGGATTGGTAATATCGTCTTATCATGAAGCTTATATACGTTGCAGCGCATATTCCCAGCTTCAGGAGCCTCGAAAGACGGTATCAGCACTGACCATTGTTTCTCAAGGAAGGCATCTATAATTTCATATTGATCGTCCTCATCGGGGAAGGTCAGACTGGATTCTGGCTTATGTCGATGCGAATACAGTCCTGTGAGACCTGGAGTACTGAAAAACGGAAGGTCTCTGTCGCACAGCCGATGTTGTACGAATGATTCTATTAGGCCAACATTGCCTAGGAGAACAAGAATGACGAATATTTTGAGACATGGCTGCGAGGTGATCGATAAGTCCCGAGTTTGTCCGTGGCATATCAATGACGCGCGACTTTGGTGAAAGCTGTCGTCTGATTTTGGAAACGCTTTGGACAATTCCTGTGCTACTGTTTTCTCATGACATATACTTTCCAGCAGCCGACATGGTATGAAGCGCCTGTTGTCGCATGGGTTGGTCACAAAGGCCTGTCTAAGGCGGACTTTTAAACTTTTGTGCGCCTTTCCGTTGGCTTGAGGGTCCCCAGGGGAAGACATAATATATGTGTATAAATATATAAATATGGAAGACAAATAGGGAGTGTTGAGTGAGATACAAAATTTGGTTTGTATGCTTTGTCGTGGCTGAAAGTGATTGCTCGTGGGGATTCTGGCTCAACTACCAATGTCGGGTTTAAATACCTCGATCATTGATGATTTGGGTACCAGTTCCTTGATTTATCCAGAGAACAAAGGTGGCGCTTTTCTCATATGGGTTGGGAGGATTTGGATGCCTTTTTTTTTGGGTTGCTGTGAGAAGCGCGGCACGCTCTACACACACAGGCATGGTGGGAGATATTATCCCACCTCTAGATGTGATAGCTTCCTGCAGCCTCGTTATTTTATCACACGTTAGTTTAAGGCAACTTCCCTCCCTCAATGCCTTGGATTGTTCGGACTCAATGTTGACATTTGTTCTCCTACTAACTTGGAAAATTTTGAGGCTCAATCAACATACCTACCACTCTGTCTTATAATCGAAACGACCGCGAGGCTTTTCAAAAAATGTTCAAGAAAAGTAGCCTTGAGGCCCTTGTGTAGTTTCTTTTGACGAAAAAGGCGCCTCGTGCGTGCCATGTGCCTACGATCGTTCCTGAGAGCCTGCCAGGGCATAATCCGTACCTCATGTGAAACACCACTTTCTCCAATGAATAGCCTTTAAAATCCGTATTCTGCGACATACATGATGAACATCAAGAAATAGGCCTCAAGATTGGCTGCTGTCTAGCCAACCCAGAGTTCGTTCGGTAGGGAATGGCTGAGGGTGCGAGCCTCGTCGGTGTTAATTTTAAGGCGGTAGATTGACCATTAGGCATCCAACACATGCACCAGTGGTAACCGGGCCCTTTTTGAGATAATGGATGGCACTCATGCGGCCTGACTGGCCAGTGCGCGCAATGATTTCATGCCATGTGTCGTGTTTTGTAGAGGCAAATACTGCCTCGCCACGACTTCGCCTCTACATATAAGTCCACATATTCTGCCCAAGGGGGTGTCTCCCGGCAACCATTAGGCGACTTAGGCAGCCGCTCAGCTCCCAATGTTTACGAATGTGCCCCTCAAGGTAATATCGGCTCCCAATACGAATGCGAATTCCGAAGGCGCACTTGTAGGTCTGACTCTTCCTTACCGTTGGCTCTGACATCGGTGTGTGCTGTCGTCTGCGTAACGTCTAAGGTGAGGAGATATGAGACAGATCAAATGACAAACACATCCATACATCGGTATATAAACCCCATCACTTCTTTAACATCACCACATGCCTCTCTCAATCGCTCAATATTCGTTTACAAATACTCCAACACCATGGAATCCAGAACATCTTCAGGAATGACCAAATTCGTGACCGCTCTTCGAAGGCCGCTTCAAAACGATCGACACAACATTAAATCCACACAAGAATGGAGAAATAATGAACCACAACGCATACCTGGAGATTATCTTGTTCCAGAAAGACTAGAAGCTGCCCTCAAGAAAAATTGGCAAAATCAGTATGCCGTTGAAGTATGTTATGTGAATAGATTACAGATTTGGACTTATATGAGTGATCAATAAGCATTACTAACTGCGTAAAGATGCGATCGAATGAGTATCGTATCCGCGCACCGGGTAAGCTCAGTGACAACGAAATTCGGACATGTTACTCCCCGGGGTATTAGATTGGTGCCGCATGACGATCTGCTATTTATGTTCTTTCAATCTCGGGTTCCCATTGGTATTGCAAGCGGTTTTGGTAGCAAATTTGCCGTTATTTTGGGTTCTTTGATGTATACCTATACCTGCACAAGCTGGCCTTCGTCTCAGCACCTTTACTCCCATCACAATGAACTCAATTCATATTGTTCTTTGGCAAATTCTTGCAAAATCAGATTATTTGAGTTTGTGGAAATGAAGAATAAAATTGACCAATATATTTACTTCGATGTCATATGGATGCAGAAAACCAATCCAATTTCTTCGTAGTGTAGGTAGCCATTGGAGGTGGATACACCGCGCAGGCCATTGGTGAGTCGATCGGTTATCCCAAAGGATGCCACACTGAGCGAATTGATTCGTAACTTTGGCCGCTGTAGTCATGAGGTCGGAAGGTAGTGAATTCTCATATGTATCCGAATCTCGTCAATCTCCTCCTTTTTTATTATATGATAGTCAGAATGACGATATATTTTCTCAGACGAAGAATCTCAATAGTGGTATCATACGATCGTTAATCGCCTTACTAGTTTGATTTGCCATTGATTCGAGATGCGCTACTCATGAGGTAAGTACTCTGTTTTTATTAGGGGACAAACAAAACAGAAGAAGAGCCAAAAGGGACAGCGAATAGCTACCTGAACCAGCTTGAAGTTTTCTTCGCCAAGCATACCATCAAGGATTTCTTGCAGCCTCTCCCTTGAGCCATAATCGATAGCGATAACCTGTGTTAACATGTTTCCTAAGTAGTAGGCGGCGAGGCAACAAGGCAAAAGTCGAAGTGTGTCGAGAAGGCTGGCTGATTCCTCCAAGCGTGCCTTTAATGCTAATCCTTTGGGCAGAGGGAAATCAGGCTCCGGCTCACACGTGTGTCATTCTAATACGGGCTTTTTGCCGGTGATTACGGAAAGCCGTGGCAATGGATACCACCAAGGGCTATACATAATAGACCGCCTCCTCCTGCATACCGCATCGAAAAATATTTGGTCTGCTGCCAAGTTCGCCATCAAGGCCCACCGCCTCACCTGCCTCTCCCAACTTACTCAAGCAATGCACGATATGTTGGCGCCCCCGGTTTGGTCGGAAGTATACATGGCTAAGGGTAAATACATGAGACATGCACAATAGTCATGCAATAGGAATTCAGATAGCGTTGGGCAGACTCGCAGGCTTTCTGCACCTCTAATTTGCCGCGAGGCTCATCGCTTGGGGGACCCCCATATCTAATTGGCTGGTTTACACCGGTCCTCAGCCATACGGAGGCTAATGCATGGTGCCGGATTCTGTCCAACTCCCGGTCAAAAACTCCCTCAGGCAAACATGAATATGCTCAGCCACGTTCGGCGCATCTCATATAAGGAGATTACCATAGTGTGACCAGCTCCTGCATCATACGTGTGTTCACATTCTCATGGCTCTTTCAGCTTCCCATTTTTCACATTCCGCCAGACATACAGACAAATCTCAAACGATCAGCACCAAACACTAAGATGTCTTGGATCAGCCAGAAGTCTGAGCTTGACAAACATGATAGAGAATTACTGAGGTTCTCCGAAGCTAAAAATGAAGTATTCAGAATTCGAAAGCATGAGGAGGACAGAGAGGGCTGTCTTCATGCTGGTGAAGAACATTGCATCGAGGAATTGCACCTGAGATATGAGGATGAATGGGGACTATGGATCCATAGGTTTGAAGGTCCATCAGTTACACACTCATATCCAGCAGCTGAAGATGATGGCCCAGCAGAACAAAGGGCAGAGGTATCTAGTGGTATAAATTTGATAATGGGTGGAAAGACATCATCTCTGTCCAGAATGCCCTTTTCGGAAAATACCTTCTCAGAACTGATGAGAAAATTGAAGATACACAGGTCGATTGTACGTGCAATCAATAGAAACACGAGCTGCACATTTTCAAGAATTATACTACCCTTGGATGATAAAATATCGTGCCCCAGATCAATAGGTACGCTCCATTTATCACCAGAACATGCGTATTCGCTCACATAATAGTAGTCTATACTTGTAGAACCGCGGAAAGCTGGGAAGATGACATGGCTTTGTCTGTGACATTCTTTCCAGATACGTTGACTACGAACGCTATCTGGTTCGGTTGCAATTTTGAAGAACGATCTATTAATGGCTATAATCTGACAGATTCTGTGATCATTACGAGCAGACTGCGCGAATTCGATGGGGAGGTGTTTCATCCTATGATGCTGCCTACCATATTTGCGGAATTTGAGAGGGACAGGCATATTAACCTCGTCCGCAAGAGCAATACTCAGTTTGTACAAAAAATGATCGATATTGAATCGCGAAATGATACATACTATGGAATACAACAGATCCAAAGAGAAATCCGGCGGTCAATGGAGAAGCAGTCTCCACCACCGTCAAGAACTAGCTCGTTCTTTAATGGCATGAAAGGCAGAGTTGGAAGTTTTCTTTCCGGAAAAACCATTTCCACATCATGTAAGTGAAAATAGACCATAATATTGAAATGCTTCTCTAAACATTTCCTGACGTTATCAGCGACATTCAATAGCTCAGTGGGAACGGAAACATTGCGACCTGAGAGCAATGAAGAGGATGAAGAGGATGATGAAACTTGTGCAATGCTCTGGATCAAGATTAGCCATCTGAAAAATGGTCTGGAAAACTGGAAAACACAGCTACGCAAGATGTTTGATCACACACAAGAGCTTGAGGATATAGACTTTGGTATGAGTCGTAATACTCCAACCGAAGTCTGGACTAGTAGAAGAGACGGATTGAAAGAGTGTGGTGGCCGAATCAGAGAAAGACTCCGTGATTTGATTGATGAATACGACGATTTTATAAGAGAATGCGATCACATTATGGAAGGAATGTCGCTTGCAACGCAACTGGTTAATATTTCCTCATCTTACTACTATGACGAAGCTTACCTACAATAGGATCTCAATCATATCGGTCGGAAAGACGCAAGGCTCAATGAAAATATATCTAGGAGCAGTCTGGCAGTGGCGGAAACTGCTCAGCGAGACGGAAGTTTGATGAAATCCATTGCCATTCTCGGAATGATTTATCTGCCAGCAACATTTGTTTGTGTACGTCATTCAAAAGACAGTTAAGACTTTGATTTACTGACAATGAACATGTAGACATTCTTCTCTATGGGATTCTTCCAATGGAGAGGACAGGGTGACGGTACAACGACGGTGTCGCCGGATCTCTGGGTCTTTGGGCTTTCCGCAGCTGCTTTTACACTGCTGACGGTAGGCGTATTTCTAGCTTGCACGATGAGGGGGAATAGGATGCGGGCTAAATTGCATATTGTTTGACAACGTGGAGAAAGGGTCAGCTATCGGAAAGAACAACTACGACTTTTTAAAACCGAGGCATGTTGTTATACTACCAGAAAACTAGTTTCTATCTTATGTAATCTATTACCGCTTTTATATACATCAGCTTGCAACTTATTTATAAAGTACTTACCCCAAGCTTATAATCCTTTAAGCTGCTTAGCTAGAGCTTAGTGTAACAAGCTGAGCTCCTATAGGGTTAGTATAAAAGGGATTCCCAAGGGATAAACCTTATACTAGGTTTATATTAGCGAATAAGCCAGGCTGGACTAATAGGTAATTAACAAAAATAAAAAGGTTTATTTATATAATTAGTAAATAATACTATATAAGTATAATTAGGCATTATTCTATATTTATAACTAGCTATTTAAACTATTTTAATAAATAATATAAAGTAAACTTATATATTTAGTTATATTTTTAAAGTAATTATAAGTAATAATTATTATTTATTACTTTTATATAAAAGTAATCTTTTATATATATTACTCTTATATTAAATAATCGTTAATTAGTTCTTAGTTTATTAATTATTCCAAAGGTATATACTTATTATATTAATATAAAATATTAGCTTATAATATAATATCCCCCTTCCGTTAATTTTATTCTTAAAACTAGTTATAAAACCCTAGTATCCCTTATATTAGTATATTATTATATTTTTTAATATATAATTTCTTTTATATTACTTATTAATTTATTTTAAAACCTTACTTTATAATCTTTTTATATATATATACTAATATTATACTAGTTAAGTATTATATAAAACCTTAAGTTTATTTTAAGCTTTACTTTATTAAAGTAAAGCGTAATTAAGTAAATAAAAATTACAGAAGCTTAATTAATTAAACTTTTTTAATTAGTTTTATAAAAATACCTTACTTATAATATATTACTTTAAAAAAAGTAAATAAATATAAGTTTAGTAATTATTTTATTTAATATTAATAATATATTATTAATAAAAAAAGTTATAATAAAGGTATTATTATATTTTTTTATAAATATTTTATTTTCTTTAATTTATAATTTATTATTAATTATTTTATAATTACTTATTTTTAAAAAAATTATAAAAAATATTCTATATAAAAGTAAAAAACAAAGGTAGCTTTTACTAAAGTACTTACTTATCTTTAATAAATTTATTACTTAAAGTAAAAAATAAAAAAAAAAGGTAATAAAGTTTTTAATTATAGTATAAAGTTATTAAATATATAAAATAGTATTATATAATAAAAGTCTAATATTACCTTAAATACTTAATTTATTAATATAATTAATATCCTTAACCTAAGTTTCTTAAATAATTTTCTATAGCCTAGGATTATATTTATAGTTTTTAATAAACTTTTTTCTAAAACTTACTTAAGGCTATTTAAAAGTTTATAAAACTTTTAATAAGTTTTTAATTATTTATATTTTTATTATATCTTTTTTATTTTACTAAATATTAAAGTTTATTAGTTTTAGGATTTATTTTTAATAATATTATTTTATTAATTTTATATTTAAGTTCTTTACCTTTAATAATAATTTTATTTATAATAAATTCTTTAGTATTTTTATTTATTAATACTTTCTTTAGTAATAATATATAAAAGATTAAGTATATTAGTTTTTTTTATTTATTTAGTTACTTTAGGAGGTTTAATTTATAATTAATTTTACTAATTTTTTTTAAAATTTTATAAAGCCTAACTTTTTTATAATTTAGCTTATTACTTAGCTTATTTATTTTAATATTAACTTATTTTTCTCCTTAAGTATATTAAAGTAAGTAAACTATATTTCCTTTTTAAAAGGTTAATTCTTTAAGCCTTTTTTATTTATATACTTTTTTATATATTCTTATATAAGTTTAAGTTATATATATAATTTTTAGTATAGTTTTTTAAGCTTATTTATTTTAAATATAGCTTTTTATATATCTTCTTCTTTTTATAATATTTAATATACTTATAGGTAATACCTTTTATTAATATAAAATAGTAAAAGTTTTATTAATTTTAAAATTAAATTATTATAAAAGAATTTTATATTAGGTAAGTACTTAACTTAGTTATTTTAATTAAAGTTAATATAACTTTATAAATATATTTTAATAATTTAATTAATGTATTTTATTTATTTATTTATTTAAGGGTAGTAAGTAGTATTAACTTTATAGTTTATATTTATTTTTATTATAGTACTTTACTAATATTTAAATATAAATATTAATCTTTTATTAAAGATAATCTTTATAGGTAATTTATATTTTAAGGCTATATATTTTTATATTATATAATCTAATTTTTTTACTATACTTCCTTTTTTATATAAAATAAAAATACTTTATTTTATTAATTTATTAATAATAATAAAAATACTATTATATATTATATTTATTATTAGCTTTTTTAATAATAGTAGTTTAATAATATAATTAAATAAAATAAAGTTTTAAAAGTACTTTAGTATTAGTAATAATTATAGTTTATTATAAGGTTTTTATTAATTAGTTTTTATTTTTATATATAAGATATATAATTAAATAATTCCTTTAATAACTTTCTTTATACTTATAAAAGTATAATATTATTATATTTATTATAGTATTTTAGTAACTCCCTTATATTTATATAGTAAATATTTATAAATTATTTTTATTACTTTTTTCTATAATAATTCTAATACTTAGATTTTCTTATTTTAATATAAAACTCCTTTTATAAAGGTTATATCTTTAAAAAATTAGTTTAATATTTAATTATTAATTTTAATTTTAATTTTATTAAGGATAAGGTTTCCGTTTTTAATTATAAAAAGGGTATTAATAATTATTAATTTATAATACCCTTCTGCTATTTTTTAAAATATTAGTAAGGTAAGTTTTAGTATTAGTTTAAAGTAGTCTTTTCTATAGTTAAAAGCGTTTACTTAATTATTTTTTAATTTTTTATAAAGTATAATTTTAAAGTTATATTTAGCTATAAGCTTAAGATACTTTTTTTACTATATAAAAATCTTTATTTCTTTTATAACTAAGCTTATAAAATTCTTATAATTAAAATATATAGTAATTTTATATTTATTACTTAATAAATATAATTTTTATTTTTTAAATACTTTAAAAATAATTATAAATTCTTAATTATATATAGAATATTATAATTTAAGGCTATAGAGTTTCTTAAAGAAAAAGGCTACTAAATATAATATTCCTTTATTATTTTATTAACTAAAAACTCCTTTAATTATATAGTTTAAGGTATTTATTTTAATAATAATAGGCCTCTTAGGGTTATATATTTATAGTATTAGTATACTAGTAATAGCTTTTTAAAGTACTTTAAAGGCTTCTAGGGCCTTCCTTATATATTTAATAAGTTAATATTTCTTAACTTTATTATTAAAATCTTTTTTAGTAAAATCTATAAATAGTACTATAATTTTACTATAGTTCTTAATAAACCTTTAGTAGTAGTTTACTAAACTAAGGAAGTTTTATACTTCCTTTACTATTTTAAAAACTTTTTATTCTTTAATAACTATTATTTTAGTAAAGTTTATTTTAATTTATTTTAGTAAAATAATATATTCTAGGAAGTTAACTTCTTATATATAAAATTAATACTTTTTTAATTCTACTAGTAAGTTTACTACTTATAAGGTTTTTAAAACTTAATATATATATTATTTATACTCTTTTAAAGTATTAAAGTAAATTAATATATTATTTAAGTATATAATAATAAACTTATTAATATATTCCTTAAGGACTTTATTAATTATTCTTTAAAATATAACTAGTATATTAGTAAGTTTAAAGGGTATAATTAAATATTTAAATAATTTATAATATATTTTAAATACTATTTTTTATTTATTTCCTTTTTTAATTTAAATAAGGTTATAAACTCTTTTTAAGTTAAAAATTATAAATTATTTTATAATTACTAACTTATTTTTAATTTTAAAGATTAATAATAGTAGTATTTAATTTTTAATAATAATTTTATTAAATTATTAATAATTAATAATTAATTATAACTTTCTATTTTTCTTTAGTATAAATATTATAAAGTATTTTACTAATAAATTAAAGATTTAAATATATTCTTTTTTTAATTATTTATTTAACTATTCCCTTAAGGTTTTAAGTTTTTTTTTATTAAAGTTATAAATTTTATAAATCTTAGGTTATTTTTTATTTATTAACTTAATAAAGTAATCCTATTATAAGTATAATAGTAACCTAGTATTTAATATTACTTTATATAGTTTTTTATACTTTTTATATTAGTAAAATATTTTAGTAAAGGTATTTTTAAGTTTTCTAAATTCCTCTTTTTCTTATACTTTACTTAATACTTTATTAAGTACTACTAGCTTATCTTTAAATTATATTATAATTCTATTAATATAAATATATTCTATTTTTTTATATTATTTATTATATTATAATAATATTAGTAATTTATTTTTTTTAAATTTAGTTATTTTTATTTTTTTTATAATTAGCGTAAAAGATTTTAGTTTTTTTAATAGTATAGCTTTACCTTTTTATTTTCTTTAATATAGTTAATATTTAGGTATATCCTTAATATCTTAATAAACCTTCTTAATCTTTTATTAAATAATAAAATTATTATTAAATAACTAAGGATAGCCTAAAAAGATATTATCCTTTAGTATATTTAAAATACTAAATTAAATATTATAGGTATTTTTATTAATAATTAATAAAAAATAATTAATTTTATATTTAATAAGTCCTTCTTTTACTTTTACTTCTGTAATACTTATAACCTATAGTACTTATTCTTTCCTTTAGATAAAGATTTATAATTCCTTAATTAGTTAAAGTAAAATTAAATTATAATTTAATTTACTATTAATATAAATAGTAATAGTATATTTTCTAAGTTATATATTTATTCTAAGTTTCTTTATTTTAATTATTTTAATTATATTAACTTATACTT